TTTGGGCTGTATTGCTTTAAAACTTAGTGTCTACCCCTGTCAGGTGAACTATTTAAAGCTAGGATGATGAAATTATGAATCAATCTTGAAACAAGAGGCCCATGGGCCACATCACTCACCTGAGCACATTGGCTAGGAAAAAAAGCAAAAATCAGTAAGTATTGAAAAGTTTACAGGGAGGGGGGGGGGGTGTTGAATTTTAAACTACCTGATGATGCTTTCATATCAATATAACAATTGGCTTTGTTGTTCTTGAGCAGCAGATTTTTTTCCCATATATTCCTTTGTAAAAATTTGATCCCCCATTGTGGCCCCACCCTACCCCTGGGGGCCCTCATTTGAACAAATTTCATTCTACACTACCCAAAGATGCCTCCATATCAATTTGACTAATCATGGCTTTTCTGTTCTTGAGAAAAAGACCTTTTCCTATATATTCCTCTGTAAACTTTGATCACCCATTGTTGCCCCAACCTATCCCCGGGGTAATGATTTGAACAAACCTGATTCTTCACTATCTGAGGATGCTTCCATATAAATATGATCAATCATGGCTTTACTGTTCTTAAGAAGAAGATTTTTAACGATATTTTCCTATATATTTCTATGTAAAACTTTGATCCCACATTGTGGCCCCACCCTACCCCTGGGGGTTATTATTTGAACAACTTTGAATCTTCACTACCTGAGGATGCTTCCATATAAATATGACCAATCATGGCTTTACTGTTTTTAAGAAGAAGATTTTAGAGATATTTTCCTACATATTTCAATGTAAAACATGGATCCCTCATTGTGGCCCCACCCTACCCCTGGGGGTTATGATTTGAACAAATTTGAATCTTCACTACCTGAGGATGCTTCCATATTAAGAAGAAGATTTTTAGAGATATTTTCCTATATATTTCTATGTAAAACTTTGATCCCCCATTGTGGTCCCAACCTACCCCCGGGGGTCATGATTTGAACAAACTTGAATCTACACTACCTGAGGATGCTTCCATATAAATATGACCAATCTTGGCTTTACTGTTCTTAAGAAGAAGATTTTTAAAGATATTTTCCTATATATTTCTATGTAAAACTTGGATCCCTCATTGTGGCCCCACCCTACCCCCGGGGGTCATGATTTGAACAAACTTGAATCTACACTACCTGAGGATGCTTCCATAAAAATATGACCAATCTTGGCTTTGCTGTTCTTAAGAAGATTTTTAAAGATATTTTCCTATATATTTCTATGTAAAACTTGGATCCCCCATTGTGGCCCCACCCTACCCCCGGGGGTCATGATTTGAACAAACTTGAATCTACACTACCTGAGGATGCTTCCATATAAATATGACCAATCATGGCTTTACTGTTCTTAAGAAGAAGATTTTTAAAGATATTTTCCTATATATTTCTATGTAAAACTTGGATCCCTCATTGTGGCCCCACCCTACCCCCTGGGGTCATGATTTGAACAAACTTAAATTTACACTACCTGAGGATGTTTCCACATAAGTTTCATCTTTCCTGGCCGAGTGGTTCTTGAAGAGAAGATTTTTAAATGATGCCATTATTTTTTCACTAATTCCTAATTATCTCCTCTTGAAAGAGGGCGTGGCCCTTCAGTTGAACAAACTTGAATCCCCTTTACCCAAGGATGCTTTGTGGCAAGTTTGGTTGAATTTGGCCCAGTGGTTCTTGAGAAGAAGATGAAAATGTGAAAAGTTTACGACGACGCCAACGACGACAGACAACGGACAAATTTTGATCAGAAAAGCTCACTTGAGCCTTTGGCTCAGGTGAGCTAAAAAAAAGACAAGGAAATTTGGCTAATTATAAAGTGGGGTTCCTGGAACCCATATAGCATGATTCTATCATACATGGACTTAAGTTTTGTTTTCAGTCAGTTTCATTTGTTAAAAAAATGTGACTGAGCTGAGTACGTACTGTAGCCCAATAGCCTGTTGTCTTACTTGTAGGGTTTCTGTTCTTCAGCAGACATATTCCTCCAGGTATGTCCCAGGATTTTACTAATGTGTGAGGTGTGTACACCAGGATTAGCTCTGAAAACAAAAATGAACTCTCAACAGTGTGTAGTGATTTAGGCCATGGATATTGGCCTGGGTAGCTCTGTCGGTAGAGCACCTGACTAGTAATGCAGGGGTCCCAGGTTTGATTCCTGATCCAGCCATACTTTTTCCCCTTTCCTGTTAGTGAAAGACAATTGAAATGCCACTTTGGGCACAATTCACTGTCCTGTTAAAACATTTGCACACAAGCAGGTAATGGTGAGGAATCACTTCATTAATAACTTACTCAATAAACTTCTTGCGATTATATCTGCTGAACATCATAAATCCATTCATCCAGGTTGTTTTTCTGTGATCTATTTTTTCTGGTTTACTAACAGTGTTCTTGTTTTCATCTGTGATTTCTCTGCAACAGTAGTGCAATATCTAAAGATTAATACTCATTTTCAAACTTAAAAATTAAGTAAAGAAGATGGGCTTATTTGGCATGTAGGAATCCTGAATATGGATCATTCATAGTTTAAATGCCCATTCAAGCAGAATGATTGGTCAGCTGACCACAGTGGACAGACTCTACAAAAGTTAAGCTCATATCGGAAAATGTTACATTACATTGCAATACCTTGTCAAAATATTGTAATATTGAAGTTATTGGGTAAGTAGATGCAAATTATAAAAATTTTAGAGGGTAGGAAGAATTGCTTTTGCTCTCGGTGCAACAAAATCAAAATTAATTTTTTTATAATCATTATATTGTAACAGGCGGGGAAAAATGTCGGCCAGACTGGGACTCGAACCCGGAACCTCCCGCTAACAGTGCGGGTGCTCTAACCACTGAGCTACCGGGCCGACATACCCAGTCCCCGTTACGCTCTTCCCCCCTTTTTCTTGAGGTTTTCCATCCTGAAAACCTCACCGAGACTCTTCTAAACCACCGGTGGGTTTTATTGTTGGGCGCCAAATGTAACAGGCGGGGACTGGGTACGTCGGCCCAGTAGCTCAGTGGTTAGAGCACCCTCATGGTTAGCGGAAGGTCCCGGCTTCGAGTCCCAGTCTGGCCGACATTTTTCCCCGCCTGTTACAATATGCTTGTGTGAAAATTACTGTCACAGCCGTTGTCAGGTGTAAATTTGTTGCATGTCCGTTGGTGCACAAATTTGTACCAGACAGTCTTGAAAAATTCAATCCTTGCAACTTTCTATTTTGTTTATTTTTTTATTAAATTAATTTTTGGGGGAATATTCTTTACACTGAAAATCAAGGTGTCACTCTTACGTACTGTTGCTGGTGTTGTCAGAATTATTTGTGGACACGTAGTTCTTACAGTTAAATTCGATATCTTGAACACTGATATCTCTGGAAATATTGAAGTGAATTGGAAATCCCAACCACTTATTCTTTAAAGTATTTTACCCCTGATATCTTGAATCCTCAGATATCTTGAAGTTCTTTCTTGGTCCCATTGAGTTCAAGATAACAAGGTTTGACTGTAGTTAAATTAATAGCTGTAGAGTATCTTGCGGAAAACTAACAAAACTTTTTGCAGAAACATAAATATGAAATTTTACAAAATTTGAGGAAGTGTAATATGCCCTTCAAAGCTTATTTTAAAAACACAAGATTATAGGAAAATATTTTCCTTTCCTATGTTACAAGAACTCAATTTATTGCCAAATCCAAATCAAATGTGCCCTCATTTTTTCTTTTACAACAAACTAAAGACTTCAAACCAAGTCATTATATATGTAATAGTAATTATATAATTTCAGTTACAGTAAAATTTATCATTTAAACAGGTAAGAAACACAAAGTAGTATTAACTGGCAAAATTGGACCTATGTTATGCTGTGTAAGACCATAGCTCGCTAAGTAACCTTGAAATATATGCAAGTAATTATTTTAACAATGGTTTTACCTTCCAGACATATACATTTCATGCTGTTTAATCATTATCACTGTTGTTGATGGATACACAAGTGTGATCTTACCCAAGGTCCTTGCTGCATTTTTCCGGAATATGTGTTGCCTTCTGTCTGCGAGCTCTAGACGTACTGTGGAACTTCCATATATATGGTACGTAGGATACAAAATCCTCATCAACTGTAATGTTGGTTTATAAGATTAAATGTACAAGTCTATAAAAATTACTTTTCAAATTAGTACACCAAATAATTTGCCAAAGGGTATGTGTTTAATAACTATTATTCATTATACAAAAATTACATTACATAAAAAACATTCAGAAATCTCCATGTTTGAAAACAAATGATAAAACTCATAAATTACATACTATCTTATACCATCTCTACTAAAATGAAATGTTGTAACTTTGTGTCCATTTTGAGAAGAAAATTAAGGTAATTAATTCTTAAGTCTATATGAGCCAAATATATGAAGTGATGCTGTGAAGAAATAAACCTCAGGTCTCATAGGCAAAGAAGAATTTAATTCTGTGATTGAAATACATTTTAATTGGCAACCCTTAACATGCAATTGCAACTTCTCGGTCCTTTCTGTCAAGTGGAAAAACAACCTCAAATGTATTACGTAAACATTGAAATAAATATAGTGAGATTTCTTATCTTTAGAGTCTGGAGTTGAACTTCATTTAATACAAAGATATCACCTACAATATACATCAGAGGGAATAATCAAATCCGTGTAGCCTGTACTTTAATGGATAGGAAGCAACTCAATACTGTTTAAAATTTTACATCCAGTGATGAAAATACATTTGAAGTGTTTTTCTGATTTTGCAGAAAGACCGAAAAAGATTGCATTGCCCTTACATAATCTCTAAAATAAAAACAATGCCTGAGCATGAGTGAAGTACTGTTACCAGAGAGAAATAGTATAACTAAGACCATGATCTTTAAAAAATTGTCTGCATGTTTGCCCTCTCCCGACCAACAGACTAAAAATGGCCTGGCTCAAAACTTTTTTTTTAAAACCTCCATGAAACTTTTTTTTTATTGGTTCCAAAATTTTCTCATTCTGTCAACAACTGCAATTTTATATTCAGAATTTTTTTTACATAAAAAAATTCCCAACCTATCTACCAAATTTTGTTAATCCTGAGTCAGGAGAGGGCCTAATAAAGTTAAACAAGAGGCCCATGGGCCACATCGCTCACCTGAGCACACTGGCTAGGAAAAAAAAGCAAAAATCAGTTCAGTATTGAAAAGTTAACGGGGGAGAGGGGGGGGGGGGGGGGGGGACGGGGGATTTTAAACTACCAATGCTTTCATATCAATATAACAAATAACTTTGCTGTTCTTGAGCAGAAGATTTTTCCCATATATTCATTTGTAAAAATTTGATCCCCCATTGTGGCCCCACCCTACCCCCGGGGGTGCTCATTTGAACAATAATTTGAACGATGCTTCCATAAGTTTTTTTCAATATACTCTTATGAAAAACTTTGACCCCCCCATTGTGGCCCCACTTTACCCCCAGGGGTCATGATTTGAACAAACTTGAATCTACACTACCTGAGGATGCTTTCATATAAATATGACCAATCATGGCTTTGCCGTTCTTAAGAAGAAGATTTTTAAAGATATTTTCCTATATATTTCTATGTAAAACTTTGATCCCCCATTGTGGCCCCACCCTACCCCTGGGGGTCATGATTTGAACAAACTTGAATCTACACTACCTGAGGATGCTTCCATATAAATATGACCAATCATGGCTTTGCTGTTCTTAAGAAGATTTTTAAAGATATTTTCCTATATATTTCTATGTAAAACTTTGATCCCCCATTGTGGCCTCACCCTACCCCTGGGGGTCATGATTTGAACAAACTTGAATCTACACTACCTAAGGATGCTTCCATATAAATATGACCAATCATGGCTTTGCTGTTCTTAAGAAGAAGATTTTTAAAGATATTTTCCTATATATTTCTATGTAAAACTTTGATCCCCCATTGTGGCCCCACCCTACCCCCGGGGGTCATGAATTGAACAAACTTGAATCTACACTACCTGAGGATGTTTCTACATAAGTTTTATCTTTCCTGGCCCAGTGGTTCTTGAGAAGAAGATTTTTAAATGATGTCATTATTTTTTCACTAATTCCTAATTATCTCCCCTTGAAAGAGGGCGTGGCCCTTCATTTGAACAAACTTGAATCCCCTTCACCCAAGGATACTTTGTGGCAAGTTTGGTTGAATTTGGCCCAGTGGTTCTTGAGAAGAAGATGAAAATGTGAAAAGTTTACAGCAACAACGCCAACGCCTACGCCAACGACAACGCCGACAGACAACGGACAAATTTTGATCAGAAAAGCTCACTTGAGCCTTTGGCTCAGGTGAGCTAAAAAGAAAAGTTTCATGTGACACAAAAGTGTGCTTGTCAAACACATTTTATCTGTCATAGAGTTGTGTGGTTAAGGTCATGAAATCCTTACTGACCATGATGTAATGCATGCAATACCTTGATATATAAGTAGGATACTCTACTAGTTGTCTCTTTTTGCAACATTCTGTCCAATTTAATGTTACATCCTACACTGTTTGGATCTTGGTTGTCTCCTATTAGAATCCTTACCTGCTAAAACAAAATTTACCTGGACTGCGACGTAAAAATTTCCCACAGGATTCTGATTTAAATTTCTTGGTAGAGGGCTCTGGGATGTTTTCCTCCTCCTCCTCCTCTTCTTCTGAGGGACACATCTTAAGGTTGGTGATGTTGTTAAATGGTGACCTCTTGGGAGTGTACTGCTTTCGCTTGTTCTTTCCTGGCCACCATGGACTTTTTACAGGGGTATAAGGTGGGCTTGGTTTCTCAGGACTTGACAGGAAAACTGAAATGTCAGAGTGCCCTGATATGGCTGAGACATTGTGTTGGCTGATGGGCTCTGACACTTGGGATAAGAAGACATCTTCCCTGCAAGGATTGGTCTTTAGGACGCTCTCTGGTGATATGGTTCTCATTTCCCCATCGGAAGCTTCAGCAGCATCAGGATAATCCTGAACATCATTCTTAATCCCATAGGAGGGATTCATCAGAATTCTTTCCTATAAAGTAATACAGCTTACTTTGTCTTTCCAAAATAAAGTTTTAATTCTGCATTATACATACCATGAAAACTATTTGAAAATTTCAAACAAACCCTGGTTCTAGGACTATTGAGTTGAGATGACCGCTTACACACAGGGCTAGACATAAGATCAAAAGCATCTGGGAAACTGTCCAAGCAGGAAGAGGAAGGCAAAATATCATCATTCTGAAACTAAATCACTCATGCTCTAGCATTTCATGTCATTTTACCTTGCAAATTTTTTCTGAAATCATAGAATTGAAACTTTTCTTTTCACTTCTACAAGGAAACATGCAGAATAACTTCACTTACGATAAGTTTAGAAGGGGTGTCTATTAACTGGCTCAACACACCTTGGGTAGACTGGCTATAGAATCCCTCCTCATCTACGAAACGTAAATTACAATTGCAACTTTGTGCCTCCATATATAAACATATATATATTAAATTTTTAACACAGCAGCCTAATTTATACAATACCTGGATCATCTTCTGCCCCCTCACAACCAGAGATGTTAATTAAGTTTTTGAGGGGAGATGTTAGCCAGTGGTGGTCCCTAATAGAAGAGAAAGTCTGAATCCCTACACTGGTTCCAATCCCCGACTTCTGGGAGGAATCATAGCCCTCCTCAACCAGTTTGTGGTCACTTGTAGAGTCTATGGTTGGGGAGGAGATCTTCAGTCCTCTGTGCTCCACTTTAATTTTTTTGCTTTCAGACTTGCTCTTTGCCTAATTCAAAATGGAATATTATTAAACTAGAGGACACCTACGCATAATCATTTTATGAAGGTGTGACTCCTCACAAACTGAGAGATGGTGAACGTAGTGATCCCAATGTGTGACTCCTCACAAACTGAGAGATGGTGAACAAAGTGATCCCTAGATGGTGAACAAAGTGATCCCTAGGTGTGACTCCTCACAAACTGAGAGATGGTGGACAAAATGATCCCTAGGTGTGACTCCTCACAAATTGAGAGATGGTGAACAAAGTGATCCCTAGGTGTGACTCCTCACAAACTGAGAGATGGTAGACAAAGTGATCCCTAGGTGTGACTCCTCACAAACTGAGAGATGGTGAACAAAGTGATCCCTAGATGTGACTCTAACAAACTGAGAGATGGTGAACAAAGTGATCCTTATGTGTCCCTAGGTAACACAACAAAGAAGCTCCCCACTGCCTCTTTTGGAGGTTAGATAAAACGGAGGTCAACATTACTGCTACATTGCAAAAAATTTAAACTCATTACCGCTACATTTCTTCGAAATTTCGGGTGATCATTACCGCTAAATTTTATCAATAAGACATTTGGCGATTACAACTCATTACCACTACATATTTGAATCTGTCAGCAATGGCATGGAATATGAGTTCTGTTCAATATAACTCACTCACAATGTAGTGAAGTACAATTTGGATCGAAGTTCTAATTAATATAGTGAAACTTGTCTTATCTGACATGCTGCGGGAAATAAAATCAATGTTGGATTAGACAGTGTGTCAGATTACCCAGTTTTGAATATTTCTAAGCATTATGATTAGTGTCAGATGGATTCATACAAAAAAATATATCATTTTTTAGGGGTGCAACGATACACCAACCTCACGATACGATACCTATCACGATACATGACAAGGTTAAGAAGTCTTTCATGTTTCTCATCATTTTTTTTTTTAAATTGACATGGTAATCATGGTAATATCAAATGTTCATATTTTTTGATAATAATTAAAATATCAATTTATTAACTTGATTTGGATTGATAGGTAGATCTTTGAGTTGTATAAAATATTATAATATAAAATATTCTAAACCAAAGAAGAACATTTACTGTAGCCTGGATTATGCCTTATTTATAAAAGGGGCCTTTCCTCATAATCTTCCTTTTAAATATGAATGAAAAAGGAAGACATTTATTCTTTTATTCCTTTTATTTACGTAGAAAACCAGTTGTCATATTTCTTGTGTTAACATGTTCAAGTCAACAAGACAGCACATTTTGGATCAAAATACACGCTTGATGAGATATTGAGTATTACTATAGAATACTTTTAGATCCAAAGGATTTATCAGTTGTCTTAACATCTATAACTTTTAATCACATTAGGAATGAGATAAAGTCCTTTCACCCTGCAAGGTCTGAAAGATGCTGGAGATGAGTTAAACTGTTATTACTGCGTTATCGTTGACCTCATGTTTTGCGCAGAAACCATTTTGAAATTGTAAACAAGGAAACAAAACGGACGATTCAGATAATTCTGAACCAATTGAACCGAACCGCGATGTCAGTTTAGTGTATCATGAATTGAGCTGTGGAAAAATATACCGCGATATACCGTCAAACGGTTTGTCGTTGCACTCTAATCAATTTTCATTAGGTTTAAGAGTACATGTGTATTTAATTGTCAAAGAGTTTGCATAATTGTTTGTTTATTTGTTGTATAAAATATATCTTAGCATTTCTTTGAGAAACAGGATTTGTGATAGCTTTAGTAAACTCTGTAGTAATATACAATGACTTTTTTAAATGGACAAAACAGATGGAACTGCCGATAGTTTCGAGATATGTTGCAATTTAATTTTCAGCATTTTACTTACTGACAGTAGATATTATAGTAAATATTTCGTCTACCTTCTCTACACAGTGGTATTAATATTTTTTCTACACTACATATCTTTCCGATTTTTCTCCATTGTTTACTTCTCAACATAGAATCTGCTATTAGTGCCGTCACATGACTTTTCATACCAATGGGTCGTAACTCTAAAACATTGTGATTATTGCAATTGAATTTTGATCAAACAAACGTAATATTTAAAAATTTAATGGTCAACTTAAAAATCAGTATTTTTTGCTTCTGGGAAATCTTTTATATGCACAGTTTCGCTTAATCCAGTGTATATTAACCTGGAAATGAAAAGTTTTCTACTAGACAAGATGCTGCCTTCAAATTGTGTACTGCTGTCTCCATGTTACACAGCAGTAGTTCACCATTTTCATGTTTTTTTTGTGACATGGCTTTATGAAGGAAACTGAGTGCATGTTTGATTTAAATTTCAAGCTAAAAATCTTATTTATGCTGTAGATAAGGGCAACCTAAATATCATGTACTCTATTTTCTGTCGTATGGGTATACTATTTTGTCAATGCGAGAATAAAATTGATAACAACAAAGAGAATTGATAGCCTAATTTTTAAATTCAAAAACTGTTCATTTATTGCTTACATAAACACTTTCAACTCATACATGTAATTAACTACTCTCTAAGTACACCAATCTTGTGACCAAACAGAACATTCATGTTACCTAGCCAGCGGCTAATTACAGTACACCCGTGTAATTATGTCGGATTACCCAGGTGAAATCTTAATGTATTTATCTATTTTTGTTGACAAAATAGCGCCAGAATTCAGAATGTACAGTGGTTGGAATATACAGTGTTTTATTCTATATAAATTATAAAGAAATTTTTTGGGAATAAAATATGAGGTCGGAAAGTCCAGTGTGCCGGATTGCACAGTTGTCGGATTGGACAGTGGGCACTGTATAACTCATTCAGTCTGTAGTCGAAATACAATGATTTATCATCAGTTGACTGTGTGTTTTATCCATGAACAATTCTTGTTTTTAACGACGTTGGATCCTGATATTTAAAGTCTTAAACTTTTTTTGTCAAGTATATTTTTAGCTTCTACACACATAGCTTAATTAAAAATCAAAACAAAAAATGGGGGTCAATATGCTTCTTTTGGCGCTACAGTACATTTAAAATGACCTTTTTGCACTGAATTTGTGTCTTAATAAAAAATAACATCTTCGACGTTTTCCCTCCAATATTTTTTTATCCAAATAAATCATGGGACAAAGTATGCTATTATTCTCTCTTAAAAAAGACACATTAAAATTGTGACAAAGAAAAATTCTCAAATTGATTCGCATAATCAATTATTTGACCTTTCTGCACTCACAAAATGTCATTTTTCGGGCATTAAAAATTTAACAAGCAAGAAAAATATTTTAAAGTCTTAAACTTTTGCTGAATTTAAGTAGATTGATCAGAGTTATCTTATATATTCAGAAAAGAAAATCAAAAGTGGAGGTCTATGATGTTAATTTTTAGATATTACTAAAAAACTGTTAATTTTATGATAAAATTGGCTCAATTTTTTCCTGGAGTTTCAGAATATATTTTCTATATTTGTCACAATATGATGATAGAATTCACAAAAACTGAATTAATTAATATTTTAGAACCAGCATTAAACATTTCAATGCACAAAATAGCTCTGTGTGCAACCAGCATGGAAAAATAGGAATCTAAACTTACATGTAACAGTACTGTATATATTTCAAAAGGGAAAAAATGATCATTTTCTTCTAAAAAATCTTCCGCCACAAAATATAGTTCCTGGCTTAATCCTATTTGAATGGAATTTAATCGCGTTTTTTTCATTGGATATAGTATAATTTGCATTGTAGAATTCAGATTTAATGTTAGAACTTAAAAATAAAGCAGAATTTTAGAAATAAAGCTCCAGACCAAAATCTGCTCAAAAGCTCAGGATCGAACGTCCTTAAAACTTTCAAAAATGTTTTATTAAATAAAAGATTTTAAATAAAAAAGTGAGGAAAAAAAAAAATCCTGCTCAAAGTCCTACTTTCACCTCTCCGTGGTGATCAGAGGAAATGGGTCTTGTGCATGTATTTGTTGTACTTCATATCAGTCTGTACATGCATAAGCCACTGGCTAATGAAAGAGGCAATGTAGCGGTAATGTATACTTTTTTTGTAGCGGTAATGAGTATGTAGAGGTAACGACTATTTTGAAAATGTAGCAGTAATGATATGCACCCAGATAAAATTCAAATGCAGAAATGAAGCATGCATTTAACTCTTAAAAAATATATCTATACTGCCATAACTTTGATGATTTTAGCTCACCTTGTGTTTCAGTATAGCATTGTCCTTTTTCAAAGCTATATAAACGAAAGTACATGTATATCAGATGTATCGAAGTGTCATTTAAGAACATTCTGATATGATTATAGATCAGTTTGATAAATCTCCAGAATAAAGTCTGTTACCTGTACTTTTTTTTAATAACTTTACTCTTACCTCAAATTATGATCTTACCAAATTTAAGACAACTGGGCTGAGTTCAAGATTGTAGCAGTTATCCTAGCTGCTAGGCTAGATATTTAGCTCATATTGAATGCACTGTATGATAACACTTTTTATGGCTACGTTAGCAAACTTTTTAGATCCTAGCTGCTATGATCTTGAACGAAGCCCTGGCCATTACAAGTATTTACATTTCTTTTCTAAACAAAAATGTTATTTATTTGCAACAAATCTTTGTTTTAAATTTTAGGAAATGTGGTAGATTTGTTCTATAGATATAGTATTAGCAGGAAACATTGTAACTGATTTACATTACTTGTGGCTATACCTTTTTTGGATCGCAGTTGTTCTGTAATGAAGTCTGTTGACATGAGAAGATCACTAACTCTTAGATCAAGTTTCTCACACAGATCATGGACTGTATTCTCCAGGTAACAAATGTAAGCAATTATTTTCTGCATCATCACAACCTATCATGAAATGTACAGTATGTCTGGGTTAAAAGCAATTTCAAGAAGCAAAGCAAAATTAGATGTATTAAATCTTGTTCTTGCCTTTGTTTCTTTCATGACTGCTGAGTAACCTGGGACACGCTCACAAACCTTCTTCATGGATTCATTCAGGGTGTGGTGCCGTACTCTTCACAAACAAAATTTGTATATAAAAATACAATATTTTAACTCCATTCTTTGGGGTTCTAAATTAACTTTTTTCCCTACAAGTGACCATGGAATTTACTTGTCCTCACATAAATTTTACTTGCTCAATAAATTTTCAATAAAGAATTCATTAAATTGAAAAATATTTCAGTTGTATTATACAAAATAATGTCTAAGATACAGGTGACCCTCGATCTCTCGAACATCAAGGGACTGTCAGAAAAGTTTGAGAGATCGAGGAGTTCGAGAGATAGAAAGTGAATAAAATCCAGAATTTTCAGTTCCGATCATCGTTGTTTTACTATTATAGATACCGGAAGTATATGTTGATAATGTCATTGCATGTTTTCAGTTGTATTTTACAGGTAATTCACTTGATTTCAACAACAATGATCGTATTTTGAATAAATAAAATAATTTCTTAAGTTTCAATATTTATTTGTTCTCGTGTTACTTGGTGTCATCTATGTAAAAACCCAATATACACGTCCATGCCAGCCCCAGGCGTTCACTGTTATCCAGGTAAGTCCAAGCTGCATTAATTTTACACTTGATTGGCGTGTATACATGTGCAATCAAAACTTCGAGAGATAGAGAGTAAAAAACAATGCAATGTGTGTAACGGCAGGGACCTATATACTAACGGGATAGGCAACTCTCGCAAGTCTCACGATACCTTGTAAGTTGCGAGATTTCGTAAGTCAATTTTAATTAAATATATCTCTTTTGCTATCAAATATTTCAGAATAAAATCTTAATTTATCTATCAAAAAATTATTCAAGATTTGTTATAAGCACCATTTTTACTCCTTATCTTAGAAGTAATTACGTTTATTTGAAAATCAGTGCGTGCCCCTGATCGGCCGTATTTCCGAGAAATCGTCGATTTTGGTGGTTGTTTACTTAATATCTGGATTATTTTATAATATGTGCTTTAAAATTTATTAAATATCCATTCGGATACACAAAAAGAACAGATTACATTAATCAGTCAAAACAAGCTTTTTACTGGGGAAAAAAGTAGTTTGAAAAACTTGCAGTGTTGTGTGTGCCGTTTTGGGTAAATAAACATGGCGCTGAAGGAGTTGCCTATCCCGTTAGTATTTAGGTCCCTGGTAACGGGACCCAGGTCTTGGTTCGAGAGATAGAGAACTTCAAGAGATCGGAAGTTCGAAAGATCAGGAGTAAATTTGCTTAGTTATATAGAGAAAAAAAATGGGACCAGAGGTTCACTTAGAGAGATCGAGAACTTCGAGAGATCGGAGTTTGAGCCATTGAGAGTAACCTGTACATTTATACTCACCAAGTCTGTTATGTGATTTTATTGACACTAGTAGCTAGGAATGTGCGATTTTATCTATATACCAGTATATCGTGATTTTTTATTGCACGATACATATCATGATATGGAAATTTATTTGTTAAAAAAATTATGGAAATTCATTTCAAATCATAGTAGAAATTGTATCCTGATACTTTTGGAAAAAATCATGATATATCACGATACTAAACCCATCCCTACTAATACCAATATCTTGGTTAAAGCTAAATTAAAAATAATACTGAAAATCCAAACTTCATCAGTCCAAAGACATAAAGCAGACGGATTTGCTCTATGTCTATGGTCAGATTTATGCTACTACCAAAGCAATGAGTAACTGATTAACTTTAATTCCTGTCAAATTTGATGACCAGGATTGGAATTCACTATGACGATCAGGATTAAAATTTCAACTTCAATAAAGAAATTGAGAACAGTTTTAGCTTTTCATTTTCAACTCTCTTTACGGAAAAATAACTTGTCCTATCACACAAAACTGCCCATAAATATTCAATTGTATAAGAAAAATTTTTCACTGGTATCGGAAATGCGGACAAACATTAATGTCCAGCCCTGCTTTTGTGCCATACTTCTATGACATAGTTACCTCTCATTTTCTCTGTGTCGTTCCATCATCTTTAACAGGGTTTTGGGTGTTTTCTCTCCTGTCCGTTTGTTTGTTTTTGTCTGTGTTGTTACTGGTGACAACATGGCACTAGGTATAGGAACTGATTTGCTGTTTGAAATTTCACAGTTTTCTTCACCAACACACTTTTTCTTAAAAAAAAAAATATGTGAAAATCAGTTTGTTAGTATAATATTGATCTTTTTTAAATAATAATCATTAACTTTCAAATCTTGACCAATTTATTTTTATGAATATATAGAAATTATTACAGTAAAATTTGTGTTTAAAATAGCACTATTGTAGTTTTGTTTAGTTACAAAGTAGAAATACCACAGAATTTCCTTTTGACAGCTCCACATGACTTATACACTGGTTGATAGTCCATTGTTTTATTTGGATTGGATCCTTGGATTGAACAGTTGCCCAGTGTTTTGATTGGTTCTGATCCCTGGACTGGTCGTGAAATGGGGCTTCATTTGTCCTCGCACTTTGAGATTGATAGGGAAACATTGGCTCGTATATGTAATTTGCTGAAAATGATTTTCCCTCTTTAAAACTGGGTTCCTGTGAATAATTCAAAAAGTGCTCAATTTTGAAACATCTTCCAACCAAATGCAATAATCACAATTAGATCAAAGACAAACACACAAACTCTCAAAGATTAGTAAATGAAAGTAACTGAGAACTTTTTAGGTTTTCACAAAGATCTTTAACACTTCTGAGAAAAAGGACTATGTTTAATTATACCAAAGACATATCATTCAATTATTTATGTGACATTGTCTCTGATGTCATCTCGCATTACTCTGTTACTAGATAGCCTACAGAACCGACAGTGCCAAGTGGCGGTTGTGGTTCGTTGTCATAATATTAATAATGCTAAATATGCAAATGGCAAAGCTAAATAGGATACAGCAGTAACAATCTGGAAAATTCCATAACTTTTCCCAAGACATCATAGAGACTAATAATGACCTATTTGACCTAACATGATGTCATCGATCACAGAGTTTATCAAATATTTACATTTTTTTTTCTGTACCTGACAAAAGTATGAAACAAAAAATACCATGTCACAGTTATTTCAGACGTAAATTTTAAACCGATAGCCTATTTATGCATGCTTTTAACGTTTTAATTTCCCGCCGCGACAAGTATGGCGACAGGAAAAGGTAATCTTGTACCCAGACAGGCTCCGCATTTCTCCGAATTACTTAATATGGTTATAATTAGAATAAATATGCAGCCCTTGGAAAGAGTCTATTGTGAAATATATAGATTTTTTTTATATATTATTGATTTAGATTATACTCTCCAACACAAAAATAAATAAACTTTTTTCCCAAAACAGCGTACTCTCGTTCGGACGGATTTTACACGACTCTTTTAGCTGGTTCCCTTTGGGAACTAAGTTAATCAGTCAACCAGTGTCGGCAATCCGCAATGGACAGTGCAACGGATCTCTCAAATGGCATGCTCTCTGACAGTGTTGCCAGTTGTGGTGAGTATTGTGGAAAACTATGCCTCTCTTTGATTGTGTTATTTAAAAAATAAACAGTCTTCAGATTTGATAAGTGCACAGCAATACCAGTGCTACCCTTAGGGTGCCGGGTGTCTCTAGCCGGCGGTCGGATCCATAAATAAAGTTAATTTATAACTCGGTGAACTATGTTGTAAACCTGCACCATTCATCCCCACCCCAATATTGCAAAACAATGGTATTGTCACTGCATGGTGTGAGTTTTATTCCGAAAACATCGTGTACATGGTTTTGAACAGTTGAATTTAGTTGGAATATGGCGAACAGTTAAAAATGCCTCCAATATGCAAATGCATAAGATATTGCTCCTATTATTTGAAACTTTTAAGTACACGTTTGACATTTTTTGACTTACAGCTTGTAAACATATACATTGATAATCATATCGATAATTTTGTCCCAAAAATTTTATTGGTGTTAAGGAAAGTTCAAATCCTGTCACCTTGAGCTGTAACATGAAGTGAGCAGCCAGTGGTAAACTGTTTCGTTTTCATCCAAGAACCCATCTGCTTTGGAAGATATCAAACCAAGATATTCTTTGCAGTTTCATGTGACTGCATAATGAGACATATCTTTTGCTGATTGCTTGTGATATAAGCAGCATTTTGTGTAACAGGGTAGAGTAAAATTTATGGCTAGACCGGAATCAAACCTGCATGCATTGCTATAGTCAGGTGTTCAAACCACTGAGCTATCCAGGTAGATATCCAAGGTTCTTATAGCCAATTTATTCACTAAATTCCTCCTTAAATTGTTTTTATACTTTACGATGCACAACCCAGATTCTTTTGGCAGCTAGGACTTCACCTGCAAGTCCAGGGGTAGTCAGTGGCACCAAATATAACAGGAAAAGAGAAAATCTTTATGGCTGGACTGGAAAACAAACTAGGGACCCCTGCATTACTATAGTCAGATGCTCTAACCTCTGAGCTATCCATAGGCCATAATTCCCAAACCATGGCAGTTGGATATTGTTAACAACATGTACATATATATATATATATATATATATATATATATATATATATATATATATATATATATATATATATATATATATATATATAAAGCACTAAAAATGACCAACGACACGAACAATAATAATTGTCAAATTTTCGGGACGACCTGTCCCTTCCTCAGGACAAAGAAAAAAGTTAAGAAGTCATAAAAACAAAGGAAATAGAGAAGCAAAAACAACTAGCACTACTACTAAACTACCAAACACTAAATATTTACAATGTTACATGTTTAATTTGGAGTTTATAAACAGTTGTGAACAAAGAAATCCGGAGCGCTATGAATTGCGTCCGGTCTATCGGGTGTACTCTGGTGAAGTATGATTTACATAATTGAACGAATATATATATATATATATATATATATATATATATATATATATATATATATATATATATATATATATATATATATACCCAATAGCAAAGGCAATTAAAGTACACATACAAAGTATATCTATACATCTAAGGATGCATGCAGAAAATGCTATACATCTTATTTGATTTTTGAGTGTGCTTTAATTTTGATAAGAATTAAAAAAAATTTTTTACTATTACTTTTCAGTGTATAATGTATTTGATATGTTATATGAAACCAACTTCCTTTTAACACACCCATGATGTTCATAATAAACAGAAAATAGACCAAGAATTATTAATGTGGCTGAAAATTACTGTTAAATCTATGGGCAAAATAAATTTTGCCAAGTCTCCATTTGTTTTTTCAGAGCACTAATCCTTTGAACCAATAGTAGCTGCTACTCAGTACTTAGATAATACAAATTTATTAATGCAGCATTAAAATATAGATTTTTAAAGTTAACTAGCTATCTGACACTCTACAAAACAAATTTTGAATACTTCTACTAAAATTGAAAGCAAATGCAGCAAAATACTTTGAGAGTGCAAAATATTTTCTTAAGTTTGCTATTTCTATGTACTGCCATCTTCTATTGTATGTTTATGCATCAGATTGCGCAGTCATAAGAAGAAATTGACAAAGTTGACACAGCATTACTCAAAACATCTCTGTATCAAAATAATAGATGCAGTATTCTTTAGAAAAGTGGTCCATGAAAAGGAATTTAATGGTCTCTCAAAATACATGTAACAGATATATCCCTATTGAAAGAAAAACAAAAACAGGGTTTATAGTTGTTCAATTTGCTTGTTAAAACATGTACCATACAAATGAAAACTTCCACATCATTGCACTAAAGATTATAAGTATAAGGATTTGAATGGTCATGGGACTGCTTGATTTATACATACATCCAGTTTGTGAAAAAGAAAAAAGTTATGAACATCAGCAAAAAAAATTTAAATGCCTACAAATGCTAATCAACAGATTTTAATGATTATCTGTGACAGATGCCTGTATTATTGAATATAGATAAACATCTGACAGGTAGATGAAATTTACATTGCTGAAATCTATAATCAATTTCACACCATAAAATATACAACAGTATTGAAAATATTGCCAGATGCCTCATTGATTTTTTTTTTTTTTTTTTTTTTTGGATACTAGCAATATTTATGGTTGACAATACACCATTGTTAGATATAGATCAAAAGGAATGTTTTTTGTGAATTCCTACATGGTCGTAACATTGTTATCAAACTGCCATCATGAATGATTTCTCAAAGCTAGAAGAATGAAAAAATTAAAAATGCAAAATTTTCCATGCATTTGCCAAAAACATTATAAATGGTACTTTCCTTTCTCTTTGGATTGAAATCACTTCTATTTTTGTCTTAATTCTCACATTGTCACAGAAATACCCTCAAGTGGTATTTGGTTTGCAATTATTCTCTGGTCTGAAATTTAGCATTAAAATCAATGCTACTTTTGAACACAAATTCCTAAAGCCTTTTTTGAGCAATGTATCTGACAATCTGATCGCCATCACATTCCCATATACTAAACAACGGACAGATATAGGAATTAAGGGGGGGGGGTATGGAAGTTTTGTCAGAGGCAGGCTGCTGGCCCCATTAGGTCTTGAGTGAAGCCTTGGTTGGGGCCCGAGGATGAAGCCCCTGGAAGCTCATGAATTTTAGTGATTTTAAGAGCAAAATTTACCTTATAACATGTATAATCAGCCTTCAGGGGCATAGTTATACACCATCCTACAAACACATTTTAGTTTCAAACTGTGCAAAATTTATCATCAGAAAAGCCATTATACTACTTAGAGCAACTTGATTTTATGTTAGCTTTGCTGGTTACAGGTATCAGTGGATACTCGTGTGACTCCCAAGAGGTGAAGAAATAAAAAAAAAATTAACAGTGTCAAGGGTCAGCATAGCTCTAAGTCATTGTGTTGTAATTTAAAAATTAAGCTGTTTTGGAAAAGTATCTACATGCTACATAGTATTTTGGATACACAAACTGTTACTGGTACTATATGGCAATGTTTCTAGTATCAGTTAATTTTTTTTTCAATGCATAGCAGAACATGAATTCAAAACAAAAAACAAAAAGATTGTTTTCTTGGCTTTCAGTTAAAAGTCCCAGTGGGTGCAGCTCTATAAACACTTGAAAAATGTTTTTTTGGACTATGATAAAATTGTATTATATTAAGGTGTCCTTATGGCATTTATCTAGTTCATTTTCAACATAGGATATCTGCCATATTTCTTCGGGGAAAATGTTCAGTGTCATTGAAGTATTAGCGAACAAAAATCTTGGTTGTTTAGCTACATTTGAAAAATATTTGGAAATAAAATAAATGTTTATAAATACTTCATTATGGTCTAATGAATTGTTTAAGATACTTATATAATCTATTTCAAATTATGTCATTTTCTGTACATTTACATTTATTCCATTTTACATCAAAGGGCAGGTCACTCTTAACGTCAAAAATCTACCATGGATTTAGTGAGCAGTGTTTAGGGCTTCCTTAAGCAGTCTGGGAATGTCTTGTATGGGAGATAACTTGTGATGGATAATTTTTCGTATATACAAAATAGTTCTAGGTAACAAAGCGATAATATCATTTTATCCATATTGTATTCTTCTCATTTTTCCAGTAGGAAAGACTGTCATTTTATGAACATATACATACAGCTGTATGTCAATTTTCAACAAGGTCTGTTTAGTAAACACTGATAGTACATCAAAGAAATTATACACAAAACAGATAGTATTTGGAGAATATATAACATGAAACAGATACTGATGATAATTCCGTGTTACAAAGCCAAAACAACTCTGTAATCTGCACTGTTATATAACAAAATATGTAAAAGACAGATAATGAACTACATACACATAAGGTACATGTATATGTTCATTTATTTCCAAGTTATGTGGCAAAGAAATGCAGGCTTCACACCTTGTAATTTGGAGGGGAGTTGTAGTTATTAATATTTTATGGGATGTATACTTGTAGAGATAACCATAGGTGCCTGTGTACTTTTTTATCTCGAAGGAAATGTAGATCTTAGAAGATGAAGTGATAAGTGCTTGGGCTATTTTTACAATTTTTTTTCACTGTTGAAGTTAATCTGTGAGATACAAGCAAAGTTTAAAGTCTGTTTTTATGTTTAAGTTTGTGATACACATGTATTGTCATGTTTACATTTGTGAATGACATAATTGCCTGTATTATCTTTTTCTTTGGGGGCCATAAAAACTGTGACAATTTCAGTTTCGTAGTGATGAATTATGAGACTCTCAAGTTCGTAAGTTCAAATGCAGAGTTGAATATAACCTGCAAAATAACATTTTAAACAACTATTTTATGTTTGCTTAGGAAAATGCACATGTGGATTTTAAAGAGGTTCTCTTACTCAACATACTTAAACAATTTCTCCTTTTAATTTTTTCTTTCCACAAAAAAGTGCTCAAGATTTTTGGAAAATGGATAAAAGTCTTCTGAATGGAATTTTGAAAAACTGGGAGTGACTAAAAAAGTTTATTAAGTAGAAAAACTGCTACTCAAATGCTAATTGAAGTCTGATATTACTTTGACAAAGTGAGTGAACTCACAAAAGTGTGGGATTAAGATTGTCAGATCAAAGTTGTCACTCCCAGTCAAGGTCATACAAAGAAGGCTTTTGTGTACAAAGGAAGAGTACATTCAGAGTGGATATTGATTTATTGGAAACAAATGTGTTCAACAAATGAAGACTTCCACATCCTACCTGTGCTGAAAGCCTAAATAAGGCAGCTAGGGTAAAAAAAGAGAGATGACTTGATGGCCAGCAGGCCTCCTAGTTTTGGTGCTGTTGACCAGTGAATGCATGAGTCAATATGGAGAACCACTTGTCCTTTAGTTGTCATGACAGCCAACCTAGCACAGCGTGTTCAGCTGAATATAGTGGTATTGATCTGGGATTTCATGTTTCTGATGATAGAGATGTTTTGGGTGAGCTGTTAATTAAATTAGTGGCCTTATTTCATTGATTAGTATAAATGTTTGTCAAATATAGCACATTTGCCACATGTACTGCACTAAAGTGATGCATAATTCCATTCTGTATGATGTTTGTGATATTGGAAGCTGCATGCTTTAATTATGCTACTTTCACTTTTGAAGATCTCATTAATGCACAATTGATTGAATTTTTTTACAATGTTGGAAGATGATTCTATACTGTTGGAAGATGATTCTAAGAAAGTCAAGAAATAAAAACAATTTCTCTACATGTGCTTTCTTCACATATGCTTATAATAATTATTCTGTAACATAAATGTATACAAATGAAACAACTCGTGACATAAGTAAATTCTCTCGGCAGTTCTAGATAAACAACATTAGGAAATGTTCTAATTGAATACATGTATATTGCTTTATCAGTTCTTAATGCTCTAGTCTCTGGTGGAAGTTTATCAGCCAGTAATGACTATCTTTAGATTGATGTGGTCATTTGTGTGCAGGTTATTGTCACATTGGCTTGATGTGGGATGGGTTCAGCTAGATTTTACTGAATGTCAGAATTGATTAACATATGGCTAGTGGTTTTGGTTATGTACAGTCCAGTGGGTAATGGAAAATCAATAACAGGCCTTCCTGATCAATATACTACCATGCATACATATAAATCTACAGTTTTGTGTGATACTGATAAAAACAGTAAAACATATATAAAGAGGTAGACTTGCGGGCTCCTCACAAATTTCTCTACTGAATGTAAACACTATTTGTTAAAAGGATTGTGATGTATGTATTAATACAGGTAATTAAAAAAGGTTTAGAGTTAATCATGGGCAAATAAAAAGTGTTTTTTTTCCCTTTTCGCAGTGATAAATAAACTACATGAACTTTTGCGAGTTCTATCACAAATTTTCTGTGATTCTTATGTATGGATTGAATAAAATTTTAACCCTCCCAGGATAGAACTCCAGTGTGGATAAGCTTGAGCATTTTATTAGGTGATACACCACAGCAAGAATATTCCAAAGTACTGAAAGTACTGAGTGTTAAGTTTGGTAGTCTCTAATATCATTCTCTGATTCAGAAATCAACCAGTGATGCTGAATGTTTCTTCAAATAAAGGATTGTTCAATGTAGTGCAACTCTATTTTTTGCAATGCCTTTACGACATCAGGGGCACATTCAAGAGCATAGCGGCTACGTAGCAAAGCTACGCTCTTGAACAGAGAGCTAGCCTAGCCGTTACATAGGGAGAGCTAACATAAATATTTGATGTTAAATACCAAATCCAAGATGGCCTCCTTAGTTAGAACTTCGTAGCACACAAGATTTTAACAAAACGAGGAATTATTTTCTACATCTTAGCAAATTAAATGTATATATACATATATATTTTCGCTTGAAATAAACTTCTTTTGTTCCAGAAAAAAGTTTTATACTGATAAATTTTTATCCCACTTAGCAACTAGGCTAGCTTTCCATTCAATAGAGATAGATATGTACCATTTAGCTGCTAGGTTAGCCGCTACGATCTTGAACACAGCCCTGGTAATCAAAGAATTATGCTACATCCAAGTATGACTTGTAAAACACATTTCACATTTTTAAGGTTATTCAAAAATCGGAAAATGAATGTAGAAATCCAACTGGTGACAAAAAAGTGCTGCAACTATACTTATAAAGCTTTAACAGCATAACCTATATATAAGCCAGAACTAGTTGCTTTATGCTTTTCTTATATTGTATATGTACAGAATTTCTTGTACCACAGTAGTATATACCAGGAGAATTTGCCGTAAATATTTATGTGTTTTTTTCCACAAGAATCATAAAGAACTTTGTGTAGTGTTTACAATGCATATGTACTATATTCTGACAATCTTGTTTTGTGTTATAGATGGACTTCTCAGTCAGGAACAAATGGACACATGTGATAGAGTCCTCTGTCTGGAGAAAAAAGTCCAGCAACAGGAGGACGAGATCATCTGCCTGAAGAGTGCATTAGCGGATGTCATTAGAAGACTGGGCCACGTGGAGGCCAGTAAAGGTGAGCTGGTTGTAGGAGAACTTACTGGATTATTTATCTCACTTTTTGAAAGGAACACCAGGAATATTTTAGAATACTTGAAGGTACGTTTATCAGTTCTGAGTTCTGAAAGCAACATGTCTGCATGTACCGGTAAGAGGTATATCGGAACAGAAATTGCCTGTAGATAAGTGTATATGTACAGGTGGTTGATAATTTTATGATCCTTTGAATAAAATCTATACACAAATGATAGCCCATCACTATTAGTTTTGTAGTTCTAAATAAGAACAGCTTGCCATAGATCAGGGAAGATTAAAAATTTTAATGAAGAAGAAATTATCTGATGTTCACTTCTTTAAATCTCATAAAGGTGAATAATGATTCATTAGCAAAGATTTCAAAGAAAAGCTTTATTTTGAAACAGCACAAAGCCTCATAAAAAATATAAATACACAGATGATGCTCAGTCTAGGGACTACTAAAAAAAATCAATTGAGAGCTTGAGAAAGCAAGAGTTCAAAAATAGTACTTTTTCCAATGGTTTAATTGTAATAGCAAAAGTTTTTTTTTAATATTTGTTTTTGTTTTGATTAAGAAATTTTTCAGATATTACTTTGGAGCAAATTAAGCCTGTTTTAAAGAACGAGGGCGCTTTTGATTGGCATTCGGCAGGAATCTGGGCGCACTTGAAAATTAAGTGAAAATTTCATTGATATGTCACATGAAATTTTAGCATTCTTTTCATGTATCAGGTTCCTGTGAAATAGGAAAGGGAAATATTTTCCCGATATTTTATTTTGATTTGCTAAAAAAGAACTTGAAAATTGGCTAGATGAGTCAATTGGTACAAAATGTTACATTTTTAAACACGTTTTTCTAAAAATTTGCTATCTCTGGGTCGATCATCTCTCCATGATTTTGAAACGTTATTTGTTTGCATTTTAATTCAAAGAAACTAACAAACATTTGTAAAAAATGGAGAGAAGACCCAGAGACGATAAAAAATGAACTTTTTACAAAAAAAATTCCAATGTGTAAATGCGGTGCTTCATTGTCGCTTTAAAAACCATAAAGTGTCTGTAGCGGTGATAGCTCAGTAGTATGCGTTATAGGGCTGGGACGATACAACATTTTCTATATCGATACGTATCATGATATTTGAGCCACGATACGATATGTATCACGATATGTTGAATTACTTATAAAAAAAATTTTGTATTGAAATGAACAAAACATTTCTTCACAAATAAGAATAATTTATTCAAAGAAGTTGTATATCTGTTGTGAAACAAATTTACTTTACACAAGTGTTGTATATTATTAGGTATTGCATATTCATATTTATATTTTGCATAAATATTTTATATATTTAACCCAAAATGTTGAGTAAACAAAGAAAAAAACATAAGTCAGATTTTGTGGGCGATACTTCAATATTTCTTCATACGTATCGATATGCGTATCATCCTCACATTGAATCGATATTATCGATATCTCGATATATCGTCCCAGCCCTAATGCGTTACCCGTCCAGTGCAAGGAAAAAGAAATATTTTTGGTTCAATCCTCGCATGGAGCGTAAATATTTTTTTTAGTACAAACAATCAATTCTTTTGTCAGTTTAATTTTATGTACTTATTTATTTTCAAATAGATAAATTCTGGTTCTGTTGCACCGAAAGCGAAAGCAATTCTTCCAACCTACTTACACTTTAATATATACATGTACTTGTAAATGCATTTAACTATACCCTATAGGTGTTTATTATTTATGTGAAGCATTACTAAGTTTTACATGTAGTAATTATTAAGATGAGGGGGTGATATATTAAATATGACAAAGTATTTCAAACTAAATGTAACATTTTTCCATGTGCGTAACTTTGTAAAGTATGTCCAGCTGTGATCAACCGACCAAATCGTAGACATTTAAACTATAAATGTTTTGTACGCCTTATCCCTGCAGATCACACGCCAAACACGCCCATCTTCTTTATTTTAGGTGTTTTGTCCCATTTACAAACATAACAGAACAAAAGGTTGTCAATCTGGTAATGCACAGGTCTCAAGGTTATTGTTAAAATTTAACTTGATTCAGTGAAATCGGCAACCTTTTATTTTAATCAACAATTCCATTAATTGTCATCATATGTATCTAAAAGAAAAGTTTGACCTATTGTATTTACATCCAAGTAATAAAAAACACAGTCATTACAATTTTAGCAGTGACTCAGACAATTTATTATGACTGACGAGTGTGAATGATGGCTTGATGTCATAATTACTGGTAGACTTTGAGTGATCAAGAGTAAAAAATATAGGATTTTAAAGAACTGGAGTTGGAAGATACTTCTGAGAGATTGAGAGTTTTGAGTAATTGATGTTCAAGCAATCAAGACTATAACTTTGCTTAATATATCATGTATTTATTAAGAGAAAAAAATCAGGCCAGGCCAATTAGACTTTCTATAAGTCTAAATTTGAGCCATCGAGTCAGTTGTACATTGTATTCAGTTAACTAATAATTCAAATCCAATGTTAATTCTGTTACAGCACAGTCATCAGTGTTGCCCAGTAAGCCCAATATTAGAGGAACACCCACTAGGAGGGCCGAGAAGTCATTCACCAATCCCCTTGAGAATGCCCGTGTCACGCCCAGCAAAAGGCCCACAACGCCCACACATCGAACTAATGCATCTCCACGCACTAATACTTCAAACAAAAAATGGTCTTCCATGTCAAACTCTTTGGACTCTCCTACTTTCCATAGGGATGGGTAAGCTATCAAATCTCTTTATAAATTATTTAAAAGTTTTTTTTTTTTACTTTAATTTTGTTCAGTTTTGTTTAATTATTTTTTTTCTTTTAAATCCTGTGAAATTTTCTAGCCAGACTAGCAATTTGAAACCTGTTGAACCAAAATCTAGCAAACCTGTTGAACCAAAATCTAGCAAACCTGTTGAGCCAAAAACTAGCAAACCAGTTGCACCAAAATCTAGCAATTCTGTAGAATTGAAACGAAAAACTAGTAAAGGCTATGAGCAAGAGAGTTCCAATGAAAGGAGGTAACTTGGGATAACCGGGATATACATCTATACACAATGCTTATCAATTGCATAGAGGATTTTGTAGTACATGCTCAAAATTTGGTCAAGAGTTGTGGCTCTTTGTATTAGTGGGAGCAAATAAACCAAAATTGAAGAGAGTATATTACCTCTGATGTATAAGAAAAGAAAATCTTCTATGTAATGTGTGCAGAAAAGTTAACAGTATTGAAATGTATTCTCCAATATATCAAATATTAACCCATGTATCTAAATCTTATCCAAATAAAGTAACCAAGTTGTTTTGGTTTAACAATATAAGGTCAATATAATAAGTTGTTCCAGAGCACTGTTTATGTTTTGTTGGAGTTTTAGGGTTGGCTGGGATAATTGCATGTATCTTATTTATACATCTATAGATCATGGGTGACAGGTGGGGAGGATGTTAGATTGACCTTGACCCCATCCAAGTTAGTAATCGATTATGCAAGATAAAGAAAAGTTTTACTGTTGAGTGACTGTTTAGTAAAACACCCAAGGAACCATTTAGCTTGCCGATATAAAGATTTATGATTTTAAGGGATGGATCCAATAAGGAAGAGATGGCATTAAGAAGCCAAAATTGTAAAGAACAAGAATTATCAAATGAAAGATGAGGCAAGAAAAATATGAAATGTATGTTCATAAGTCATATCTCCTCCTCTGTGACTCATTTCCCTGTAGTTTTAATTATATAATCTCAGAAAATAAATAGGTAAATTTTACATGTACATTAACTTGGTCATTAAAGTATCATATAGTCATAGTCATATAAAGCTCTCAGTGCAAGCAGCCTCCCATTTTAATGTGAGAATGAAAGCTTACCCATATCAAAAAATAATACATAAAAGTATATTTTTAATATATTTTTAATACAATCATTTTCGTATTGTTTAAAATTAATACAGAAAAAATATATTATTTTTGTATCACCAACAAATAGGTAGATTATTTTTGTATTAAAATCTGACTTTGATTTTTTACAGGGTATTATTTTTGTATTTTTTGGGACTTAGATTATTTTCAGTATATCATTTTTGTATTTTTGTGGACTTAGTTTTTTTCAAGTGTATTTTTTCTGTATTAAAATTGAACTTAGTAATTTTACAGGAAATTACATACAGTTAATCTGTATTATTTTTGTATTAAAATTGAACTTAGTAATTTTACAGAAAATTACATACAGTTAGTCTGTATTATTTTTGTATTAAATTTGGACTTAATAATTTTTCAAAAAATACTATACAGTCAGCATGTATTTTTTTTATATTTATTTTGGACTTAGTGTTTTCTTTTACTGAAATTTGTATTTCTTTGAACATAGGAAAATTTACAGAATGTCCTTGCAATAAGTCTGTTGGAATTAATGTTTTTTCTCAGATTTTATTAATTAAGACCACTGCTATAAAGGTTGCTTTTATACTATTTACATTTAATTGCTATTTAGAACAGAAAACTTCCGTAGTTTAAATTTGTTAACTAAACAATTTCATTTTTAAAACATGTCTTTACTAGGTGTGAAATTGTCATTTGGAAAGAGATATAGATACGTCTAAGGGGACACCTGTGCTGTACATGATACTTGTAAACACGCGGTAAATTTTGAAGTTTCAGAGTTTCAGACTTTCTTTTTGTGTTGAAAATTTTACAGCGTGTTTACAACCGAGTGTTTACAACTATCGCCAACAGCACAGCTGGCCACCTGCAGGTTAACAATAGACGAGTACATGTTATACTACTCAAAGAAATAACATGATTTACCTGTGAAAACACATCCCAACCAAAACAAAAAACAAAAACAAACAACATGGAGAGTTCCACTATGCACTAATTACAGTACCTACGATGTTTTCTTGACTATACAACTCAATTTATTATACATTATATTTAATTCAGTACGTATTACAATTACATGGAATTTAGAACTATTTAATTATCCGCTTTAAAAAAAAAATTAAATAAGAAATTATTACGAAAGAATATCATAAAATAATATAGAAAATGTTTGAAATTGGTGTAAAGGATAGTTGTTAAACATTATTTCAATCTCTGGTACCGTATGTATGAGTTAAGTTGTCCGTCAAAAAGGCTATATATTATGGATCTCCCGCTCGTTTTGATCATTATATTTGAACTTTATGGTCTACTTCACAGGTCAACTTGAATATAAAAATGGCTGCTCGAAGCGGAAATGATGACCGGAAATAACGATGTTTCGTAATCGGTAAATTCCGTAAGGAATAAAAAAATGATTCTGATGATTAAATTGAACATCGTTTTTTTCTAACATAATTTTAGGTTTGTTCAATTGATTCAAGATATTTAAAACCATGTAAATATGTTTTCTCTAACAGTTCCGATCTCAACATCGGTAATTTTCGTATATATGACACAATATGATTGGTCAGATTTTAAAACTCTTCCGTACTGTTCTCTGATTGGTCAACAATATTTCACCCACGCCATTTTGAAAATTCTTCCCGGGACGTGTTGAGAAAGCTGGGGGTGATTTTGAATAAACTCTCATTTGCTCGCGAGTAAAGTGGATCGAAAAACAGAAGTTCAGCATAATCATGGTACACAGGATCATATATATTAACCAAGGAAAGCAAATACATAAGGAGACTGACGTTTTTTAGGCATCATATCCGGACTTTTCTGGTGTAAACAACAACAGTTGCGGTAAGATTATGTATATTTTAGCACATTAAAGTTTCAGTTTTTTAAATAATAACTTAGTACAAAGATAGAGGAACAAAGAATGCCCTTTTACCCATTTTGTAGTATTGTAGAAAGAAAAAATAGTACGGTTATTGGCCATGTGGGGAACAAGGGTTTTTGTGATAAGTTCTGATTGGGGAGGGAGGGGTGGAAGATGAGGGTAATTTTCAAGGCTTTGGCTTCCTAATTCTAATTCATTCCATTTTTTTCAAGTTTACCAGAGATGAATTATTTATTTTCCCTTCAAAAACAATTCTGTAATTTGTATAAACTCAATTTTTTTTCGAGGGGGTGGGGTGGTAGGTTGGGTTTCAGGGGGGGGGGGGGCAGTTTATTTGAATAACATTGGGGCACACATTTTGTTTACTCTTTCAACATTTTCAAGGACAGATTGTTTATTACAAATATTTTTTTAAAAATATTTTATAAATCAGTCCCCCCCCCCCTTTTTCTTCTCCAGATTGTCAAATCAAATGGTTGTGCCCTAAGAAACCCTAGATTAAAGAAAAGTAATTTCAATGGTACAATTGTATGGAATTTGGTGAACTCCGCTGGATCTTTTGGAATTTCAATTTATAATTATTGTTAATTTTAGTCAGCAGAACATTGAAGAAAAGATGATTAGACATGGAGGAAGAAGATCCCTCTCAAGAAAGTATTGCAGGTGTGTGAGCTAAACAAAATCTATATAGAATTATTTTGGATGTGAAAATGTGTGTTTTGTTGAGGTAATGGTTCATTAAATTTTATTATTATATCATTCTGTTCTATATTTCACAGTGATGAAGTCAGATGAGATGACAGGTTGTGTGATTTGAAGATGGACTTCTGCAACAAAGTAAACACTCCTCTACCTTTTCCATACAAAAGAAACAGCAAAGCAGAGAGATCGAAACATTTGGTAAAAGTACAAAGAAAACAGGATTAGTTAAACTTGTGAAAAATATCAAGACTATTGAAGAGCAGATAATATGTAAAAAGAAAGATCAAGACTACAATTGGTAGCTGAATCAGTAGCCTGGCCACATTAATTACTTTTTAATTAGCTATTTGTACATTTAAGGTAATCTGACTGAGTTACTAAAATTGTTATTTAACAAATATTTCAAATAAATAAAAGATTTTTGAATAACAATCAATAGATGCTATTAAGAACCTCAATCTCCAGCCCCTTTTCTTCAAATAACAATTTTAACCCATGATCATTTTTGTAGTTTTTAAAACTCTGTTTTGTATTATTTTAAGCATTTAAATGTATTTTTTGTCTATCATTCTTGTACTTTTTTGATATTTTTGAAATACAATCCTTCATGCTGATAAAAATACAAAAACAATACATATTAATACAAAATTAATACATTCTATATTTTTTTCATACTTTTTTGTGCACTGTATTATTTTCATATTTTATATCTTTTTTGTACTTTTGTGTTCCAGATGAAAAAATACAAAAATAATATATGTGATACAAAATTAATATATTCTATATTTTTTTTGTATCTTAATTCTTAAAGGTGAAAAAATACAAAAATAATATATGCTAATACAAAATTAATACATTCTGTATTTTTTCTATACTTTTCTATGGACTGTATTATTTTTATACTTTGGAGAGGAAAATAGAGAAATAATACAAAAGTACAAAAACAATACGTTTTTACAGGTCATGTGTATCATTTCTGTATTATTTCGAAAAAATAAAGTATATTAAAAATATATTTTTCTGTGTTTGGCTTTTAAAAAGTCTATTATTTTTGACCTAAATTGGAACCAAGATTTAGAGGGTTCCAAATTTGGTCATTAAAAATATACTTTTTTTGTATTATTTTAGTATTTTTTTCTTGTATTATTTTTGTATTCATTTTCGATATGGGTAGCAAATGTTATTACAATTCTCCTATGACAATTCCAGCTTATGAATATTTTATTTGGCATAGTACAAATGTTAAAATGATCACTCATAATAAGTCTGATAGATAATCCAAATGACACTTTGTAGTGATCATGGGAGTTCATTGATAGCAGTCATCAGAGAATTCATATTATTCTCATGAAGTGAATTTATCTGAATTTTTTAGCTCTGCAATAGGTATTCTTAGATGTCAGTGATAAACATTCCCAGCTATTTAGCTGTTTTTCAACATTTAAAGAATAAAAAAACCATATTCTTTTTTGTTTTTAAATTTTTTCTTCTTATAATTCAGTTTAGTTGCTCACCTGTTTTTGGAATACACATGTTCCTAGCATGGATGTTTAGTAGGAAAAAACCAACTCACATAAAGGAAGATGCATCAGAGCATTTTAATCCAGATCTTAAGTGGTTTATATTTACTTAAGAAAACCAGAGATATTTTCTGTACCAAGGAACATAGGCATAGAGAAAACAAAAACTGGGCTTTGAAGGGAAAAATAGGACTTCAGTGCATGGTTTCATATGGAGCTGTGCCATTGTCTAATTATACCCATTGTGTAATTTATCAGAAGGACCACTCTTAGTCCATGCTCAAGTGATGGACATTAATGTATTAGGTTTCATTAATGATTGATGGTTTCCTTGACAACCAGGTAAATTTTATGTGGGTCACATGACCGTCAGCTGACTGCATGGACGTCAGACTCCCGGCCGTTACACTTGAGCGGAGCTTTATATACTTATCTTGCCACCTACATGTTGTTGACATAGTAACATTCTGTGTGTTAATTCATGTGTAACAGTTCTGGTCATTAGTGAATTTTTATAAACTGGGCAGGGACATTATTTCTGTGCATCAAAAATATAAATTGTACAAATTGTCACTCATGGCTTACAGAGGAAAGAAGGGGTCCAAAACACGGTAACAACAAATTTTATGTTTAATTACCAAAATCTCTGCTTTTGTTTTAAGTGCATGAATTTATTTACACTCATTTTTGGCAGATATTATTTGACTGTTCTGAACACAAATGATTATTTGAGAATTGTATACATGCACTGTTAATAAGTAGTTGGTTGATGCATTAGGAGTTTCTGCTTGCATGATATACACTCTGAAGGAAGTAAATTGGCCTTGGCGATGTATGTGTCATGAATGAGGAAATTGTTTGACGGAACAAATATGTCATTTTTTACAACTCTTTCTTTCAACAGTATTAGTTCTAGAGGGATTTGTTTGGAGGGAAGAAAAAACTTAGCATATCTACACTCGTAACTAATATAATATTACTAGAAATATATTCTGTATTTCTTGTGCTCTATTACAAATTTATGAAACCATACTTTAGCAAGCAAACATGTAATCCCATAGTGTATAGAGATATGCATGATGTATTTCTGTGTATTGTAATACATGTAATCAAAATATTGGTGTAATTGATTTGAAATTTCAAATTTTATGATAGAGATTTTTTGATTTTGTGTAAAAGTAGCAAAAGGCTTTTAATTTTTATCCATATTTTTATGTTTGAATTTTATTTAAAATTTCTAGAAAAAGAATTGTTGAATATGTTGCAAGAAATGTGAGATTTTTCATTTATTTCACTAATTGATTACCTAAATTCATAATATTGATATGTACAAATATCTATTTCCATACAAAGCATTGATCATAAATAATGCATAAAGTATGGGTGTCTAATGTAGTGGCTCATCTTACTCGAATTAGTGAAGAATCAATAAGCCACAAAATTAATTGATTGCCATGGTAACTATATCAACAGAAGTATGTAAATCTACTAGTCCATGTAACATATTTTAGACTTTCCTTTGTCAGGATAAAGATTTTCTTAGGTAACATCTGTTGGTTTGTCTGTGTGCTTTAGGATTTCCAATTTTGTAACAATTACATAATGCAACAAAATAGATAAAAAAATAAATAGATTAGATAAATAAAAAAATTAAAGGAAAAAAATGCTGAAAAGAGATTTTATTTGTCTGTCTAAAAGAGCAAGGTTCACCATTCACCAATGGTTTTAATTGGCCCTGTAACATTCTGAAAATATAGTGAACAAATTAAGCTTTAGTTATCAATATTAGACTCATATTGATTACACAGAAATTAAAAGTGACATAATTTCTTGGCAATGCTATTCTTTGCACCAATATTATGACATCATAAATTGCATCATTATTATTCGAAATTATTCAAAACAGTTCGAAGTTTCAGCTTTTTTCCAGTATTCTGTGCAGAGTCCAACCTCTGACCTTTCTTCATAGAAGGGAACTAACTTAATTGACAGTGGTTTTTTGTTTTTGTTTTTTTTTTTTGTTCTAATCTTCATTTTCAAATACTAATTCTCTCAAGACAGTATTGGAATGCAGTTGAAATATCTTTGTCTTGCATAACATAAAAAAAACTTTGTTTGATATAAAGTCTAAAGTTTGTAAGTTTTAATTAGTGCTTTTATATAGCTTTGGATTTTAAAATGCCTTTTTTGAAGTAGACGAGTTTGGTTAGGGTCACATTAGAGAGAGTGTCTATGTTTTTTAATGAGACATAGTGATTAATGTAATTTTATGTTATGGATACATATATTTCATGTTGCCTGATTTGTCTCATTGCAGCAGCCGGGATGCAGAATGGAGAGCAGGTAATTTACTGTTTAGGAATTGTCTTTGTGACAATAATCTGCCTTAGTTTTGAAATGAAGGAGACATAGCAAAAGTTAGTTGCTGTATTCCAGTAAATCACTTTTGTATCTTGAACCAAAAAAAAACCAAATTTGTATACGAAACTTGTGGCATTTATGATTGGGTCGCGAAATTTGAAAATATAACTGTAAAGAAAGTTTTTATAGTACTGTAGATTCCTAAATATATGCGAGGATTTAATTACCGCGTAATTACGTGAGAAGCACCACCCGCGAAATAAAATTACTCGCTTTTATATTTATGGTGCTGAAATCAATGTAAAATCTCTTGATCAACAGTCCACTCGGGAATTATTGTTCTCGGAATTTGGCGTCAAAGAGCCATTTCGCAAAAAACAAAAAGTACTCGCGAAAAATGAGGAATCTACAGTATTTAAATTGTCCAAGTTAAATAACCAAGTAATGTACTACATAGATATACTGTCTTGTTGATTTTTACAAAACATGAATTGATTTCATCTAATGTACATACTGAAAAATGAAAACTACACATGTATATAAACAATATAGGAAATGTGAATATTTCTTTCAAAATCACCAGTTATTTTAAACATGTTGGTCATTACATTTTGGTTCTGTACTTTCATGGAGATCTTTATAATTTCTTCATTCACCATCCATTTTTTACATTACACTTTACTTTTCTTCAGAGGAAGGATATGTGAAAATCTACCTCAGGGGCAGGGCTATTAATCTGTACGCCCCAACCACAGTGGAGAATGTGGATGTTACCAGTGTGGCTGATCCACCTTCTGAAAAACTAAAGCTGGAATGGGTGTATCCTTACTTGTTTATTAGGATGGCCCACTCAAGTGTTAAAAAAAACCTAGATCAACTCAATATTTGTTGCATCAGTAGGGATTTATTATCCCCTTGCAACAAGATTGGAGGGGATATAGTAACACCTTGTGAGGGTTAGTTGAGCTAGTGCATGGAAGTGATAATTTACATTGGGATCAATGGCATTTGCTGCCTTTCTGAATTGAATATTTGTTTTATTCTAACTTGCTTTCCGTAATTATCCAACAAAGTTGGAGGGGATATAGTAACACACTTGGGTGTGAGTGGATGGGTGAGTGAGTGTGTGTGTAATGAAAGTTATGCAAGTAATAATTTAGATGGGGATTAATGTGCTCATTTGTGTGGGAATGCTCCACATTACAGTGCCCTTGTTTGAGATTTAAAGTTGGTACATGTATCTCATCAGTGAACTTTGAAGTTAAAATGCTCTCTTACAAAACAAAAGAAAGAAATAAGTTTTTTAATGTATATTCTTCATGGTGTTTCATTAATGCTGTAAGTATTTAAAATGGAAAGTATTTCATTACAAATCTCAAGGCCAGTGGATAACTTTGGAGGGGGGGGGGGTGAAAATACTCTCAAAGAAAAGCTTCCTCTCAATCTTTAATACAATATCTTGAAATTTTGCTATGTTTGTTAAGAAGCATCTGGGTTAATAGTGTACACTGGAGGAAAAGTTTCCTTGACTCTGACAAGCTATGGATATCGTGGCAGAGACTGTCGCTCCAACCTGTACTACCTCTCTACTGGGGAAATCATCTACTTTGCTGCTGCCTCAGTTGTCCTCCACAATGTAGAGGAGAACACCCAGAGACATTATCTGGGTCATACTGATGATGTCAAGTGGTGAGTGCCTTAGATATTACTGAGTACAGATAATTTCAAGTGATAAGTGTCTAGATACAACTAGAGTCATATGGCGGGTCTGGATATTATTATGGTCATATTGATGATGTCAAGTAGTGAGTGTCTAGATATTACTGAGGTCATACTGATGATGTGATGTAGTGAGTGTCTAGATATTACTGAGGTCATACTGATGATGTCAAGTAGTGAGTGTCTAGATATTACTGAGGTCATACTGATGATGTCAAGTTATTACTGAGGTCATACTGATAATGTCAAGTAGTGAGTGTCTAGATATTACTGAGGTCATACTGATGATGTCAAGTAGTGTGTGTCTAGATATTACTGAGGTCATACTGATGATGTCAAGTAGTGAGTGTATAGATATTACTGTGGTCATACTGATGGTGTCAGGGGGTGAGTGTCTAGATATTACTGAGGTCATACTGATGATGTGATGTAGTGAGTGTCTAGATATTACTGAGGTCATACTGATGATGTCAAGTAGTGAGTGTCTAGATATTACTGAGGTCATACTGATGATGTCAAGTTATTACTGAGGTCATACTGATAATGTCAAGTAGTGAGTGTCTAGATATTACTGAGGTCATACTGATGATGTCAAGTAGTGTGTGTCTAGATATTACTGAGGTCATACTGATGATGTCAAGTAGTGAGTGTATAGATATTACTGTGGTCATACTGATGGTGTCAGGGGGTGAGTGTCTAGATATTACTGAGGTCATACTGATGATGTCAGGGGGTGAGTGTCTAGATATTACTGAGGTCATACTGATGATGTCAGGGGGTGAGTGTCTTGATATTGCTGTGGTCGTACTGATGATGTCATACAGAATGTCTTAGTATAAAGGGTCCAAATTGATAGTTGGAAATTGTAACACTGGGTATGATGTAATAATGTTTCTTGAATTTCATATTGGATATGCTATTATTTGTGTAGAATTTCATTGGAGACTATATACTACAGTTTAAATTGAAAGAGAAACTACCTTTTTAAATTAGAGTGTTGAGTTTTTTTTTTTCTTTTTAACATGATTGTTTGGGTTTTGTAGCCTGGCCATTCATCCTGACCAAGTCCGAGTAGCTACTGGACAAGTGGCGGGGCATGACCAGAAAGAGGGCAAGGTAGGGAAATAGGTCTCACCCAGAGATTTTCTTTAACAAAGGGTTTGGTATCCCTTAACCTTAATATGCTGGTTTTTGTATTACATATACCAGTAATTATAAGAACTACAGGTTATTTTGTCAAGTCAAGTGAAATTAAATAAGAATTTTTTTCATCACATTTTCTTTCTTATATTTAGCTTTTGGTGAAATGCCTTATTGGCCCCTGCATGTCATTCACCATATTTTCTGTTTCATATGTTCTGAATTTTTTGATGCTGATGTTGTAATTTATGCATATGATTTATTAAGACCTCCAGCGATATTTGTTTAAATGGAGTACTTTATAACAACATTATTTTACACAACAAGAACAGAATGCACTACTGTGGAAACATCAAAATTTATGGGGGTCAATTTTCATAGATTGCTAAATTTTACAGGTTCGTGGGAATGTAATTTCGTGTTTCTCTTATACCTACAGAAGGAGATATGACTTTCTAACCATAGTTTATTAATTCCTTGAGGATGTTAATTCGTGGATGAGAGGTATCCACAAATACCATGAAAACTGAGCCACCACAGAATCTAATGATTCCACAGTATTATATGAATGTGATTTCCCTATTCTTGATTAGTGGATGTCCTGTACAAAAAAGATAACATCATATTAACCTGTACAAGCTGCCTTTAGGTCAATATTATGTCATTTTTATCATTAAATTCTAACTTTGAATTATGATGTTCATATAATAAAACAGTAATTGAATCTTATTTGGCACCAATATAATCCCCTAAGAAAGTATTCACTCATTCTACACTTTCTGTGAATATTTTCTTTATATGTGGTCACTGAATGTTTGTATTGAGCTTATGAAATTTAATAATTATATAATGATGCATGAACCATCTACAACTTTCCTGTTTTATCAATATTTAAATGTTGTACATTAATACAAGAACTTACCTTAATTTTTCTAACACTCAATCTCTGTGTTTAGAAATCTACATGTATTCACATTTATTGTACATGGGAAACTGACCTACAGATTACTATATTATTTGCTCAGTGGGTTTCTTTGTTGCTATGGTTCATATTTTATCACTTTTTCTTTTTCTCACTTTTATGCTTTGTTGCATGAATAGAGAAAAGCTGGGAAAAAAGATATCCCTGAAGCTGACAAAGATCATTGGGTAAGAAAACGAGAGCATCATCAAGTCATGTGTCATGTCATGTACATTTTGCAGTTTTTGTTAACCAGTCATGACGATCGATATATCATTTTACAACATTGACCAATCAGCTTTCAACAAAGTTTAGTTGAAAAACAGTTTGGGAAAAATTGTTCATATTTGATATTATTTTACCCAATCTCAGACCATTGCAAGTAAGGAAAACGTAAAAATACCTGTGATTACCATAATTTTCTGCTTTTGAAGTTTTAAGTGATTTTATATCGTAAAATCTTCTCCTGCATGTTTAGTATTTTGTATTGTTTACGTGTATTTTAACACAATGGGTTTAGATTTTGTGACATAAACCAATAATATCACTAACAAAGGAAAATTTAAACATTATATTATATAATATGTATTTCACCTATATTGAATTGAAATAGACAACAATTGGGACAATTGGTTCCTATAGAATCCCTCTCTATTCATATACTATATTCAACATAGCTTTCCTGAATAATAGTCAATAAACAGATGTTAAATAACTTTCCTGGTAGATTAATTATTGAGAATAATATTACACCCTTTGGTATTGGTACCATATAGTTATATCATCTTAATATGGACACATTACCATGCTTACTGGAGAGTCTTTTGTTGACATTTTGTACACCTATTTTAAACAGCCCCATGTGAGGATCTGGGACACGATGAATCTTAACACCCTCCATGTGATTGGGATCGGGGACTTTGACAAGGCTGTCTGCTGTTTATCTTTCTCCAAACTGGTGAGGCAGAAGTCTATTGTTATATTGGAGAATTTCTATATGATATGAGATTGTTATAATTATACCAACTTGAGAAACCATTATCTTGTTTTGATAAAGTCTTTAATTTTTAATCAGGAGATGAAATTCTAAATTTTTAAAGGATGTTTTTTTTTCTTCATATAAACCAATGTACTAATGAAATATCTTTGTTATACATGTATATCCACAGTGGACATCAAAAGTACAAAGTTATGTTTGTTGGTGATTTTCCTCTGTACAGAAATCAATATATCTCAATCAATAACCTCTAAAGAAAGTCTTGTCATCTTCATTATCTTAGGAAATCCATGACTATTCATAATTCAAGAAAATCCATACATGAAGAAATTATTCATAATTACTTGTGAACGACCAGAATCTTGTCTGTTTTTTAATGCCATATGTTTTGTAATGAACAGGATGGAGGTAATCACCTGGTGGTGGTGGATGAGGCTAACGATCATGTGATGTCTGTGTGGGACCTCAGTAAGGCTCATCCTAAGAAAATCACAGAGACAAAGGTTAGTCACCTCAGAGTAACAACACAGGGGGACTGCTGTCACTTGTACATATACATAAGGTTAATTAGCTGGAAAATCTTCTGCCAGAACTAACAAATGTGTTTAGCAGATAAGCATCTAGAGTGTTTATGAGTTATTGATTAAGAATATAGTTCAGCAGAAGAGAATTGTGTATTTAGATGTATCAGCTTTACCAACTTTACTAAATAAGGTAATTTTGACAAAACAGTAATTAGGTTACGAAAGGTCTGTAGAAAACTTTAAACATCCAGAAAATATGATATAAGAGAGTTAAAAAAAATTCAAGTTGGTAATCTGTTGTTTTAATATCCAAAGCATAAAAGTTTGTACTCTGGTAGATCTTTCTTAATATTAAATATTTATAAAATTTATTTCTGTGTAATTTTCCAATAAATATATACCTGGACACTAGTTTCTGACAATTTCAGCCTCATTTTCTAATGTGTTTGGTTCAGATTTTCTTAGAACAGGACAGCTTTTGAAAAAGTTTAGTAAGTGTACCTTGAAAGATTTCCAAAATCTTAGATATTCCAGTCCCTTGTGGTGAAAATGATAAAATCCAATGAAAAGATGATTTTTTTACTCTTCCAGTCAATCAGTTTATTTCTCTCAAACCATACAACATGGTATATAAGGAGCATAAAGTATAAACCATATCTATTACATCATCAGAGGTACATATAACGTATACATAGATAAATATTTTACAACTGCATGGAATAATAACAGTGTTTGTTATCTTGAGTCCATGGATATCTCGAAGTTGTTTCCTGGTCCTATCAAGTTCAAGATAACAAGGTTTTGCTGTATAATAAAGGAAAATTATATAAATCTACAAAATAGTAAGGACCCTCTTTACACTGCACAGTAATTAAAGAGTTCTTATTCTGTGGTATTTTTATGCAGTTAGAGTGACTGCCCTTATAGATCTGAAAATCTGGCTGTTGCCTATGTTAAAATAGGTAAACTCAATATGTACATCTTTATATGGTATAATTTTCTCAATGTCCAAAAATATTTTTCATAAGTGTATAGAGGGTACTTAACCAAGCTCAAATTTATAGTGAAAACTAGTCAAACATTTTTTCCCAAGCAAAAAATGTGTGAAGATTTCTTATAAAAGGAGGAAAATTCACTAAATCTGCAGCCTTCTGTCTTCTTTCCTAGTGCTGTCACATAAAATCTTATTGAAACTTACTGAAACAGGAATTTACTCTTTCTATGAGGCATAACTAACCCTGAAAAAATTAATGACTTTAGATAAAATAAGAAGTTAAAAATTTTAGAAATATAACAACTTGATCAATTTTTTAGAGCTCAACAGAACCTGTGCTAGCAGCAGAGTTCCATCCCCTTGAGAAAGGCAGCATTATCACATGTGGTAAAGGGCAGATCTCATTCTGGACTTTTGAAGGAGGATCCCTAGCAAAGAAAACTGGAATATTTGATGTAAATATTTAAGTTGTATTGGGTTCAAAGAGATTTTATTCTTGTTCATCTTCCTCATTTATAGCTCACCTCAACAAACTTGGGGGGAGCGTATGTAATACCCTCGGTGTCGGTGTCCCAGGTTAAAATTTTTGGAGTAGATTTCTTTTCAAGTACCCCTGTGCCCTATATTAGTCAGAGATGCATGGAAGATGCTTCTAGTATGTTTCATTGTACCAGTCAAGGTTTCAGATGCTGCAATTTCAGCTGAAGAATGACCAGGTTAATGTTTTTGGAGCAGGTTAAAGTTTTTTGAGTAGGTCTCTTTTCCAAGTAACTTTAAGCCCCATATTGACCAAACTTGCATGGATGATACATCTAAGGATGCACACTACCAGGCTTGCTTCAGATGCAGGAACTGACCAAGATTTTACCATTTGAGTGACAAGGTTAAAGTTTTTGGAACAGGTTCATTCTAAAGTAACTATAGGCCCTACGTTGACCAAACTTGCATGGATGATACATCTAAAGATGCACATTACTGGACTTGCTTCAGATGCAGAATTTAATCTACATTTTCCAGATGAGAGACCAGTTAAAGTTTTGGGAGCAATTTCTTTCTAAAGTGACTATAAGTCCTCTGCTAACCAACTTTGCACTGAAGATTTATTTATTGATGCACACAACCAGGGTAGCTTTGGATGCGGGATTTGACCTACATTTTCCAGATAAGTGAACAGGTTAAAGGAGCAGGTATATGACCAAGAAACTGTAAGGCCTACCTAAAACAAACTTGCATGGATGATGCATCAAGGGATGAACACTCTCAAACTTGATTCAGATGAATTGATTTGACTTAATTTTCTGAATGAGTGTTTAGTTTAAATTTTTAGATAAGTCCATTCCCAAGTAAATGCAAGCCCTTCAGACCAAATTTGTTTAAATGTTGCATCTAGGGATGCACATTACTAGATTATTAGTTTAGTGTAGGACTTAAAGACAACATTCGTTGAGCTGAGCTCTGTAATCTCTGATTGCCTATGTTTAATTGATATGAGGGGATTGTTAAATGTGCACTATTCTTCATTATAAAATATGGGATGTAATAATTCAAGCTCATTATGAAACATTAAATGCAACACATGAAAAGAAATAAGCAAAAATCTGGAATATCTATCATTTGTAACTTTCCCCCCCCCCCCCCCCCAATTTTAGAAGTAAGCTATATTTATTACTTCTAGTAGGTTTTTAACAATGTTTGTGTGAAAACATCATCTTTTTACCTTTTTTTTTATAGAAACATGAAAAACCCAAGTTTGTGTTGTGTGTGGCATTTGCTGAAAATGGAGACATTATATCTGGAGACTCCAACGGCAACATTTTCATCTGGCCAAAAGGTTTATATCTCTTCCACCACTGTTCATCAATTTTGAGGAATACAGCTCACTGCACAATACTTTTTACTAGGGATGTCAATTTTGTCCATAATTTATATTCGAATATTCAATGAAAGTATTCGAATATATTCGAATATTCGATTAAATAAATAAAATCTGTTTTATTATAAATATGCATCATCCTACTCTCATGAAAGGTTTAACGTAGGTATACTTATAATGGAAGTAAAATTGTATGAAGACTTTTGTAGGTGTACAATAAGAAATTCCATTTGATATTTGTCAATGTTTGAAATAAATAATTGATTTAAATGTAGAAAAGTATAATGTTAACAACTGAAACGTGTATTTATAGTAGCTCCAACTGAGAAACCAGTCGTCTTACATGTACAAAAGGCAAGATAGTCGTAACGGTATACTGTTCAGATTTCAATATGTGTAATACATTACAATTATCTGCCTGATAAGAGATATTGTTAAAATCTTTGATACAATGTAAAGGAATATTTCCATAGGCAATTTTCCTAGGTAATTAACTAATTTCCCGATAGTGAATATAAAATTCAGGATTATGTACAACCCGAGATAATCAAGTAATTTACACATTTATTCTGAAATTAAGCCCTTTACAATATTAATTACAGATTAATTATATCGGACATTCATTCAATGATCAATTAATTTTATTTTGATAAGTATACTCTTCACGACTTTTAGACATTCTTAGATTTCATTTGTTGTCCTCGATTCTAGATCCGATCGTATCTAACTAATAAAAACTATGAAAGTACGTTTTGTATTATACATAAAGTATTAGTGTACAATTCTTTAACAGCTTACTCAAAACAAAATACATGTAATTTAGTAGATTTATAAGATAAGAAATAAGTAGAAGAAATGAGGCGATCGAAATTGATCGCTAGTAAATTAAACAGGGATAATTCCAGCACTGTTCTAATCAAAATTTAGTAATCACAGTACCTCTTTTTATGAAATCTGAAAAACACCGAATATTCGAATCTTAAATTCATATTCGAATATCAACTTATCGAATGAATATTCGAATGTTCGAATATTCGTTGCCATCCCTACTTTTTACTGAATAAACAACATTCCATGTCAGAGATGATACGAGCTTATGCAGAACAGCAGATCTTATGATGAATTATACAATTATGGTTTTTAGTTTTAGCAGCATACGATAACTTTACTGACTTTTATTTTGTATTGATTTAAAAGGAAACAACAGAATATCCAAAGCCATTGAGGGAGTCCATGAGGGAGGGATTTTCTCTGTATGTGTGATGAAGGATGGAACTGTGTTGTCTGGGGGAGGAAAAGACAGAAAGATCATACAGTACGACAGCTCCTATACAAAGACAGGGGTAGAGACAGAGGTAATTAATATCATACAGTACAACAGCTCCTATACAAAGACGGGTAGAGACAGAGGTAATTAATATCATACAGTATGACAGCTCCTACACAAAGACGGGGGTAGAGACAACTCCTACACAAAGACAGGGGTAGAGACAGAGGTAATTAATATCATACAGTACGACAGCTCCTACACAAAGACAGGGGTAGAGACAGAGGTAATTAATATCATACAGTACAACAGCTCCTGCACAAAGGCAGGGGTAGAGACAGAGGTAATTAATATCATACAGTATGACAGCTCCTACACAAAGACAGGGGTAGAGACAGAGGTAATTAATATCATACAGTATGACAGCTCCTACACAAAGACAGGGGTAGAGACAGAGGTAATTAATATCATACAGTACAACATCTCCTACACAAAGACAGGGGTAGAGACAGAGGTAATTAATATCATACAGTATAACAGCTCCTACACAAAGACAGGGGTAGAGACAGAGGTAATTAATATCATACAGTATGACAGCTCCTACACAAAGACAGGGGTAGAAACAGAGGTAATTAAGATCATACAGTATGACAGCTCCTACACAAAGACAGGGGTAGAGACAGAGGTAATTAAGATCATACAGTTTAACAGCTCCTACACAAATACAGGGGTAAATTATTATTCTTTCTGGAGTACTTAATACATGTATAGCAAAATGGCTCTTTGACATCAAATCGCCAGAACAATAATTCACGAGTGGACAGTTGATCAAAAGATTTTATATGGATTTCAGCACCATAAAAATAAAAGCAAATAAATTTATTTTGCGAGTATTTTGCACTATAAATAATTCCTCGTGTATATTTAGGAATCTACAGTACACTGAGAAACACATGCTTAAGTGACCTCACAAGGAGACTGCAGAGCCATTAATAAAAATATAACAATATAGGGCAGAGAGAAATTCAAAAACACTGAGTATATTGTTAGTGCTTTTAAACATGTAAATGTAAGGAATGTTTTTAAGTTTAGGTGATTTATTGGTGTGTAAATCGCACAGACTTGCACATAGGCATATTTTTCATGAAGCGCTAGTGTATGCCTACGTGACAAGTCTATGAAATTTACACAGTGTTCAGTACATTACTGCAGTATTCAATTTTACAAATCAAGCTTAATTTGAAATTACTCCATAAATGTCAAATGACTGATGTAAGGAGTTTACAAGTAATTTGATAATGAGATAGTTTATTTTGGTTTTCGTTACAGATCCCTGAGAACTTTGGAGGAGTGCGGATGCTGAACCAGGGTAAGGGAGGGATGGTGCTGGTGGGAACGACCAGAAATTGTATCTTACAGGGAACAGTGGATCTACAGCTCAACCCCATTGTCCAGGTAGTCATCCTCTCCTTATATATAAATCATTGTGAATGATTTCATTTCAATACATTGTAGGAAAGTCCATTGTTAGCTCTACTGGTCAGAGACCAGAAGAGCTTATGCGATAGTAAGGTGTCCGTCGTCCGTCCGTCTGTCTGTCTGTCTGTAAACAATTTTTCAAAACGCTACTCCTCCTACAGTTTTGGTCCGATTTCAATATAACTTGGCACACAAGTAGACTACACTAAGATACATAATTTAGTGCATCAGTTTTTGATTTCGATGGACGGTGTTGCCATGGTTACTAAAAATAGAAATTTCTGTGAAATTCATTTAAAACGCTACTCCTCCTTCAGTTTTGGTCCGATTTCAATATAACTTGGCATACAAGTAGACTACACTAAGATACATAATTTAGTGCATCAGTTTTTGATTTCGATGGACGGTGTTGCCATGGTTACTAAAAATAGCAATTTCTGTGAAATTCCTTTAAAACGCTACTCCTCCTACAGTTTTGGTCTGATTTCAATATTACTTGGCACACAAGTAGACTACACTAAGATACATAATTTAGTGCATCGGTTTTTGATTTCGATGGACGGTGTTGCCATGGTTACTAAAAATAGAAATTTCTGTGAAATTCATTTAAAACGCTACTCCTCCTACAGTTTTGGTCTGATTTCAATATAACTTGGCACACAAGTAGACTACACTAAGATACATAATTTAGTGCATTGGTTTTTGATTTCGATGGACCGTGTTGCCATGGTTACTAAAAATAAAAATTTCTGTGAAATTCATTTAAAATGCTACTCCTGCTACAGTTTTAGTCTGCTTTTGATATAATTAGGCATACAAGAAGACTATACTAAGATACATAACTTAATGCATCAGTTTTTGAATTCGATGAACAGTGTTGCCATGGTTACTTAAAATAGAAATTTTTGTGAAATTTCCATAAAACGTTACTCCTCCTACAATTTTGGTCTGATTTCAATCTAATTTGGCACACAGTTAGAATACACTACGATACATAATATGTATTTCTGTTTTTTTTTATTTCGGTGAATGGTGTTGTCATGGTTACTAAAAATAGAAATTTCTGTGAAATACTTTCAAAACGCTACTCTTCCTACAGTTTTCGTTTGATTTCAATATAACTTGGCACAGAAGTAGACTACATTAAGATACATAATTCTATTTATTGTTGCATGTTGCAAAGTTTTAAATCCAAGTGCTACTTTTCTTTTGTTATACATACAGACCAGTAGAGCTACAGTCTCATCAGAGACTTCTGGTTTTTATTTTCTTTCTGTCTCAGATATTTGGATATTTTTTTTTAGTGGACCAAAATGAGATAATACTTAGTTCTTCTATTCATTCAGATTTTTTTTATTTCAAGAAAGCTCAAGCTTTGATTGATATTTGGCAGTATTTTGATATCATTTCTATTACATACACTGTATGTGCTGAGTTATGTGCATTAGATCTGAAGTTTGACACACTTGTGATATATGAGCCTTGTTTCTTTTTAGGGTCACATGGATGAGCTATGGGGACTTGCCTCACACCCCAGTCAGCAGCAGTTTTTGACTAGTGGATCTGACAAACAGGTCCACATGTGGGACAGTATGAGTCGCTCTGTCATCTGGTCTAAAGAACTCTCAGTAAGTTGGAGGAAGCAAGGGGGGTTGGCATTCAAATTAACCACTTTCTTTGTTGACAGGGAAAAAATGTTTAAAGGAGGATGATCATCTGCTAACAAAAAAAGATTTTATTTTTATTTTTCTGTAATGATGACAATTTCTAGCAGAAGATGGAGATGAATTCAAGCAAAATTTGATATCACATGCAGAGCAAATTTGAGATGCATCATTGCTAAGGATGAAAACGGTATATACTGTGTACAGGGAAATTTTGTTCTGGTTTTATTTTCGCCCCTTTCAACAACATTGGGCAAATTTAGGATGTAGGGAATTTAACAGAGACTAAATTATCTTTGTAGCACATTTGTGTCTGAGTGAATGTAAACAGCGGGTGTGAAATCATTTCCATGTTTTATAGGCTGACAGTAACACAGAGCAAACGAATATATTCAGTATGAATTCAAAGATTATCTGTTTTTGAGGAAATATGATAGTATTGTGTATTATATCTTATTTGGTAGGAATCAGCTCACAGTTGCTGTTTTTACCCTGATGGAAGTGTGGTTGCCATAGGAACTGAGACAGGAAAGTGGTTTGTGTTGGATTGTGGAACACACGAGACCATTACTAGTCACACTGACGGCAATGAACAGATCGAGTGTGTCCTCTACTCACCAGGTAACTATAAAACTTCCATGTGTTACAAAGCTTTAAGTGCCTAGTTAACCACACATTCATATTGCATATTTAATTTGATTCATTTTATAACAAGTATAAAAATGATAGAAATAGAAATTTGATTGATGTAAGTACTGGTTTGTCTCAAGAAAACCTATTTCATTCTGAAAGCCACAACATTTATCTTTTTATAAGAAAAGAAGATTTTACTAGGAAAGCTTCCATCATTTGTGACAACTAGTTATCAATCTCCTATGCAGAGTTGTTGTTCATTCCTCTCTCAGACACGTCTGCAATGGGCTTGCCTCAAAATTTTTGACATAAAGTAGAAAACATTATATTCCAAGGATTATTTCAAATTAAACTAATAGTTCTATATCTATTAAGGAAATATCTACCTTAAAAAACAAATATTAGCGCAGGGATTTATTTATAATGAATTAAAACAAATGCACTATTTCCCGTGCTTATCACTGTGATATATGCGAGCCAACGACAGAGGTGAATGTATGAGCCGATGGTAGAGAGTGCTTATCAGTGTTCTTAATACTATTCTGCTTACAGATGGTAAATATCTTGCCCTTGGATCTAGAGACAACCACATTTACCTTTATGAGGTGACTGAAGATGGGAAAAAATACTCCAGAATTGGAAGATGCACTGTAAGAAACACCAGTTTTCATTAGTTTATTTAATTGCTGTAATTAATGTTCTGTAACCACGTACATGTAATTAATTTCCCAGAAAATGCAATACTCTTCAAGAACTGAGTTAATGAAGATACTTAATGTGTGAGAAAGAACATCTTACATGTAATGAACATGCCTATTTTTGCAGTTTTTCTGATATCCCTGTGTGATTTATTTTATTTAAAAAATGAAATTTTATTATAATTGTGCTATTACACAATGAGCATATTATGTAGATCTTGCACAACATTCATGATATGTTTCTCTCTGAACAGGGACACAGCAGCTTTGTGACACACATAGACTGGTCCAGTGATAGTGTTTATTTGTGCAGTAATTCTGGAGACTATGAAGTTTTGTACTGTAAGTGGTGTCTTATCAGCTCAACTCAGCTAGAAATCTCTTATCAAAGATCAGGATTTGTCTGTCATCAATCTTCCACATAAAATTTTTTGGTATCAAAATTGAAAAAAAATGTTTTTGAGTAAAAATGTCTCTGGAATATTAATCAGATGAATAGACCATGTCCCATCTTAGAAGAAGAAATTAAGAAAAAAGGGGTTGATGCATTTAAGAGTTCTCAATCTACTTTATCATCATAACTCTAAAACTTCCAATTTTTTCCTGCAGGGAAGATTCCAGCTTGTAAACAGGAAACTTCTATTTCTGCTGTCAGGGATTTAGAATGGGCCACTGGAAATTGTACCTTAACCTTCAATGCTGCAGGTATTTATGATCTCATATTGAATTACCTTTCACTAATTACTTCCACCCCCCCCCCCCCTCCCGGCACCAGAGTGTCAGGGGAAAGCATTTATTGCCATGTCAAACAAATGCAATGATGTTTTTATTCCTATATATGCTTTTCAATGCTGCAAAGATTGCAGTGAAAATGTTTTGTTTTAGGGTTATGTTCTTGCTTATAAACAGTAAAAATCGGTTATGACAAAGTCACTGGGACTTTGAATTTTGTGTTCTTGTAACCAAGGTTCTTTATATCCAAATAAGACACATAATGAAAAGTCTTTTATGGGACCTTATAACTGAGATTTTTTTATAAGTGAGTTCATTATATCCAAGTTTTACTGTAGTTTGGTAAACAAACTTTAAAATGCTTGTACTGTATATTGTAATCTATGAATTTTCAGGAGTGTGGCCAGAAGGAGCAGATGGTACTGATGTGAACAATGTCTGCAGATCAAACAATGGTAGAGTTCTGGCCAGTGCTGATGACTTTGGAAAGGTGAACCTCTACCAGTACCCCTGTTATCATCCTAAGGTAGGCAGTCAGAAAGGGATAGCTTTAGAATTTAAAGAAAATAACAGATTGATGGTGTTACATTAAAACCTGTCTAATCCAGGTATTGTGTATTTGAAATTTTGCCTATTACAATGATATCTTTTAGTCCCATTTCATTAATTTATTTATTTTAAATGTTGTCAATTCCAGAATGTTGTCTAATCTGGTAAATTTCTGTGGAACCATTGGGGTCCAGATGAAACAAGTTTTACTGTATATCTTTCTTGAAGGGAAGTATGTCTGATCCATTTCATGTGTTTTTGACAGGCAAAGAAGCATAGCTACAATGGACACAGCAGTCATGTGACTAACGTCAGCTTTCTTTTTGACGATTCACGCTTACTGTCCACAGGCGGTCGAGACATGTCCATCATGCAGTGGCAGGTCGTGTAAATGGTCTAGCAGAATAGTTATACCTAATAGGCATTATATATAGTTGTTGAATGTCTGAGACAATATGATTGTTATATTTTGTTATAAACAATGTGTAGTGATGTATGAACACTTTTTCTACTATTTGTACCATTATATTTATAGTTAACAAATTTTTTCTTGTATATTGTTTTTTGTATGGTGTATTTTTCATGTTTTCACAATATACATTATCATGTTTAGCCTGATTGTTTAGAATTTAATAGATCAAGCAGGTGAAAAATTTTTTGGAATACATACAGGGTTTTGATTAGGTAGAGATGCATTAAAGGCAAAGACTTTCAGTATTTATCAAATCAGTAAATATATTTATGTGTGGGAGTGAATTTTAGAGTAATAGTATAATGATAGTGTACTCGACTGTACAAGAATTGTATATATCTTTGGTTAGTGAATAGTTATTCAGTAAATTCGATGTTGGTGCATTGGTTCATGGTATTCATGTTTGCATAAGATCAAACCAGATTACAGTTTGATATACACTGTATTTCTTTATTATTATTTGAGATAAGAATTTCTTGAGTTGCTCAAATAGTTATACAATGAAATAAATTTGTAGTTTATTTTTCTGTGATTTTCAGTTTTAGATTAAAGGTAAAAAGTGTAAACTTTTCTGTTCTTAGTGAATGGACCAATTTAATTTTTGTCAAATGCTTATCCTTGCTTTTCTTGACTCTATTTTGTTGTTGAAATAAGGTAGTGTCAGACTGTCTATGAAATTAAGTGCTTAAGTAATTGTGCAATACAGTTTATATATGTTATACAAAAGGCACTGAATATTGCCATTCTATTATTAATAACTGTGTACAGATGTAATAGTAAAACTTTCATGCAGACGAAAGTTGTGTTGAATGCACAGAAGGAAGACTTTAGACTAAAAATTTATGTAATTTGTCGAAAATCTTTAATCTAAAAAGCTTTATATACCAGTAGTTATAAAATATGTCAGATAAATATCCTTTTTTTTTATTTACTTTATTTCTATATACACCTTGAATAAAATAATTCATTTGTATCATCAATCTATGTGTTTGTTTATTTATTGCCAGCTAGCACATTGAATTAAAAGTGTCATTGAACTAAGTTGAAATATACTTTACAGGAGAACATGACCAATTGTTAAATTTCTACCATTCTTGTTCTTTGTAAACTGAAGGATATTTTGTCAATTTTGTGTCAAGTCAGAGATATGTCACAGTGACCTACTTCCTGGTTTTATTCATTTTCAAACAATTTAGCTTAATATTTTTAATACCTGGAGGCTTAGAATCATCAAATCTTGTCAGTTGACTGATCTTGGGGCGTTACGGTGTGTCAACTAACAAGTAAGTCACAGTGACCTACTTTCTAAGTTTATTGGTTATTTTAAATTGGACCTTGGAATATGTTGACTTTAGAGTAGGTCACAGTGACCTACTTTTAATTTTGCAGCTATTTATTCTTGATCTGTTTTAGATGCATATTTTGTGAAGCCAAAAATCATTGAATCTTTTTTATGTAACTAGACTTCAAGGTGTGTCAATTAAAAAGAAGGTCACAGTGACCTACTTTGTCAATCTTATGGCTATTCATTTTCAATTATTTAACTAAATATATAGGACACTGCAATACTGAGGATCATCATTAAAGCAGTCATAGTGACCTACTGTATGCTGGGGGGGGGGGGGGGGGGCTTAGCATTTTGACTTTTGTTTTAAGCTATATATTTTGTACACTAACATGTAGGGCCATGAAACTAAAAAAGTTTCTTTACCTTTTAGCACAGAGATGCGTTAACTAAAAGTATGTCAGTTGATCGGTTTTGGGCATAATGATGTGTTGAATACAAAAATATATAGATCACAGTGACAGCATTGTACACTTTATCAGAGGAGTGATTCAAATCTCTTGGATATCTTTTTTTTTTTTTTTTTTTTTTGGTTTGTTTGCTTTTTTAGCTCACCTGAGCTGAAAGCTCAAGTGAGCTTTTCTGATCACCCATTGTCCGTCCTCCGTCCGTCTGTAAACTTTTCACATTTTCAACTTCTTCTCAAGAACCACTGGGCCAATTTTAACCAAACTTGGTACAAAGCATCCTTGGGTGAAGGGGAGTTTAAATTGTTAAAATGAAGGGTCAAGCCTCCTTCAAAGGGGAGATAATCAAGAAAAGACAAAAATAGGGTGGGGTCATTAAAAAATCTTCTCAAGAGTCACTGGGCCAAAAAAGCTGAAACTTATGTGGAAGCATCCGGGGATAGTGTTGATTCTAAATTGTTCAAATCATGACCCACCCACCCCCACCCCCACCCCCGGAGTAGGGCGGGGTCACAATAGGAAATCCAAGTTTTACATTGAAATATGCAGAAAAAATCTTCTGCTCAAGAACCACTTGGCCAGAAAAGCTGAATCTTATGTGGAAGCATCCTGGGGTAGTGTAGATTCTAAATTGTTCAAATCATGACCCCCCCCGGGGTAGGGTGGGGCCACAATAGGGAATCCAAGTTTCACATTGAAATATGTAGAAAAAATCTTTAAAAATTTTCTTCTCAAGAACCACTGGGCCAGAAAAGCTGAAACTTATGTGGAAGCATTCTGGGGTAGTGTAGATTCTAACTGTTCAAATCATGACCCCTGGGGGTGGGGCAGGGCCACAATAAATACTACAGGGGGAATCAGGTGAAAAACAGCAAGGCCAAAGTTACTCAGGTGAGCGTTGTGGCCCATGGGCTTCTTGTTTTCCTATGTGAAAATGTGGGAGGGGAAGAAGGGGGGCCAGTGGGTTTAAAGGCAGTGTTGCAACAAACTCATGATCGCAGTTCAAATAATATAGAGAGTTCACTCAATATATAATGAAGAAACATACAAATTGAATGTACCTAGCAGTATAAATGTATGTTCTTAATTAGTACGGTAGATGCATATTTTATCAAGAGGGGGGAGGATCAGGCTATTTAATAATGGTTTAGGAATCAATGCTTTAAAAATGCGAACGTCTTGCATTCAAACTGTTTGTAGAATTATTAGCTAAATTATCTGTACCAAAAATGTGAAATATGTTTTCCCGAGTCCAACAAAATTAATAGATTTGGGGACACTCGTAGGATTCATATTTAAAGGTTAGAACAATGCACATTTGTAAAAGATTACGGTGTTCATGCAATAACAATAGCAACAATACCGTACAGCCGAGGAGGTGACTATCTTATCATATTCGATGGAATAAACAATTTAATTAATTTTTTATATTTTGGGGGCAAAACTAAATGACTTAGACTGAAGTGCGACCGAGCGTGCAAAACTGTACGTTGTACCTTTTATACTAGATTGGACATGTAAATCCTCTATACTTTAATTCTCCATTACATGAAACTTCCACTGTAGTGGAATTATTATAAGTGTGGTATTTACGTTTGTGTTCGACTTCTTTATCCTCTACAGCATTTATAAAACAACATTTCTGTACAGGAAATGGAGTAAGTATGAATCTTTCACTGTAGTACTTATATTATATACTGCTAATTTTGTTGATGTTGCAGACCAGAATGAAATTCTGATAACTAGTATTTCCAAGTTATCTCGATGTTATATGTGCACCTGCGTTCGTTTAATACTAGTAGCAATGTCTTTTAACCATGGCAAATTTATCCCCTCCCCCCAAATACACTACTCCCGTGTCTATCAAGAAGTGATGCAAATCTGAGAGCTATGCCACCAATTTCCAAAGGGGGGATTCTTGCACAGCTTCTGAAAGATGGCGTCTAAATATTGACACCAAAAGAAAGAGGGATGTGTAATTTGTTTCCTAGCTGCAGTTTAAAATTGAGGTTTACTGCACAATTAAGAAAGGTATCAGCACTTATTTTTTGGATTGGTGGGGGGGGGGGGGTTACTTGATTGCTAAATATAAGTAAAGGTTTCCGACCTTTGGACCATTTGTTTCAAATAATTTTTAATATTTTCTTTGTTTCATTTACAGTGGTGAAGAAAGTGCAGGTAATCTTGAGTAAAATAAATAACAAATAATGAATTAAATGGATTCAAAAAACGAATGCTGTGAACAACAGATGTGTCAGCTTCGTAGGACTTTGTTTAATGAGGACTGCATTTGAAGGCATGAAATACCAAACTAATTGAAAAAAAAAACAAAAACAAAAACAAAACTGTCAAATACAAACGCTAATCATGTTCAGTACAGCTTCAACACAAAATTAACGCCTGTTCTGAGATTTACAATGTGTAAAATATTAATTTTAAAAATATATACTAAATCTATCTTGCCGGATTGTCTTTAGGGGACGTGAAAATCTACCTAAAGGGCAGACCCATTTATCTGTATGCCCCTACTACTGTGGAGGAATCAAATGCTGGTCCACCTTCTGAAAGTCTACAGCTGGAATGGGTGTATCCTTATCTACTTAACAACGAGTAGAGGGCCTGAATATCGGGGAAACTTTCTTATTTGCCGGACATACTTTTGGTCTGAAGTTAAATGACTAGGTCGGGATAGCTTAATATGCGTGTATAGTAAAAATCAGTTATTCAGGATTAAGGGCACACACTGCAATACAGCAGAACTTTGCTAGGTTAAGAAGTGGGAGTATTTAATTCATAAAGGGTTAGGTTATTAATGACATTTTTTTAATTTCGTAATTGTACCATATTGTGCTTGTTCTCAATAAACATTTTCCACATATACAATGCAGGCGCGTAGCTGCCTATACGCAAATACGCAAGTGCGTACACATCGTTTTCAGAAAAAAAAAAAGAAAAAAAAAGATAAGAAAAAAGAGAGAATTATTCGGAGAAAAAATTCTCAGTACCATCCAACAAATATTCGTGTTTCAAATTATTCTGTGTCATACTGTGTCGATTTAAATTTTAAATTATCATAGCTGTATGATAAAATCTGAAATCTTTTATTTAATAACTGACAAATCCAAATAAATCATTCATTATTTGTCATTGTTCTATCATACATTGATCTTTTTTTTTAAAGATCTTTGAAAAAATAAATTTCAGCCACATCGTTGAATGCTATGATCTACTAGTATGATTTACAATACGATATTTTTTGTTCATAATAAATTTTGTATACGTGTTTTTAAACGTTAAGAATGATTATATGATATCAGTTAATATATCGGTTAAATTTTAGCCTCAGTTATATGTACGATAAGTTTACATGGAATATTAATTTTCGTTAAGGAGGGATTCTTCTCTTATTCTACCCATATTTCTTGTATTTAAAAATTGATGAAATTTTCATAGATTCAAGAAGACAATATCACTAAGTGATGGTATCAATTAGATTAAATTTGACCATTTTATTTTAGAAACAAGGTCAGGTCAAGGTCATTATCTTTTTCCTTGACATTTAGAGCAAAGAATTACTGTTGCTAATCATGTGATGCCTTCTTCTATTTTAAAAGATAAAATGTTTTTCTTTTTACACAAAAAGATGCTACCATATCGGGTCTATCTACCAAATTAATTGACATTATTTAACTTAAATAGATATTGGCTAATCCGGATTTCCTCTGTTTTTCTTAATTTTTAAGGATATATTAGTTATTTTTATATACTTCTTATATTTAAATATTTCTTATTTTTACATATGGTAAAGTAGTCAAAAATACAAAATGATACAAAAACGAAAAGCTTTGACCATTTAGTAATAGAGAAAAAAAAACACTTTTTACTGATTTTTTGCTCAATTCTGTTTTAAGGTCGGAGGCTTTCAAAAGCTAACAAGATGGTAGTTTGTTTAGAAAATCATTTTTATTTGCTATGTTTTAAAACTTAGGGCATTATTATTAATTTTAGTTACATATCAAAATTTCTTCAAGTCTTTGATTGTTTAAAAAATTAACCACATGTAATGTTCTGTAAGTGATTTTGATAGGCAGAAAAGGAGATATTTTCATACGCCACAGTTGCGCCAAAAATATAGTCCCTTATGGATTTCAAACTCAGTCTACCATTTCTATTCAAAATTGTACAATTATGATGAGTAAAGAAAAATATGATCTTTGAAATACATTACAGCTAAGTTTATAAGACATACAAGCAAATATACTTGGAATATTTCGTCTAGTCAGAAACCAAACAAGAATCCCTCCTTAAAACAATAAATATTACTATGTCTTTTATTTCCTAAACAAAAACTAAATGGTATAATTTTTATATTTCGAGAAAATGAATGAAATATTTGGTAAAACTCCGGAGCTTCTGGGCCCTCACCAGCAGGCACGTAGTATCAGGAGAGCCTCCCCATTATTTATTCCCAAAACCTACCCCTTTACTATTGAAAAAATGTACATTGAAAGGGTGGACCCCCACTGTTTGTTGCACCATTGTTAAACCTACCCCTTTACTATTGAAAAAATGTACATTGAAAGGGTGGACCCCCACTGTTTGTTGCACCATTGTTAAATCATGGTAATTTGGTAATGTATTAATAAAAAATTGGTTTGTGAAAGATGGACACCCCCCCCCCCCCCCCTTCAACAAACACACACACACACACACAAGAAATAGGACTTCGAATTTTGACAATCTTCCTTTTTCGTCCTTGCTTGACAACATTTTTAAAGTTGTAATGTTTCCTTGGCTGGCACAAGACCCCCCACCCACCCACCCAACCACCTGCCGTTCTCTGCGTACACATCATTTCTATTCTGGCTACGCGCCTGTACAAGAAAACTGGATGTAATAAAAGTATAACCAAAAAAAAAATCACAGTAAACATGATAAACAGTCTCTACTTGTTTTATAATGTTTTCACGCATATATAATATTAAACGCTAAGATTTTACTTCATATAATGTAAGCAATGCTACATGAAGACGATTTTACATTGGTCTGAATACAATGTATATAGGTTTCTGTGGGATCCCCCTACCCCCCCCCCCGAAAAAATGAAAAATAAAATAAAACAAAATATTGATAATAAACGTAAAATTTAAAGCCCTCCTTTGCATTCAGTATGAACCACAATGATTTTAACATTGAAAAAAAAAAGGTTTGAAAAAAATGTTTGGAATTGAGGAAATTTCCTTAGATTTGAAAGTTATGGATACCGTGGCAGAGACTGCCGCTCCAATTTGTATTACCTCCCCAGCGGGGAAATCATCTACTTCTCTGCAGCCGTCGTCATCCTCCAAAACGTAGAGGAGAACGCCCAGAGACATTATATAGGTCATACTGATGACGTCAATTGGTGAGTATTTAGGTATTACTAAATACTATCAAATAGTAAATGCAATATATCAAGTGGTGAGCGTCTAGATATTACTGTGGTTATATCAAGTGGTGAGTGTCTAGGTATTACTGTGGTTATATCAAGTGGCGAGTGTCTAGGTATTACTGTGGTTATATCAAGTGGTGTGTGTCTAGGTATTACGGCGGTTATATCAAGTGGTGAGTGTCTAGGTATTACTGTGGTTATATCGAGTGGTGAGCGTCTAGATATTACGGCGGTTATATCAAGTGGCGAGTGTCTAGGTATTACTGTGGTTATATCAAGTGGTGAGTGTCTAGGTATTACTGTGGTTATATCAAGTGGTGAGTATCTAGGTATTACTGTGGTTATATCAAGTGGTGAGTGTCTAGGTATTACGGCGGTTATATCAATTGGTGAATGACAAAATATTAATGTGATAATGTCATATTGTAATTTTTGAATTTACCGGGTGGTAGTAAATACAAAAATTGGTTGTCATATTGTAATTTTTGTATTTACTACCACCCGGTAAATTCAAAAATTACAATATGACAATAAAATCAAGTGGTGAATGTATAGATATTGCTGTGCTTATATCAAGTGGCAAAGGTTTAGATATTACTATGGTTATACAGATATAAATTGGTGAGTGTCTTAGTATTACTGTGGTTATATCAAGTGGTGAGTGTCTATGTATTACGGCGGTTGTATCAAGTGGTGAGTGTCTGGGTATTACTGTGGTTATATCAAGTGGTGAGTGTCTAGGTATTACTGTGGTTATATCAAGTGGTGTGTGTCTATGTATTACGGCGGTTGTATCAAGTGGTGAGTGTCTAGGTATTACTGTGGTTATATCAAGTGGTGAGTGTCTAGGTATTACTGTGGTTATATCAAGTGGTGAGTGTCTAGGTATTACAGTGGTTATATCGAGTGGTGAGTGTCTAGGTATTACTGTGGTTATATCGAGTGGTGAGTGTCTAGGTATTACTGTGGTTATATCAAGTGGTGAGTGTCTAGGTATTACTGTGGTTATATCAAGTGGTGAGTGTCTAGGTATTACTGTGGTTATATCAAGTGGTGAGTGTCTAGGTATTACTGTGGTTATATCAAGTGGTGAGTGTCTTAGTATTACTGTGGTTATATCAAGTGGTGAGTGTCTAGGTATTACTGTGGTTATATCAAGTGGTGAGTGTCTAGGTATTACTGTGGTTATATCAAGTGGTGAGTGTCTTAGTATTACTGTGGTTATATCAAGTGGTGAGTGTCTAGGTATTACTGTGGTTATATCAAGTGGTGAGTGTCTAGGTATTACTGTGGTTATATAAAGTGAATTTTCAAGATACCACAGCTCTCATTCTGATGTTATTAAGTGGTTGGTATTTTACTATAACTGTTCTTATAAATGCCGATAATTTAAAGTGGTAAATATCAAGATATTACAATGGAGAGTCTAAATATCACAGTGGTTGTACTGGTGATGTCGAGTGGTAAATTTATCTTTACATATCTATTGTTATAAATATCGATATATCAAGTGGTAAATATCAAGATATTACAATTCATATTTTGAGGATATGAAGTGGATAGTGTGTAGATATTACTGTGGTTATAAATACTGATGATCTCAAGTGTGAGTATTTTTTCATACTGGCGATGTCAGGTAGCCAGTGTCCGGATATCACCTTAAAGTCAGACGTCATACATTATACTGTAACAAAAATTTAAGAAGTCAAGTATCTAGATTTTGCTATATGGCACATCACTTTTGATTAAAAAAGTACAACTTTTTTTAAAATAAATAGATGGATTAGACTTTGCTTTTTTAATGTAAATAAGAGTTAATATTTTTTTTTAGGGGGGAGAGGGTTTACAAATGTTCCATCAAAATGAACTTTAAATCAGTATGTTATATCTAGAATTTGTTGTTATTAAAACAGAGGTTCGTTATTGTCTTTATTTTCAATTTGTTCACAAATATGAATTTTGTATTTTTTTTTTTTTGTGGGGGGGGGGGGGGCAAAATGTATGTAATCATGTAAAATAAATCAGTATCACAGAGATTATTTTTCAGCCTGGCCATTCATCCTGACCAGGTCCGAGTGGCCACTGGACAGGTGGCAGGACATAACGATGAAGAGGGCGAGGTAGGCATCACGCTTTAGTGGGTTTCACTATACAGAAGAGCATATCAAACTTCTATAATCTAAATTATTTCAAAACGAATAAATGTTAGGTTTCACATGATCTACCATATCACTAAAATAGGGTTATTACATATTCTTATTTTTTTTTTTTTCAATATTGCTCTTTTTGGTCCACTTAGTATACAATACTCTATGAACAGATTATTTTATTCTATTTTATAAGGTCTTAGAATGTACATCCATGAAAACCCATATGTTGCATCTTTTAATCTTTAAGTAATAATCATTATTTACGAAAGCCTATTGGGATCAAACTACAGTAAAAAAAAATTAAAAGGCATTATAACGCCTTTTCAAAGGCGTTATAACGCGAAAAAAGGCGTAATAACGCCTTTTGGAAAGGCGTAATAACGCCTTTTGGAAAGGCGTATTAACGCCTTTTGGAAAGGCGTAATAACGCCTTTTGGAAAGGCGTAATAACGCCTTTTTGGAAAGGCGTAATAACGCCTTTTGGAAAGGCGTAATTACGCCTTTTTTCGCGTTATAACGCTTTTTGGAAAGGCATAATTACGCCTTTATTTGCGTTATTACGCCTTTTTTCGCGTTATTACGCCTTTTCAAAAGGCGTTATTACGCCTTTTTTGGCTTTATAACGCCTTTTGAAAAGGGGTTATAACGCCTTTTAAATTTTTTTTTTACCGTAGTTTGATCCTAATAGGCTTTCGTAATTATCAGACATATGTAAAAGACCAAGGAAAAAACTAGAACTGAGAAATTTCATTGGATGACACGTAAAAGTTTCATCCAAATTAAAAACCAAAACGAAGTGAAAAACAGAGTGGCGGAGGCGGGAACCAGACTAACCCAATCATAACAATTCAATCATGATTTTCATATCGATGTCCAATCAGCAGTCAGCAAATTTTAGTAGTTGAATGTAAGGGGATTAGTATGAATATCAATAGAAAAGTGAATATAATTCTTCAATATCTGATGAGACAGTTCTGATCCTCAGGTTTCTGAAAATCGACAGTTTAGTAATTGAAAATATTCACAAAAATATCTCTGAATTCACAAAGTAATATGTGTGTGCCCATTCAATTTCTACAGGGTTCATTATTGTGGCTATTCATATCATATAGGGAAAATTATCAAATTTCAAATATATTTTCAGGAAACGCGAATAAAAACACCAGCTATGCATTTTCTAATTGAACATTGATCAGCAAATATATTTAAGGAGAATAAACTACAGGTATCCAGGCATTGGAGAATGTTTTCATCCTTGCATGGTACTTTCGTTCTATTTACGTCAATTGTTATATAAATAAGATAATGTAAAGAGTTTGTGCTTTTATTGCATGGCATCAAAGATCAACTCTAAGAACTACGCATGGTAACTCCCGATTCCCGCCTACATTTTACAACCATTTAATTCAATATTGATGACAATTTGGCCATAAAATCTTTGTTTAATACAAAGAACAGTTCAATGGTAATTGATTAATTATTTTAATTCCAGTGCTAAATAGTAAAATATCCCTAATTCCAGCTCTTGAAATAAGGGGGGTAGACGATATTTTCCACTGAAATCGGGCTATAAAGCATCACCATATTCTGAAATAATCTTGGATATGAATAAATGTTTCTTAAATCTTTTCTTATGTTTTATGCATATAAAATTAAGCATATATATTAGTAAAATATAATGTTTCAGTTGTGAAGCACTTGGAAATTGCTGAAAAAATAAGCATTTTTGTCGTTTTTTGTATATAAACATATGTTCCCCCCCGTGAAACACAAAAAGCTTTGGTATGAATTTGTGAAATAACAGTCCATATTACCCGTAAAAAGGAATTTTTGATTTCTATAGTGAAAAACACGAGTTTTACCAAAATTTTAGAGTTATCTCTCGTTGTTTTCCTATAGAAGTAATGTTTTATGAAAATCCATATAAATATCAATATAAATATTAAAAATCATTCGAATATGTTAACTTTTGAAAATTGACTTGGAGGTAGGCGGGAGAACAATGCTATCGTTCGCAGTTCTTTCATATTATGCTAATCAGCATTAGTTTAAAGGAAAGTGTTTATATTTGTACTTACAAATGTCAATTTTTGTACTTCACAAATGTCAATTTTGTACAAGACCGTTTCTAAGACTTCAAAGAACCTTGGATCATATTGAGATTGATGAAATGAAAATTGTTGCATGAAAATATTTCAATTTCAAGCTTCGTTTAGAGACCTTTAAAATAAAATAATAATTTTAAGAGTTACCGTTCATGACTGAGGATCGGATATCCTTAAAAAGTTAAAATAAATCATGTATTAACCATCAAATTCTATTATTCAATGAATATTAATACTAGTGTAGTAGCTTTATATTAAGGTTAACACATGTATATGTTTGCTGCTCTTGAATATGTCCATTTTCAAAATTGACCATTTTGTATGTGTCGGTTATCCTCTGTTTTTATAATCTCTCATGTATTTGCATGTAATAACGTGATCAATTACGTTGTTCCTTGATTTCTACATAATAAGTAATAAAATTCCATTTATTAACAGCCCCACGTAAGGATTTGGGATACGTCGACCCTGGAGACCCTCCATGTTCTTGGGATAGGAGATTTTGACAAGGCTGTTTGTTGTTTATCCTTCTCTAAACTGGTGAGACGGAATTTCTCAGAGTAGATATACATTTTGTTCTTAAGATTACCTATTTATTTTTAGAGAAACCTATTCCAGATACGTGCATATGACAAGAAAAATTATGAAATTTTGATCTCAAAAATTTCTAAGACCCATTTTTGCTCTTTTTAACTTTTACCCCTTAGTATTCAAATATCACAACGCCCCCCCCCCCTTTTTCCATTGAAGAACTGCCGATTTATTCTTACTATCCAGAGAGAGAGAGAGAGAGAGAGAGAGAGAGAGAGAGAGAGAGAGAGAGAGAGAGAGAGTTTACTGAGAAATTAGTATAAGTTCGGGAAAAAGTAATTAATATTTATTGCTTTTTAAGCTGTTAACTCTCCTTTAGAAGATGTTACAACATTTTTAATGATCGAATACCATGCGCGGGTCTAGAGGGGGGGGGGGGGGAGGCCCGACCGACCCCCCCCCCCCCCCGAATTTGCCGAGTTTTTAAAAGTATATACTGAAGCAAATAAAAAATGACTTTGCACCTCCCCAAGAAAACGTTGACCACACCATCCCACCAAGAAATAGGTGTTTTTCACGTTTGGAAGATGCATTTATTTTTCTTTTGCTTGTCAAGAAATTTTCTGGGTTTAATACGTTTGGGAAGGGAGTTAATTTTTCATTAGGTCACCTGAGTCACTCAGGTGACCTATTCCTATCCGTTTTTGTCCGTCGCCGTTCGTCGTTCGTCGTGCATCGTGCGTCAGTGCGTTATAACATTTGAACATTTTTAGCTTTTTCTCTGAAACCGCTCAACCAATTTCAACCAATTTTGGCATATAGCACCTATGGGTGAAGGGGAACAAAAATTGTGAATTTCATGGTCCCTGCCCCCCTGGGACCTGAGGGGTAGGGCTAAAACCACCAAAATTAATGAAATCTTTAAAAATCTTCTTCTTTACTCCTGGACATCAAGCAGTCAAACTGTTGGCATGATTGTAATAAGGATTGAGGCCTCAACCAAAATTGTGATATTCATGGCCCCAGGGTCAGGGGTTGTGGTGCTAGGGTGGGGCTATATACATTATATAGTGAAAATGCATTATTTCTTTGAAAATCTTCTTCTCTGCTCTTGGGTATGAAATAAACTAAGTAAGTATATAGTTATGATGAGCAAGAGTGCCTCTACCAAGATGTGAATTTCATGGCCCCAGGGTCAGGGGTTCTGGTGTTAGGGGGGGCTCTATTGATTATGTAGTGAAAATGCATTAAATCTTTGAAATCTTCTTCTCTGCTCTTGGGCATGAAATAAACTAACTAAGTACATAGTTATGATGAGCAAGAGTGCCTCTACCAAGATTGTGAATTTCATGGCCCCAGGGTCAGGGGTTCTGGTGTTGGGGGGGGGGGGGGCTTTATTGATTATATAGTGAAAATGCATTAAATCTTTGAAAATCTTCTTCTCTGCTCCTGGGTATGAAATAAACTTACTAAGTACATAGTTATGATGAGCATAGCTGCCTCTTCCAAAATTGTGAATTTCATGGCCCCTGGGTCAGGGGTTCTGGTGTTAGGGTGGGGCTCTATTGATTATATAGTGAAAGTGCATTAAATCTTTGAAAATCTTCTCCTCTGCTCCTGGGTATGAAATATACTAACTAAGTACAAAGTTATGATGAGCATGGCTGCCTCTTCCAAAATTGTGAATTTCATGGCCCCTGGGTCAGGGGTTCTGGTGAAAGGGGGGGGGGCTCTATTGATTATATAGTGAAAATTCATAATTCCTTTCAAAATATTTTTTTCTACTCCTGGTTATAAAGCAAAGAAACAAGTGTATAGTTATGATGAGCAAGGATGCTTTTACAAAATTTTTAAAACTTGTGGTCCCAGGGGTTCTGTTGTTTCTCAGAGGGGGGGGGGGGGGGCTCTATTTGATTATATAGTGAAAGTGTGTGAATTCTTTGAAAATCTTCAACTAATTGCATAGTTATGATGATGAGGGTATCTCTTCCAAATTTGTAAATTTTCATGACCCTAGATCATGGGTTCTGGTGTTAGGGTAGGGCTGTGTTAAATAGTGAAAATGCATTATTTCTTTGAAAATCTTCTCTGCTCCAGGGCATATTGGAAGCAAACAGAGTAATAGTTTTAATAAGCAAGGTATTTTTACCAGAATTTTAAACATCTTGACCATTTAGTCAAGTGTTCTGGTAATGGCCAGGGCTCTATTAATTTGTATTCTACTAAGTGAAGTTATTCCCCTTTGCCATTCACCTTTGATTATTAATCACTGTAGATAATGTATTTGAAAGGTTAATAAAATAAGAGAATTATGCAATAACATTTATTGTATAATACAAAAAGTACTTTCATAGTTTTAATAATCAGGTAGACTTGGAAATAATAGATGAATAAAAATGAAACAAAAATAACTTATCTTTTAAAATGTTCTTCAAAGGCCAAGTGAGGCCAATAGGTAATAATATAGACTGCATGGTAATAGTGATAAATGGGGGAAAGATAGAAAGATACTAGAACAGTTATTTTGTTGATCTTCATCATACTGTTTTCCTTGCTATTGGGTAACAAAGCTTCATTTATCAGTTTATGGATCCTCTAAATTGTTGTACTCAGGTGACCGCTAAGGCCCTTGGGCCTCTTGTTTTGTTTTTGTTTTGTTTTGTTTTTTTGGGGGGGTTGGAATTTTTTTTGGACTGGGGTGGACCCCCTGGAAAAAAATCCTGGATCTGTGCCTGGAATATCTGCATCTTAGATATTTAAGTATATAGATTTGTCTATGAAATCCTGAACACAACACAGTCTCGGAAGTATCTAACATTCTCAGGTTTTAAAATGACTCTAAACTATGCACACATTGTATAAATTTTATTTTTAAATATCAATATAAAAATGAATATGTAGGATACTTTCATTAAAACAGAACACTTCCAGGGACCACAGACGTAGGTCTTTAAATGATGTGTTTTGTGTCATTTTTTCTCGTCAACAGGATGGGGGTAATCGTCTGGTTGTTGTTGATGAAAACAACTATCACATCATGTCTGTCTGGGATTTAAGCCAGGATAGCCCGGAAAAAATATGTGACACCAAGGTTTGTCAGTTGCAAGGAAAATGCCTTGAAGTTCTTATATATAGATCGTTTATTAAAATGAAACAGAGTTACAGACCAACAAATACAGGATTTTTTTATGACGTTTTACTACTTTTTTTAAATCTGGCATATAGACAGTTTTGAAATCAATTCAGAAATTCTTGTAATATGGTAATGCACATAATGTCAAAAGGGAACTGAGCTAAGTTCAGCCCACTTCCTGATGAATTTATTCTTATGCTGATGAGTACTAATTAAAGTCTTTTGTGAATCTTTATGATAAAGATGACCAGAAAAAGAACAAACACACCAACAAAATCAAGCCAAAACAAACAAAAGAAAAATAACAAATGAAAACCAAAAATATATTGAAATAATAAATGACTTTCAAAAATGAATGTTTTTTTTTCAGAGCTCAACGGAAGAAGTGCTGGCTGCAGAGTTCCATCCCCTGGAAGAAAACAGCATCATTACCTGTGGTGGTAAAGGACAGATGTCCTTCTGGACGTTAGAGGGAGACTCATTCTCAGAGAAAAGCGGAATATTTGATGTACATTGAAATTTAAAAAACAATGGGCTCCACATCAATATTTTTTTTAGTCTAAATAACTGTTTAAAAATCAAAAATTTTCACCATAATGATGCACAAAGCTTAATTTTTTATTATTTTTGATACCTTTTGAAAAACTTCCAAGAAATAATCAGCATAGGGATTTGATGAAAAAGGGGAAAGAAAAGAAATTGGGTATCCTTTATACTAATTTTAGAAAACATTCATATTTCTCTTAATTTCAGATTATCCTAAACCATTAAATAATAACCTGAAATTTCACCGATTCTGAATCTAATTGTTCTCACAACGAAAGTTGTATATCTTAGCATTTAATTTCAAGCTGATTTTGAAGGTTAAAAAAAATACTGGTAATATTATTTCAGATGCCTTAAAATGTTTTTTAAGTTTTTATGGTCTGTTTTATTTTTTCTAAGGAAGTTAAAAATGAATATAGCAAGATATTATTCTTAAATAATTTTATTTATCAGTGAACCCTTTATTCCACATTACTATAGCTATTAGTTTCTTCCTAGCCTTATGAAAAACCAAAGTATGTATCATGTCTGTCATTTGCTGAAAATGGAGACGTTCTTACTGGAGACTCAAATGGAAACATTTTCATCTGGGCAAAAGGTACTGAGTCAAAACTGTGTGGAATTTCACTAGCAAGTATCTGTGGATAAATTTCCATTCATTAAAAATTACATTTCCAAAACCTACTTCAAAGTTCTGATAATGTTCTTATAGTTTGAAAATTTTGAAAGGTTAGGACATGTAATTCTTTGGAGATTGTTTTTGACAACAGAAGTTCTAAATATTCTTATAAAGGAGGCAATACAATATCCCAAGCCATTGAGGGAGTCCATGAGGGAGGGATTTTCTCTGTATGTGTGATGAAGGATGGAACTGTGTTGTCTGGGGGAGGAAAAGACAGAAAGATCATACAATACGACAGCTCCTATACAAAGACAGGGGTAGAGACAGAGGTAATTAAGATCATACAATATGACAGACAGGGGTAGAGATAGAGGTAATTAAGATCATACAATATGACAGACAGGGGTAGAGACAGAGGTAATTAGAATCATACAGTTGGACAGCTCCTACACAAAGACAGGAGTAGAGACAGAGGTAATTAAGATCATACAGTATGACAGCTCCTACACAAAGACAGGGGTATAGAGACAGAGGTTATTATACACCTGCTCCGAAGGAGAGGGGGGTATGCTGTTTTACCCTTGTGTGTCTGTCTGTCTGTTTGTCTGTCTGTCTGTGTAGCTGTCTGTTTGTCCTTAACAAAATTTTCGTCACAGTTTTCTCAGCAACTACTTATCACAGATACTTGAAATTTTAGCACATGCTTTGTTGAGACATGGTGGGATTAATGTTTGTACTAATCCGATGTCAACTTCCTGTTTATCCGTGCGTCTGTCCGTACCATACATAACAAATTTTGGTCGCAGTTTTCTCAGCAACTACTGATTGCAGATGCTTGAAATTTTAGCACATTCTTTTTTTAGGCATGCCATATGGTGGAATTGTTTTTGTATGAATCCGATGTCAACTTCCTGTTTATCCGTGCATCTGTCCGTACCATACATAACAAATTTTGGTCGCAGTTTTCTCAGCAACTACTGATTGCAGATGCTTGAAATTTCAGCAAATTCTTTGTTTAGGCATGCCATTTGGTGGGATTAGTTTTTGTATGAATCTGATGTCAACTTCCTGTTTATCTGTGCGTCTGTCCGTACCATACATAACAAATTATGGTCGCAGTTTTCTCAGCAACTACTGATTGCAGATGCTTGAAATTTTAGTACATTCTTTGTTTAGGCATGCCATATGGTGGGATTTTTTTTTTACGAATCCATTGTCAACTTCTTGTTCATCCTTGTGTCTGTCCATAACTGAACTTGTGTACATTCACATCAAAGCGGGGGTATTACTAGTGAGCATTGGTTTACAGACTTCTTGTTTGTCATACATGTAGATTTCCTCACTTTACCAATCCCTCCCCAGCAATTAATTATCAATCTACTTCTGCTTTATATACTATATTTTCAGCATAGTTCTATCAATTCATCAGATTACCTTATTTCAAATATTTGGACTTAGTTTGTTAAGGAGGGTGTTTGAATCGATGACCATACATTGTCAAGCTCTTAATCTGTGTGTTTATATAAATGAAACAAAATGAATAATGTAAGTCCCATTACAGTTAGGGGAGAACTTTGGGGGTGTGAGGATGCTGAATGAGGGCAATGAAGGGATGATTCTGGTGGGAACAACTAGGAACTGTATACTACAGGGAACCCCTGATCTACAACTCAATCCCATTGTCCAGGTAATCAGGACTAAAATATACACATTTAGTTTATATAGACAATGTCCAATTATTAATTTGATATTGTACAAAGGAAGTTATAACATCATTTTTGTTAAAATCATTTGCAAAATAAGTTGATGAAATGATATAGAACTTAAAGAATGTGAAATATTTTTTTTCTGGTTTTAAGTTATCTTATTGGCTAATTATGTTTTCTTTTCTTTTTTTTTGGTGATTGATTTTCAATATGCTTATAGGGTCACATGGATGAGCTATGGGGATTAGCCTCACATCCTAGCCAACATCAGTTCTTGACCTGTGGTTCTGACAAACAGGTCCACATGTGGGACAGCACGAGTCGTTCAGTCGTCTGGTCTACAGAACTCTCAGTATGTAACTGGGAAAGATTCTGATCCAAATGGAGTATAATCTTTATGCCATTTTTAGTGTATCCTATTTTGGTATGTCTTTTATTGACTAATGGCCTGCTTCTCTGATTGCTGACTGATATTGAACCATTAATTTGAGCCTGTCTAAAGTTTACCATTAGACAGCTCATTGTTGAGAATCTTTTCCAATGCAAATCCCCAATGTATTGGAACCATAGCAGTTTGAATAATACTTTTAAACTTAGTTGTCTCTGACATTGATATCTGGAATAGCAGGGATATGTTCACCCTTACCCTATCAATCTGATCCTCATCGTCATAACTAAATTTCGTGGAGAGAAAATGAGTGATTGATGTTTATGAAAGATCAATTCTGACACCTAATCATTCTGTAAATTATTTGCTGTATTGAAAGATAAACTATTCTCTCTCAATCTAATTCTTCCAGTATTGCACAGCATGATCAAACATGTTAATTATAGCAAATTATTAAAAATTCGAACTTTTTTTTTTAGGAACCAGCCCACAGCTGCTGTTTTTACCCCGATGGAAGTGTTGCTGCAATAGGGAGTGGGACAGGAGAATGGTTTGTTTTGGACATTGAGACACAAGAGGTGGTCACTAGTAACACTGACGGCAATGAACAGATCGAGTGTGTCCTCTACTCACCAGGTAACTCAGCAAAGCGCAACCTTATAAAACAACTATTATGAAAAGTTTTATGAAGAGTTTTCAATTAGGAATAGATAAAACACCTCTCCCTAAATGGTATATGACTGCAGACTTTGACCTATATACTTTTACAGATGGCAATTACCTTGCTCTTGGATCCAGAGATAATCATATCTATATTTATGAAGTGACAGATGGTGGGAAATCATATAGTGCTATTGGAAAATGTACTGTAAGTAAAATATGACTGGTTTTATTTGTTAATTCTAATACGATTATGGTTCATGACTGTGAATGTTGTTTAGTAATTTGGATTGATGAATTTTGTAGGGAAAATTTAAGGTTGGAAGATGAAAATACAGTGAAAACAGTTTAATCTGACCCCTTTGCAATCTGTTTCACTGTGGAATCCAACCTTTATTTCCATTCCCATTTTGCTTTATTCCATGTTCTTGACACTGTGTAAACTGACACCCTGTCTATTCCAAAACAAAATTTGTCTCCCGGGACATGTTGGTTTGTAATTAAATAATTCATTGAATGTTTGCATCTAAGCATACAGCTTGTAGTTTTACTACAAAATAATCACTTAGACCACCATCTTTGATTTGAAATAGGGACACAGCAGCTTTGTGACACACCTAGACTGGTCGGCTGATGGTGCCTACCTACGAAGCAACTCAGGAGACTACGAAATTCTGTACTGTAGGTTTTTTAAATCTTCTACCACTTTTGCCTGAATGGTTTTAGATAAAAGCATTTAAATAACTTATAATTCAAAAATATTTCAGGGATGATGCCAAGCTGTGAACAAGAGATTAACATTTCTGCTATCAGAGATGTAGAATGGGCTACTGGATTCTGTACCCTAACATTTAATGCTGCAGGTACTTACCGCTGAAATATCATTAAATGATGGAACAACATGATATTTCATGGAAAAGGAGCAAATATGTGATGCTGAGCCAGTCTACGTGCAAGACTTAACATGCATATATTTGTGTTTAAAATAATTAAGTTATTTATAATTTTTTGGGTTATTGCTATGTATTAAATTGTCAAACAAATAATACTAGCATATAAAATTAAAATATTAAAATTCAGGAGTGTGGCCAGAAGATGCAGATGGTACTGATGTGAATAATGTCTGCAGATCAAACAATGGTCAAATCCTGGCCAGTGCTGATGACTTTGGAAAAGTGAATCTTTACCACTACCCCTGTTCTCAGCCTAAGGTAAGGATAGTTAACCTCTGATCAACCTACATGTATGTTGTTAACCTCAGAAATGTCAACCTGTTGTTAAAACTACATGTGTTCTCAATCAAAAGGATGAACAATATTATACAATTATTGCTGTTTTTGAGGTCAATATGATGATTTAGCCACCTGAGGAGTACAATATTCATCGAGCCCAAAGGGCAAGGTGAATATTGTACATCGAAGGTGGCTAAATCATCGTATTGACTGAAAAAAAAAAACAGCAATAATTGTTTTATTATATGATTCAATGATTAAATGAAACAAACTCATTAAGCTGTCCATGCAATCTTACTTGTTTAAATTTGCTGAAGTCCTAGCCAAATGCAATGAGAGAAGCAGGGTTAAATAATCATTACCAGTCATTAATCATTAATTTTATTTTTTTTTTAATTTACTTTAGTTACTATGAAAAAAAGGAAATGATATCAGGCTCTTTTATAGGATCGATTTTGAAAAGGGGGGGGGGGCATTATCGGGGAAAAATGACAGCTGAAAAAAATCTTTGAACCCCCCCCCAAAAAAAAAATAAAGAAAAAGAGAACTCTCTTTACTTCAAATTTTGTTTTGGGGTTAGGGAAAGAGGATTAAGGTCCATTAATGGGGGACCAACCTTTCAATGAATACATTTTTTCTAAATTAAAAGTAAAAATTTCCGTTCAGAAAAAAGGGGTTGGGGGTTGGGGGTCTCATGCACCCCAAATTATATATTCCCTTATGTTATATGTTGGTGGCTAGTGAAATAGCTTTCCAAAAGTATTTGTATCAGTTTAGAATTTCCCAATCTATTTTTTGACCAATGTAGAGGAAATAAATCCTTATATTGACCTGGAAGGTCACGTGCAGGTCAATATAAGGTAGTATTTTTTCTACATTGTTGGATCTTAGCCAATCAGAAAGAGAGGAATTATTCAATCATATAATAATAAGGTTTATAAGTTACACATGATGTTGAATAGACATGAAGAAAAAAATTTAATATCATGACATTTATGTCTGGCCTCTAACTGCCTTCTCTGCCTTAGTGATGACAAAAGGCATAAATATTAGGCAAAATCTCTTTAGGTTCTATTCAACTTGTTGAAAAAAAGTGCATTTTACTTACATGCATTTTATTTTACAGGCAGATAAACATGTGTATAAAGGTCACAGCAGTCATGTGACCAATGTCAGCTTCCTGTTTGATGATTCCCGCTTACTCTCGACGGGTGGTAAAGATATGTCCATCCTGCAGTGGCAGGTCGTACAGTAAAACACACTGTACAGTCACCTGTTACTTTGTTGAACATGTTCATGTAAAGAACAAAGTTTGTTTTTAGTTCTTTAATCATTAAATATTTAAAATAATAAACATGTAGTGTGTATAAAAACAGGCACAAGCAGACTGCAGCTTTCTACTAGGGCTCCCCTGAGGATAAGGTGTTTAACAAAGATCAAATATTTTAAATAAGATGCTAAGCCTTACTTGTGACATGTTTGAAATTGAAATTTTTATGATTTATAAATTGATGTACAATACTAATTATCTTGTTAAATTATTTTTTTTTTGTAACATTTATATGTGTACATGTAGATAATAGATATTTTGTGTAACTGTGATTGAAATTCTTTAGATTTTTCTGAACATATGTCTATTGACTGAAATGTTTGAACAATTAAAAAATAATTGACAGAATATTTTTGTTTGATGCTAGATAGCCAATAAATATCTAACTGAATTTAACTAGGTTGTGTTGAGTTCTTGGTACACAGAGTCTTTGTTTAATTCTGTATACAGTTCATTATGATAAGTTCCTTGGTCTGGGGTCAGTGTAGCGTAGGCAGAAGTTGGACGATTTGATGGAGTTTTGGAATTTATCGAGGATTCTGATTGTTTTCTTAGTTCTGTATAAGCCTGTTCTGTTGTATCATTCCCCTGTTCAGGGCTCAGTCTAGTATAGAGAGAATTCTGATAAGTTGAAGAAGCAGTTGGAGTTAACATGGGTTTAGATGTGTCAGTTAGTCCTGTATACATTTGATCTCCTGTAGAGTCATCATCCTGGGATGGATTTAATGTAACATATGCTGAATTTGGCCGGTTTGTAGCTGCCATGAAAGTTGTCATGGTTGTAGATATTTTGCGAAGTCCTGCATAAGTGTGTTCTGTAGAATCAGTACTGTGTCCTGGATTCAGTGAAGTGTATGTTGAATCAGAGCGACTCTTAAAGCGTTCCAAGGATATCATCGATGGATCTTCTTCATTGGTTAGTTCTCTGGTGTACAAAAAATTTCAATTAGGCAAATTGAAAAACAACATATGCATTTTATATGATCATGTGCTTGAAAGATACAAAGTAACAAAATTTTGTATTTGTTCAATGCATTATGGCACAACCCCTCTTCAGCTTGTATTGAAATTGGTCCATAAGTTTTTGAAATTATTGCCAGCATGCATATAATAAAATCCCAAGGTGTGTTGGTGGAGGCAATAATTCAGGAAATTATATCACAAAGTGTTGAATTTTAATTCTTGATGTAAAGCCATACTAACCTCCTTTTCATTCTTTTGATGTACATTCTAATGGAGAAGATAATTCCCAAACATGTAATGAGTAATGCTCCTGTTAGTGTTAATCCAATAAGCAAACCACTGTCATCAGAGGAGCCTAAAAAAAAATGATATTCCTAATTAATTAAGTTCATGCAAAAATTCGATATTTCTCATCTCTCTCTCTCTCTCTCTCTCTCTCTCTCTCTCTCTCTCTCTCTAACATTTATTCAAAGGTTCATAAATCATTAAATGAGACGTCTATGGGTAAAAAGACTAGTTTTATCATGAACATTCTTCTTTCTTTTGTTTTCTTAGAGGGGTTTTATTTTTTTCAAAAAATCATGTCACTAATAATTAGGAAATAAAATAAACCTATGATTTGGGTTAAATCTTTTAAATTTTGAATTTTGTCAGTGATTTATTTGAAATATTTACCGGTAAGCTGAATAACCATATCAGAAGTGGTTGTTCCAACTGAGTTTTCTGTAGAGGATTTAGTCATCATCTGGGAAAAGGTAGTCGTCCTGAATAAGGCTTCAGTAGTGAGTCTTAAAGATGTCTTTGTCAAAACCTCAGTATTGGATTCATTATTGGTATGATTAAAGACTTCAGTGGTAGATACAGTGCTCGTATGATTAAAGGCCTCAGTGGTAGGTCCAGTGTTGGTATGATTAAGGGCCTCGGTGGTAGTTTCAGTGTTGGTATGATTAAAGGCCTTGGTAGTAGGTCCAGTGTTGGTATGATTAAAGGCCTCAATGGTAGGTCCAGTATTGGTATGATTAAAGGCCTCAGTGGTAGGTCCAGTGTTGGTATGATTAAAGGCCTCAGAGGTAGGTCCAGTGTTGGTATGATTAAAGGCCTCAGTGGTAGGTCCAGTGTTGGTATGATTAAAGGCCTCAGTAGTAGGTCCTGTGTTGTTATGATTAAAGGCTTCAGTAATGGAGTCTGTATTTGTATGGTGTAAGGCCTCAGTAATGGATTCAGTGTTGGTATGATTAAAGGCCACAGTAGTAGATTCAGTATTAGTATGATTAAAGGCCACATTAGTAGATGCAGTGTTGTTATGATTAAGGGCCTCGGTGGTGGATCCAGTGTTGGTATGATCAAAGACCTCAGTGGTGGATCCAGTGTTGGTATGATCAAAGGCCACAGTGGTAGGTCCAGTGTTGGTATGATTAAAAACTTCAGTAGTAGGTCCAGTGTTTGTATGATTAAAGGCTTCAGTGGTAGGTCCAGTGTTGGTATGATTAAAGGCCTCGGTAGTAGGTCCAGTGTTGGTATGATTAAAGGCCTCGGTAATAGGTCCAGTGTTTTTATGATTAAAGACTTCAGTGGTAGGTCCAGTGTTGGTATGATTAAAGACTTCTGGAGTGGATTCAACATTCGTGTAATTTAAGGTTTCAGTGGTACATTCAGTATTGTTGTGCATTATGGATTTAGTAGTGGATTCGGTATTTGCATAAATTAGGCCTTCAGTAGTAGATTCTTGAATCTGGACTTCATTAGTGAGCTGGATTAAGGCACCGTCAGTGGTCTGGAGTAAGGTTTCATAAGTCGTCTGAATAGGTAACTCTGATCTCCCAAAGGATGGAGTGATTGTTGTGGTAGCATCTAATGACAGAAGAATAAATAAACTTAGACATTCGATAAAAATATTTCAGAAGTAAACACAAACCGTAAAAATCATAAATAGTTGGGTATAGTTCTGATATAGTAATAATTAGAAATTCAAATGCTATAACCGATTACAAATGAATAAGGAAGAATGTACACCAGAAGTTTGCGCATATTCTTCATTTGGTCTTGTATTAGCAAGAGAATATTTAATGTTGATTGTCAAATCTTGCGTCGTAGAATCCATAGAAGAAACTTTTACGATCCTGACCATGCGCGGATCCAGATTTTATTTCAGTGGGGGAGGGGGGGGGGTTTCATCACTAACTAAAAAAAAATTCTGACACCAACATTTTAGTAAAACAAAATAAATCGTGGGGTGGGGTACTTTTTAAAGTCCTTTTCCTGTAGATACATGTCTTTCCTTACCATTTTTTCATAGAGTCCAGTTTTTTTTTTTTTTTGTTTCAATGTTTCCAAGGGGAGGTCAAAGGCATTTTTTTCGTTAATTTATATAAACATTTTATAACTCTAAAAATCCGGGGGGGGGGGGGGGGAGGTGAGGGTGTCTGGACACCCCCGCCCCCTCTAGATCCGCGCATGCTGGCTTGCTTGGAAAAAATATAAATTGCTGTATCAATCATTTCTCTGGTTTTAACTTTAACTCTCAAGATTTAAGATATGAATTTGTTCAATCAATGCAGCTTTCTCTCATAGAATGAACAGTTTTCGGCCTTTGTTTTCACTTAGTAAGTTAATACAATAGGTGCTTATAAGGACAGTTTGCAGCATTGATACACCAGTCTAAACGATATCAACATGTTTTACCCAGAAAGCAATACCGAAACACCATCTATGAACATGAACCAAAATGATGGCAAAATATATAATTCAAAGGCTATTTAGTTTTTGTGAGCAGTTGTTCAACGATCAAAAACCACCAAAGGCAAGGTAAATGATCAATTTACATCTACAGTTTGATAGATGTAGATCTATCGACGTGTGTGGGGGTGGGGGCTTAATGTGTGTAAAAAAAGGGGGGTCTATTAAAATATAGAAGTTTCGGGAAAAGGGCACCAACATTTTTGGAAATATCCACAAGTACATTTTCATTCTACGGAAAAGGGACACAATTTTTTTGGAAATGTCCACATGCTTATTTTTTTTATTTATTTTTAATCTTCCGTGTCCATTAAAAACCCACCCACGCTAATCGGTGTCTGCATGTGCCGGTTTTAAGCTCAGTGATTTTGTCTGATCACCCGTTGTCTGTCGTCCATCTGTTTGTCTGAAAAATTACGCATTTTCGACTTCTCAAGTACCTCTGGGCCGATTTGAATCAAAAGGGTACAAAGTATCCTTTGGTAATTGGAATTCAAAATTGTTCAAATGAAGAACCAAGCCCTCTACCAAGTTTGTAGGGAAAAAAATCTTTAAAATTTTCTTTTCAAGAACACTTTGAATCAATACCTAGAAGTCTTGGTTAGGGGTTTAATAGGAGATGGCATTTTAACAGTGTTTAATGGGTATAAATGGGGGAGAATCTTTAAAAATCTTCTCGAAAACCACAGTAGATAATTCATTTGCAAAGATACTAAACTCGTGTTTAATGAATTATTTTTTCCACATTATAGACACTGGAGTTTGGGAATCAAACTTTTCATAATGCATGTATAATCAGAGCTCCAGATAATTTTTTTACCTCAAAGTGTATTTACTCCCTGATTTTCAAATCAATGCAGATTTTGCTTTTCAGCAAAATAATCAAAGAGTATTTTGTTAATCTATTGCTCTTTTGACATCCAATGTGATTTTTAACTTGTTATCGAAATAAGCGTTTTTGAAAGAGGAATGTAAAAAAAAGGACAGTTTCTGCATTTATCAGTAAGATTAATGAAATATATTAGGTTTTGCTATAGATATAAATTGTTGGCATCGATCGAGGTAAAAGTTTTAGAGTTACTCCCCGTTTGCATTAAAAGTCGCGTGGCGCTATTTATAGCAATGGAACCATGTGGAAAGCAAAAAAGCATAATTTATTTTCATGAATTAATAAAGGTTGTCGGCGGACTTTAGATGATATTATTGCTACAGAAAATGGTAAATATATAAGAATAAACAGTAATAAAGGATAAATTAGACACCATGCGTGTTTTTGTGGAATTTTGACAATATCGCCGATCTGTGATATTTTCAGACAAAATACGAGTATTTAATAAATACTCGTATTTTGTCTGAAAATATCACAGATTTCCACTGTTCATATAACATCCAAATTTTCGTTCTTGACGCGTACACGTCGATATTATATCGACGTGTACGCGTCAAGAACGAAAATTTGGATGTTATATGAACAGTGGAAATCTGTGATATTTTCAGACAAAATACGAGTATTTAATATTCAAATCTTTCTTCTGAACTGGAAATCGGCCTAAGTTATTCCGAATACGCTTATAAATCAAAATTTCCTTTTGATAAACATTCAAACACTGAGCTGACCTCAATTCACATAATTAGTACTTGTATCATTCAATCCGTCGTACATGTACTCAGTACTTTCGTAGTGTAATGCTTATTTATGATTGCTAATGCGTAATTGTACGCCCCGTTTTAATTTTTAATGCGTATTTTGAAAAATTAAATGCATATTTCTGCAAATACGCACCTTATCTGGAGCTCTGTATAATTTAACCCCCCCCCCCAAAAAAAAACAAACAAACAAATAAACAAACAAAATCAACGAACAGAACAGCTTTGTTAGTCATATTGATAACAAAAAATCTCCATGTTGTTTGGATTCAGAGATCCATTAGATTTAAGGTCGGGCCACCATTTTCATGAAAATAAAGAAAGGAAAAACTTTAAAAATCTTCTGAAGCAGGGCAACGTATTCGTTATTGTTAGTTCTGTTAAAAATGGTGGGTAAACAGAGGCGTGCAATCTCGAGCTTCCTTTTAGCACAATATTGTGGGGACATAAATCTTGTCAACTAATTTATAACTCTAGATAATTAACGGAAAGAGTTACAAATAAGACAGACAATACAGGAAATATTATATCAATTTACAAATAAGCCGCTTTGCTTGCTGAATGCTTCATTGTATGTCCATTATCCGCCTTACACTTATATAAGATACTAGTTATTTCTTCATTGAGTTCATACGAATTTTTTGAAAATAGAGTACATCTTATTTTAAAATGAATTAAAAAAAATTCTGAACTGTGTTTCACAAACAGAAATTTATACTTGTGATGTAGTGCGCACTATACGATAAAACAATTAATTCCGCAAAGAAACATTTTGTCCTTTTGAAAATCATTATGATCATTACAAATGCAACGTACTGATCTTTATAGTAGTGGTATATATATATTTGTCAAATAAGTACTTTATATACAATATGTTTTTATATCACTGATTTTTTTTCAGAAAGAACATTTCCTCGGCTTGTATGGATATTCGTTTAGGAAGTAAAAGTCAGTCAATTATACAACTAATAAAAACTAAAATATGGTAAAAGATTTAGCTCAAACATTTTAGTTGTATCTTTAAAACTTACCAAAAACGTTCCAATGAAGGTTTAATTCAAAAAGCACAATACTTATAATGTCAAGCTTCATGTTTCCCTCTAATAATCCAGGTGACACTTGAGTATCTTATGTTTATATGAAACATCATGGATCTTTTTCAAAACGCATCCCTTATTCATAAGACAGACATTTCCGTTCTTGGTGAGTACTCGTGGTTACGTAATGGTTGTATATACATGTATTGACCACTTTCTTTTATTTTTCAAAATTACATGCTTCTTTTGACAACATGTGAAAAGCATAAAAAAAATATCATTGGGTGATATGCAGGGAAATATAATTCATCAAACAAAGCAACAAAACAAAACAAACAGACCAAAAAACAATTTGAAAACATAACAAAAGAAATTTAATACACTAAAACGAACGAATGAACAAACAAACGACCCCCCCCCTTTTTCGAAGAAAAGAAGGAAAACAAAAATCTATATATTTTAGTTTTATGCAAAGTATAGGGGTATGTTATCTATAAAGGGAAATTGTATAAACCAAACAAGCATAAAGATGTTTAGAAATAAAAATTGTCCAAGAGAGTTCTAACTCCTTCTATTGTCATAGACGAATAGGCCATTCAGTTCATTTATTAAGCTCACACCAACAATTAGGGGTCCGTGAGGTACATTTTATAAAAAGTCTCATAGATATTACCATGTGTAATAAAATTAGCTTAAATTAATCATGATAATTTATTCTTAACTAATTACTTAATTCTCACCTTGATTACGTTGCCAAATAATGACTGACAATCACAAATAAAAATTGTCATGTATTTTAAAAGAAACAGAATCGAAAAGTTATAAAATGTAATACTTTCATTTAAGGTATTATGAATATACGAGGTCAAAAAAGAATAAAATTGTGTAAAAATAATTTGAACAAAGATGAGATACAATTTTGGTCTTTTTAAATAATGACCCTCATCAGTTTATACACCTCACACTAAAGAGTTCTAATTCTGTAGTTTTTTTTAATGCAGCTAGAAGTAATTATTGATAAAGCAAAAACCTTGTTTTTTTTTCTTGTTTTTTTTCCCCCATAAAATGGGTATGCGTTGCTTGAACGAATTCGCCGAATTCAATTCCGATTCCGGTTCATAAAATAGTCGTCTCGCAGAGCATCTTGGGTATTGCTAAGGTACATAAACTGTCATGGCGGAAAAAAGACAAGTTTGAACTTTATTATGTTTGTAAGTTTCATAATTTATACAGTGTACTTTCAAAACAATGACCCAGGGGTTAAGAATAAATATTTCACTCTCTGTATGCTTTAAATCGATTCTTAATGAAATACATACTGTCAAACACAGCGTAGAATGACGGAAAAGAATGACTCGATGAGCATGTGCCCCCTTACGTTTTAGTAAATATACGCACAGAGATCAAAGTGTAGAAAAGTAGCACATACATCGTGTTAAGAACAATATAAGGTTATTAAAAAACACTTAAGAAAAATAGTATAATAGTAAAATATACGCACAAAGCTAAAAGTAAAAGTGTTGAAAATCATCACTTGCATTGTGTCAAGAATAAATGGTTTATAAAAATGTTGAACATTTAAGAAAAATAGCATAATAGCTAGATTAGGTTATGAAATGGAAGATCTGATTCATTGGACCAATGCTAGCCTTATCAAGAGATTGCGCTGAACTTGATTTATATAGGTTAAAAAATACCAAACAAACAAAAGAAAACTGTTTTGGTGCTTCCATGTAATATCATATGCAGTAATAGCAAGCGGCGCGAAGCACCGCTCGTCACTGCAAGCTCTTAAAGCAACGCCTGGGCGAAGAAAAAATTCAGACTTTGCACATTGATCCAAACGAATTTTTTTCCGCCGTTACCTGTGGTCCCATAATGCTTTGCGAATTGCATCTCGCCAGAAACAAAATTCTCAACATTCTCGTGGTAACAAGAAGTTCCAAGAAAAAAATTAACTCACCTTGATTTGATGGATGTAAAGCAGATAAATAGTAGATTAAACCTTCTTTATTAAAATTAGCACTGTTCAGACTTTGTTTTGGTAATGCAACTTACAAGTGACATCAGAGTCTAGACGTACTAAATGTCACCTGCGATTTGAAGAGCCCGATCTAAATAAAACTGAATTTAGGAATCTGCGCTTGCCATAACAGTCGCACCGTCAACATATTAATTTAGTAGTAATTTCCTGGGCATAACTTGAAGCTATTTCTTATTTTCTATAAACTCTTGTAGTCTTATTATAATCATGTCAATCAATGAATCATTCAGAATATAAACAAAGGTCTTGTGATAGGTGATCTTTAAGATAAATTTTTTTTTATGCCAAATTTTGAATGTATGGCTTATATGTTAGTGAATGACCAACATTGTTTTTATGTCCCCCAGTGAATAATAGTGGACATTGGTGGATATTTACACTGTGCTCCTAAATATATTTTAAAAGTCAGCCTAGCTAGATGTAAATTGATTGTGTGCAATGGTCAACATATCAAATAATATTGTAATATTGTAGGTAATGTGATCAGAAGTGGTATGGCCGCTGACGTACGAGGGGAATCAAGGGGTAGCTATCATAGTCAGTCCCAGTATTCTGAGTCCACTGTCATCAACCAGGATATTGCTGACCCGGATCTATTTCAGGCAGACATCTTCCCCACAAAAACAGAAAAAACCTCCCCACAGAAAAATGTTAGTTTTGCTCCAGATTCACATTTAGAGAGAGCTAAAAGCATTGAAGAACTTGCAAGTCGACCTCTGAAAATACCCAATGGGAATGGTCCAAGTGCAGCTAGCCATCTGTTGGCTCGTTTGGTGGATAGATCAGAAAATTCCCAGGCCTTAAGAGTTGCCAGGGGTCAACCAAGAGTGGCCCCTTCTGTGGTGCCTCCTATTGGAAAGAAACAACCATTATTACCAGTAAGTTTTGTCCAAAAAAAATACAAAATACAAACAACTGAACAAAGATTTGCAAACAAAGAATCAATAACACTTATTTCTTTTATTTCATGACTTCATTTTTTTTTCATACTTTGTAATAAAGAACCAGTCTGAGAATACTGTGGGGTCATTTTAATTAATTGGGGTCAATGTTCTTGGGCAAGCAAAAATTTACTTGTTTTCCCTATTGGGACTTAATTTTATGGGTAACTAACCCGTTTATATAGAAGATTCATCAAAATGTCACATTGACAAATAACCTGTTCATGTGGGTGTAAATTTGTGGGTTAGGATTACCCACAAAATCCATGAACATTGGTCCCAACAAACAATGATGTACTTTATGTACTGAAATGAATTGAATTTTAGGGTCCGTTTTCACCAAGCCCTCCACCACCAAAGAGCAATGGCACTGCTCCACCACCAGCGTACTTCCGTACAACTCTCTTTAAGAAGGACTATCAGAAAAGGCAACAACAAAGAAAAGATACAACACAAGAGGAGTTGCCACTTACAGTGGATAGGTGTGGTTTCAAACTTTCTTTTTTAACTTTTCACAATGTCTTTTAGGAATGCAGTAGGGTTATTTGATGTGTAAATGATTGTCATGGATTTTGGGATACATTTTGTGTCCTTCAAGTTAGGGTAAGTTTGGCATATTACTATAAAGGTAATTAAAATGTATCATTAGCAAAAATAATTTTAGTGGTGAAGAATCAATTGACAAAACCTCCAATCCCTCAATAAATCCTGCTACATATATACAGTAATTAAAATATCATCTGATCTTAAACAATATTTTGTTGTTTCTCATTGAAAAGCAACTATGGTATCTGAAGCTTACTTTTTTTAAGGATTCACAAGCAAGTGCCACCTTCCCCTGCCCCTTCCATGACGATGGATGAGATCCCCCCAGAGGAGGCAGAGGAATTGGAGGTAATGGCAGAGCTTCAAGAACTCATGGGACCTGGGACTGAAGCCAGCACGGTCATAAAATCAGGTGAAAAAATCATACTATATACCCCCAGAAAAGATAGAACAATGCATGTTTCTCTTTCTAAATTCTTCACTTTCCATTGTTTATATTTGTGACCGAAAGTTATGGTGAGATGTGCAGTTATAATATCAACTACAGCTTCAAGTAAAACTTCAAATTTTCGAAATTAAAAAAAATATTTTTTTATTTAATTAATATATATTAGGCCAAACAAAAAAATGTGTGTGGTTCCCGTTACACTTCCAAAAAAATTACGGTAGGTAGGTAGGGATTTTTTTTTTTTTTTTTTTTTTTTTTAACAAAATGATTTTCTTAATTTTTTCTAAATAATACCTATCACTGCTTTGCAAATGGCATTTAGATGTGGTGTGATAATATACTAGTCAATATTGGTAGGGAACACCTACATGCTAGCTTGCTTTGGATTTAACACTATTAAACATTTGCAATATGTTTTGCAAGGAGGCTGTCATTGCTGAAACTAAAAACTTAAACTGGAGCCATTGATGGAAATTGGGGGAAATTCCGGAAAAAATATGAAAATTGCCAAAAAAAAGTTTAGGGTCGGGGGTATAAAATAGGGAAGGTCGGGTAACCGGAACCACGCATATTTTTTTATTTGGCCTTGCTAGTACTTTGAAGCATTCTTTAAGTAATGATTTTATGCTTTTAGAGAGTGTAGCAGAAATGGAAGATCTGGAAACCCCAATTAGCCGAGACGGGGGATCAACTGGTGATAAATCGATTAAACTCGCCAAGAGTCACAGTGCAGCATCCAAACCAGGAACTTCTTATACCAATTTCTCAGTTCCCTCCCCTACAAAAGAGGAGCAGGAGGAAGATGCTAAGCTACAGTCTATGATGGAAAAATATCCTGAAATTATTCCAATTATTGATGAAATCAAAGGGGATAAGGCATCTACGGAGGCTAAAGTTAAGGGTAAAGCTGATCATCTGGCCAAAACAGATGCCAGAAAATCATCTGGGAGGAAAAAAGACATGAGTCATGTCCTGTCTTACCTGAAGAAAAACAAATATGATGATACAGGTAGATGGTATTAGAATTAGGTTTTACAGGATTTTGATTTGGGGGATTATTTTTTTTATATATATAGTAATTAAGAGTACTAAAGACTCTTCTTGATTAATAAAAACTTAAAAATATTTAATAAAAACTTGATAAATATTAAGATTATGATTATTTTAATAGTTCCAGAAAATGATGATATTATGGAGAACCTTATAAAGCTCAGAGAGAGGTTGGGATGGAAGACTGAGATTCCACGTCATGCAATGGGATGCAGGGCTGCCATGGAGAAACTGAAGGATCTGCCAGATAATGAAAAGGTTGGTTTTATTAAAAGTATGTTTATACACACATTCATACACATCTACACTATCATAGCCTTTGTAGCTGGCAACCTTTTTTGCAAAAGGGATTTGTGAATTTCAAATGAATGTGTGCCCTCTGTACTAATTCAGACATCAAGGCATGACTTTTCTGTTTATTCAAAATAGTTATTTTTTATTTAAAAAAAATATGAAAGATGTCAACAGCTTTATCAAATCAGTAAATTTGGCCACATTTCTTCTTGAAACAGAATACCCTTAAATATTAATCTACTGAAATGAAGAAATTTGTATGATTGTACAGGAGAGAGCCAAAATGAAGGAAGACGATGGTGAATTTTTATACTGTTTGCCCAGACAGAGGAAGAATAGGCGAGCCAGATATGATCCGTTTGATTTACAAGTTGTCTCCCCTAACGAGGCTCAGAAGTCCGATCAGTATTATACAATTTCGGCTTCCTTTATCACAAGGGTAATACAATACATTATAATCATCAGAAAATGTTCGTTCTAGATTTATACCACTTGTAATGAATGACTTTTTTGTAAAAATTGTTTATTATTCTATGTGTGTGGAGAATATGTTTTTTGGGGCACAAATAACATGCTGAATAACGCAAGGCTGAAAATTTGGGTCTTCTATTGGACGTAGATTTTGATGTAGGAAAATGCATAATTCATAAAGCTCTCACTTCTTTTAATGTTTAGATTATCCAGAGTAAGTCAGAGACCTTCAACACTCCAGTTCTGTGGTGGTTGTGGGAGAGAAGGCTTTTCTACTTGGTGTACAACTTCCCCGTCTTTGTCAAGTTTAGGTAATACAGTTTTATATGTATATATTTATTCAAAAAGAATATATAAGGTCTACATTCATAAATCACCATCCTCCCTGAAACATAGACAAGACATAAATACAGATACTTTGTGATTATTGAAGTTATCTTATAGAAGTTGTAACCATTTCTACAATGAATTGATTTTTCTTTATCCAGGTTATGGAAAACTTTCAAACAATGGAAAAGAAATGTAAGGCTGCAGAAAAGCAGCCAAAGCAGGTTTATACATATTCACTTCTAAATCTGCAGTACAGTTTATATTCTGTAAACTAAATAATAATTGCAAATTTTTTAATTTGTGAATCTACAGTTAAGAACTGGTCTATGACAGTAACAATCATGATGGAATTTTCCTGTTTTATAAACCTTTTAAAGTCTTCAACTGTTTTGTATCCATGAGCTGGATTTTCTAGGGATTCTTCCAGATATTTCTTGCACACATATAAAAGTTGCTTTTTCAGTTATTTTTTTTTTAAAGAGAAAAGAAATATCGATTAATATGTCTTTGAAATTTCAGAGCTGTCTTGTACAAAACTCTCTTCATTGCTAACGAGATCCTACAGGGTTGTCTGGTTCATGTCAGGAAGCTGTGTGAGGCAGCCTCAGGGAGTCTGACTGGACTTGGGGAGGGGGAACATGCCATCTCCCTTGTGTCCTTGGACAAGACACAAACTCTGACATTGGAGGATTTCATGTCTATTCAGCATCAGCAGGGGGACAAAGCACTGAAACAGCTGAATGCACTGAGGGAAAAAATTATCAATTTAGTCTGGGAATCGTGTGCTGTATGTATAAATAGCTTTGACAAATAAATCAAACTTTTATCAAGAAAAGACTCTATCTGTTATTGAGATTTTCTTACGTTCCAGACTGTGGCTGAGATGGAGGGTATAACAACAGGAATTAGAGATGACAACAATCCCAAGAAAGTGAAGATACAGGTTCCTAAGGAAGAAGCCCCCGTGGCCGCCGTCACCAGTAAAACCAAACTACAGGAGAAATATGGCTTTACAAGCAAAACATCCACCATAGCTAAAACGAATGAAAAAACTAGTGAGTTTACAGATATATGTGTACCTATTTCAGATTTATAATGGTGAAAGGCTAAAGGTAAAAATCTGGGAGGAGGATAGGAGGAAAAACTACTGGTACTTCGGTGCATTGTGGTTAACTGAAAATCGTGGATTTTATCTGAAACGTTCATAAGAATTCTGAGATGTTCTCTGGTTTTTAATTTTTTGTGAATTATTCCATTATCAAATTGACTTGAAATGCTTGATGGTGAAAACATTCTTTCCATTTATTAAGGAGTGAAACCATTGTATGCTGAAATTTCTGAATGGAGGAAGATCTTGTCCCGCTTGTGTAGTTTCCTCCGATCTGTTGACTACCTGATATTGGAGATGTTACGTCGGCTAGTATTGACAGCTGTTCGTCAATTGTTGGATCACCTTGTAGCCTCCTACAATGTCACCGATGAAGATGAAGAGAAGGTATAATGAATTTGTGATTTTAGTTTGCACTTTGTCAGTGTTGGATTTCAAGCAGATTGCAAGATTTTGAAGAGCAAAATAGCATAAAATAAAACATACATGTATAGGTTAACATGGACAATTCAAGTGTAGATTTTACATTCCAACAAATCTATTGAGAAAATTGTTTTAATTTCAAACATACAGGGTGTAGAAAACTTACTGACATGAGTAGAAAAATGATGCGATTATGACTACTTTCTTGTTGTTGATTCAAAAGTTATAGCATTAAATATGGAAGAACTTTTGTACCAAACTGTAGAAACATCTGTAGCTTATTTAGATTTTCTTTAGAAGGTCATCAAAAGGATTAGAATATGTTTGTCATTTTTCATCAGGGATTTGTATCAGATCATCGTATTGTAAGTTTCATGTTCCCGTTTTGTTCTATACAAATTCTCATTTTACTTTAAATAATTCTCTAAATAATTCTGATTTTGATTTATGCAAAAATTTCCCTCCACTGAATTTAACATGGTACATTGTATTTTACTTACAATAAATTCCAGTTTGTAAAAAAGAATGAAAAATATTATTGAAGGATAAAAAAAGAATGTACACTACCTTTCTACTGTTTTATTAACCATAACAAGGAGTTTATTACGGTAACCCTTTTTTAAATACCAACAAACTTATTAATGCACAATTTGAGTCAATGAAATAGTTTCCATCTGCACAAATGGTATGAATTAGAAATTAATATAAAAAAAAGATAAATCCTAATCTGTAATCATTTTACTTGTATAAATACCGTTATCTTGATTCATAACTTTTCAGACTGAAGATTTTCACTGATATTTGTTTGCATGAATATACTTTTTTCTGATAAAGTATATGACTTTCAATTTTGAATTTTGCCTACATATTTATACATTTATATGATGGGCTTTGGGTGGTAAAAATATACTACTTCAGTAATAATGAACATATAAGGCTTTGAAAAATATACATCAAATGAAAATGAATGTTCATTAGTAAATAGTAATAGATTACAGGGAATTTTACACAAGGTAAAAATACACTGTACATGTACTGGATGTTTATTATTTCAATTAAGGGAGTTAATTAACAAAATCTCTTATTTGACAGGCTTCCTCTTACATACCATCTGAACACACCTCAGCTAGTAATTCCCCTGAGCCAGACAAAAAACAGGTCTTTGTGCATGAAACGTGTGCAAGTCCGTTGTATAATAATCAGTGTTTTGTTTCCTCTTGTTACCGGTCAGCTTTTTAATACTGTACCAATGTTATGATTTTAACTTCGTTATCTTTTAAGTTCAAGAGCTTTTTTTTAATTGTGTGTCTGTAAATAAAAAAGAAATTTTGTCTTGTTATAATCAGAGTGTTTTATTGCTTATATGGAGAGATCATTTATTTTAATTCTAGCTTACTAAATAGCATTATAAAAATGTTTTGTAATATTTTATTCTTCAAATATACGTTGATAAGTATATTAATGGTCTGAAATGTTGAATTAAAAAAAATACAGTTTCCTAATAGTTCAAACCCCAATTCTAAACTAAATATCGACTAAAATTTGAGTAATCTAATTCTGCCATTCTACACATGCAGCTGTAGAATGACGTAGTTACATGGCGGTACACATCAATGTGTAACAAATGTTGATGGAAATGCAGTATAATTTATGTTACCCAAATGTGTTGTGTTGTATTTTTAAATAATGTTATAATTTTATTTCAGTTTTAATTTTCCTTTTTATTTTCACTTTAAGCAGAAAATTAAAAAAGCACAAAAATGGTTTGCCATATTTTTTTCCAGTTACTGACCAAAAGACTTGTAAGAAATGAAAAAAAAAATTATTTTATTTATATCTATATAGCTTATTATATAATAGTATATAAAACTTGTTATATTTCTCAGGTCTTTTTTGCTTTGATATAATGTTACAAATATCACTATGACTGCGTGTGGGGATATCTTTCCTTTTTCTTCTCTATAAACCAACTTTTATATGCTTTTAATAAATATCTGCAAACGATCTCTCCTCAACAAATATTTCTCATTATATGGCAGTCCCCATATAACTTTCCAAAGAAGACTTTAACATCTAAAAGCTGAAAAATGAATCTGCTAGTCTTCTTATTTCAGAATTAAAATTGTTGGAAATAAAAGTTGGTTTACAATGTCTTTAGATAATAATTTCATTCCAGTTTAAGATATAATTACCCCAGCTAGCTTACCATTTAACCAAATCCCTGCAATTTTACGCAATTTTCAGCTACCTGACACATTAAGTTTTTTTTTTCCAATATTTTTTTACAGCATATTTTAAATTTTTTTAAAATTCATTTTGCAGCACCTTAAATTAATTATCTTTTTTGATTTAAACTTTATGCATGCTGTCATCTTATTTTGTTGATAAGATGTTTAATGGAATTTTTAATATGCTGAAATAAATCACTATTTACATCTTGTTTCATTTAAACACCCTTTAGGTGAATTCATTAGAATATATAGAAAAAGAGGGGTTTTGTTTTTGTTTTAAATGAAGCCCAATTTAAAAGTTTTGTCAACTGTATTGTTGTTTTCTTATTAAGAGTCTGTTATTTTTTCCTAACATATAAACAAGCATTTGATAATGGATTATCCTTGTCTTGTTATAGATGAGTGAACATGGAACTCATTCGGAGAGAAGTGACAGTGTTTCCTCTGTGAGCAGGTAAGAATTCTTTTTATCACAGGAAATACCATGTTTGGGTTTCTTATGGATATTTAAGCACTGAATTATTATTTTTTGAAAGATGTAGTCTCATACTTGAAATGGCATGTGCAAACAAATTGAATAATGCACGTTAGTGCATTATGAAAATTTGTTTGCAAACACAGTTGCAGTTATGAGACTACATGTATATCTTTCAAAAAATGATAATTTAATGCTTATATTTACAGTTTTCTTCCCCTGCCTTTTCTGCAAATGTGATTTATATTTCAAAATCTCTGTATTTTCTTTGGGGTTTTTAAATTTAATAGAAGAGCCAGTATTGCAACAACTACTACCATTGAATTGTTCAGTGTGAGCGTGAATTTTTAATTTTTGCTTATGATGTTGAACTTGCACGGCATTCAACATTTGTGATGTCAGAATAAAAAATAACCCTCTGACCTCCCTGTCCATGTTATGGTGTTGAATGCTGAAGCTTTCCACATGCTTTATAAGCAAAATACATGTGGAATGTAAGTATAAATGATTGCATTGCAATTTGTTATACAGGTGGTCTTCATTGAAATATTTCCACAAAGTCAACCAACCTATCAGTTTCAGCAGAGTTCATATATTTCACCTCCCAAAAACGTTTTTGAGACCCAGGAAATGAGTCTGGCTATGGCACCTTAAGTACAGTCCCTGAAACGTTCTACTTTCCCATTTTTCCGTTCGCTCACCGTTCGTTCACCGTTCGTTCAGCGTGCGTTCACCGTTCGTTCACCGTGCGTTCACCGTTCGCTCTCCGTTCACAGTTTTGCGTTCACCGTTCACCGTGCGCTCGCGTTCACCGTTCACAAAGCGTTCAGCGTTCGCTCTTCGTTCCGTTCACTTTGCGTTCACCTTGCGTTCAGCGTTCACCTATCGTTCAGTTTTCATTGACATTCGGAACTCCGAAGTGAAAGGACTTATCTTTTTGTAGGTTAGGAGCTACAGGTTTTTTAATTTAATAACTTACATATCGTGTTTGAAGAATCATTATTTCAAGGGGGAAAATATCTACGATATATATTTTTATTATTCTAACTAAGCTGTTAGGTTATTTATTAAATTACTCTGGAAAATAAATGTTGTTATAAGCACATTCTGTACCTATGTAGAACAATGCTGAAATATTAAATTTAATTAAAGGCAATGTGCAAATACTTCAAGCACTGCAACATTTTGTTGTTTTGTTAAAGACGACAAATCGTTAATGGAGATATAATTATCCAAGTCTAATTATGCAGCAAAATTACGAAAATATTTATTTATAATACTTTTTTTATCAATTACTACAGAAAATATGTTAGGACTAGTTCTGAGAGTTATACATAGTACTGCGGATATCGTATTAATTTATTATCTTTAGAGCGAATTAAATTGATGGTGTGGTTAAAGGAAATGTTTATTTAAAATGTAATGCACTACAGAATTTTCTCTACTATAATATGTAAAGTCTATAGTTATAGAGAAAAAAAAATCTTTCTTCACCATAACTTTATATGTTTGTCATTCCATATGATTAATACCCCCCCTTTTCCCCCTAAATCGGTTACTTAGTCAGTATTGTATTTCCAGAATATTTTAATTAACATTTAAAAAAAAAGTTAAGGTCTTTTATAGAACAAAAACTTCAGTCTCAAAACAAACAGGCTTCTAAAAAAGTCACAAAACAATAGTAGTTCAAAATGTACACGTGTCGGCGGTGGTATTTGGAATTGGCAGAGAGTATGTTTCAAATTCAAGTGTTAATGCCCTATGTATTTTATTCAATTATTATTCAAATGTTGGAATCAAATCTAGAAATGATAAAAATAAATGTTATAAAAAAAGAAGTTACTTTCACTGTCTGATATACTTAGAAAAAAATTTCAGAGTTTTTGTTTGATAAGGGTACAAACATGTAGTGAAGCCTGAAATGGGAGGGGGGCTAGCTAAAACGGAATATTTCTCTCTCTCTCTCTCTCTCTCTCTCTCTCATTTGTCTGTTTAATAAAAACTATTATAGCATATTACTTGAATATCAAGTTCTGAAAATTGAATTTAATAATATGAATATGTATCTTTGTATTATCTTGTCCGAGTATAATCACGGCCATCTACAGATAAATGTAGAAGTCTGCTCAGTAAACATGGCCGTAGGAACCGAGGGGGGGGGGCAAGGGGGCCCTGCCCCCCTCCCCAATAATTTTGCCGATATATAGATTATTATAGTAAACATAGATATTATATGCTTGTGTCCCCGCAATAAAAAGTCTGATGATCTTTTTTTTTTTTTTTTTTTTTTTTTGCTTGTCAGGAAATTTTTGGTAGTGCCAACTGAACGTATGGCTGTGCCCCCCCCCCCCAACCGAATTTGCTTCTTACGGGCCTGATAAATCATCATGTAAAATAGAAATGACACATAATATATTATTGTATTAAAAATTTAAAATACGAGCGTATAATGCAAAACGTCCACTGACCTATGTAATTATTTGTTTTTCATTACTTTACACGAAATCGCCTTAACACGGAGATATATGAATGGATGTTACAACCACTTTAATTCATTCTATAAGTCAGAAGTTTTCTCTGATTTGTTATCAAATAAGAATAAACATTTTTAATTTCCAACTAAAAAAATATCTCTTATACTTCAGCGTTCGGCAACAATTGCAATGTTTTAATGCGATAAAAATCGTGTGATTAAAAACTTAATGTGCATGCATCGTCTTTCTCAGGACAATTTTGGAGAATTTATTTTATTGACTTATTTATTCATTCATTCATTGGTTTACTTATTGATTTATTTATTTATTTATTTATTTTTTTTTGGCACTTGACATAATAAAACAATAAAATAGTTTCAATGCAAGGAAAAGATCAGAGGCATTCCGAATATATCGTTCATCTTGCGTTCACCGTTCGTTCACCGTTCACTTTGCGTTCGCGTTCGCGCTCCGTTCGCGTTCTGCGTTCGCTCACCGTTCAGCGTTCACACATCGTTCACCAAGTTGCGTTCAGCGTTCACACATCGTTCACTCACCGTTCGCTCTGCGTTCGTTCAGCGTTCGTTCACCGTTCGTTCAGCGTTCGCTCACCGTTCAAGTGGGAAAGTAGAACGTTTCAGGGACTGTAACCCCTACCCAACAAAATTTGCTTTCCCTTATGAGAATTAGGTGAATAGGGGCTCCTTTACAATCTTCCTGTTATCATATTTAAACCAAAATTTATCCATAATAATACAGACCTTCTCAATACCACTCATGCCCTATTATTACCCAATTCCATCCATTTTCATCATTAAGAATACCTGTTTTTGTGTCACCTGCAGAGCAGAGCGGCACTTAGGGATCACTTTACCCAGCATCTGTCTGACTGTCTGTCTGTTCGTCTGTCACACCTTGTATCCCAAGAACTGTAAGAGATATGGACTTGATTTTTTGCACATATATTGTTTGGTACTATGGCATTTGTGCATTGCCATGGTTACCGACCTCGTGACCAGTGACCTTGACCTTTGACCTACTTTACAAAAAAGTTAAAAGTGCCAATATACACCATATTTTTTTACATTTAAGGGGTAAGTCTATGCTATCTAGCATGTGCACCGATTGTTATAAAACATTATGAAAAATATCAGCGTTACAATTCACTGGACCTTGACCTTTGACCTACTTTGCAAAAAATACCCCGGACAGTTTAACTTAGAATTTTTAAATTTTGAGAGGTGGGGTGTTGATAATTAGCATTTATACATGTTTATAAGCTCATAATTCTGTACTTTGAAACTGTATGATATTCAGTTACCACACAAACTGATATTTGAATATTATGAAGGGTAACATCGGGATCAGTATCCCGCAACGGATTGTGTAGAGTGACAATTGGTGTAAAGACCTTGAAAACGTATTAACACATGTAAAATGATAAATAACTATTTATAATGATCTTAACTTAATTATTCATTTGAGGGTTGGGAATCATATTTCTTTGATTGTGAGACTCTATGAGAGTCTTATACAAAGTACTATGTGTGGATGTTTTTTTTTGTGCATTCATGAACTATCATGCTATTAGTAAATAAATAGCTAACTACACTTAGATTTATTTACATCTTTAATGAAGCTACAAAGTAGGCGACACATGCGTTCCTTGGAACACTCTAGTTTTTAAATGGAACTACTAGGGTAAATCTTTTGTGACGTAGCTATGACCTTTAACTCACATACTAAAAGTCTTTTATTTAAAAATAAATACGTTTAATTAGCAATTAATTTTAATGAAAATTTCAGAAGGTTCAGGAGAAAAATATAAAGACAACTGTACATAATAAATCTACTTCCAATTGTAAGAAATATTTATTTTCCAGGCCTTTCTCTGGGACAAGTCACAGTCAAACCAGCAGTAAACCGAAGCTCCCTCCCCCTCCCAAGGCTGACACCCCCTACGAGATCCCTCATTTTGACTTTGATCAACCAGAAATAATAGAGGGCCCACCTGATGTAGATGAGGTTAGCTGTGTTGTGTATACATTGTAGATTAATTTACATTCAGTGTTGGATTTGAATTTTATTGTTTTACTTGTGATCATGCTGTCTTTCTAAACATTATGTATGGTAAATGATTGATTTTTAATGGTCATCTTATTTGATTCAGGAGTATGAGTGCATGTACAACCCAATAAATTCTGTTTTAGAGAGGAAAAAAATGAGAGACATAAATTTTGGCATGATGCATGGTTAATGTTTTGTTATATTTACAATGTCAAGTTGAAGTTAGCATAAAATGAGTTCAATACAAAAAAATGATCGAAAAATCTTAAAATCCAGAAGTTACATTATCAATTTCATTTAAATCTTAAATATTTCATGATGGCATGCATTACCTAACAGGTGTTGGAGGAAATCAGGCAGAAGGATGTGGTAGAGGAAATTATAGCCCCGGTCTTTAGCATACAGTTGGTGCTAAATGTCCCGGGGACTGAAAACCCCCATAAAGAGGAGAGAAAAAGACATAGACGAGGAAAGTCATCCTCTCCAGACAAGAGTGGCTATTTCAGTAATGGAAAAACAGACTCAGCTTCCACTCGAAAAACAGTTCAATTTCAAGATATACATGAGACTTCAGGTTAGGATTAGAACAACTTTTCAGAAAACATACAATAAATGTCTTGGAAATGTAACCATATGAATTTTCAAAGAAACCAGGATTTTAAGTACATGTAGTTTAATCACAATTCAAGGGTAACTTCTAAATACAGTCAAATATCATTATTTCAAACTTAATGGGGCCAAGACAAACATTTGAAATATGCAAGAATCTGAGATATTGAGGTTAAAATGCATATAGGAAAAGTGGTTGGGAATTCCAACTCACTTCAACCTATTCATGTTAATCAAGATACCCGTGTTCCAAATACCAAAATTTAACTGTATGTTTATAATTTTTAGCAATCAAGATTTCTGGTGTCTTCATTTTGAACTTGTTTAATTCTGATTTAAGACAGTATGGATTGACTTTGTAGAGACTGAGTCTGAATCTGAGGAGAGTGATTCTGAGGACTCAGGAGAGGAGCATGACCACAGGAGGAGAGAGAGCTCAGAAAGTGAGGAGTCTGAGGATGAGGACAGAACTCCTCATGAGGATTATGCCTACCCAGAGCAAGAGAAAAGGTAACCAGGCCCATGTTATCATAGTACTACTGAATGTAATTAACAGTCCCATTGTATTTGAAATTTATTCCTCAAGAACAGTTGTGCATGCACTTCATATACATACAGCAGTTATGTGCATTGTCCTATGTGTCATAAAAATCTGTGTTGCTTAGTTCTTACACTAATTGATAAACAGCACTCACGTTTATATAAGGAAAACATATAACTTAAACAGAAAAGTTTGAACATTTTTATCAAGTTGCTAGAATATATTTTATCCTGCAGTCAAACTTGAAATATTACTATATGTTTCATGATTGGAATATTTTAGGTCCAAGGGAAGCAAAAAGAAATCCTATGTAACCTTGTCTCCAACTGAGTATGAATTTAAATCTGGAATCAGGACCATAATATGTGGATTTGAAAACACAATAGGTAAGCCTTTAGGCAGCTGATCTTTTGAACAAAATGTAATTTTGATTTTGAACACATGTAACCAAGAAAACAAATTATTTCCCGGCCTTCTCTATACAGAATAATCAAATATTTTTCTTCTCATTTTAGCTCAAGTTGTGTCCATGTTAAGAGAGCCAAAATTGAAGGTTTTTTATTTGCCCCCTTCCCATGACCTTAAATTGAACTTTGACCAGGAAGAAGAGAGAGACAGAATGGAATACCAGCGACCTTGGCCTGACCTTGAAAATCTGTTTGGTGATGACCCAGAATACCAAAAATATCTGACTGACCTTGGCTCATACATGGCTATGCAACTGGAACAAGTTAAACAATTCTCTCATGTAAGTTTGATACCCATAAAAGGCAACTGGAGTTCGGTTACTACAGTAATAAGAAAAGATGTTCTTGTGTAAAAGGTTGAATTTATTTCATAACTGATACAATAAACTGATTTAAGATTTTATACAACTTTTTGATATGATGAATGTTTTAAAATTATACTCTTTGTATACTTTGTCCCTTTGTCAAGAGAAGATGTGCGATGGTTCTTTGTTAAAACATTATTTCTTCTGGCAGAACTTTGATCAGTACTGTGAAATGGTGGATAAGAGTAAAGCCTTAGACATCGATGAATCCATGGCCCGACATGAATGGTCTACAGAAGAGTTCAGTCATGTTCTACCAACTTTCACAGAAATGGTCAGATTTTTCTTTCTGTATAATATCTGTTTATCTTGAGGGTTTCTTTTTATCAGATTTTTTATGCATCAGTAATTTTGTTTTGATTCTATGCTGGTAGGCTCAGTAACAATATATTAAGATAAGATGTTTCTTTCTTGCTGTTTTTTTTTTCCACAAATACTACTAAGTTTTCACATCTTTTAAGTTTTGATGACAAATTTCATTTAACTTTTACAGGTAAAGGAGATGAGGAAGATGACTGTGAAGAGAAGATGTGCAATGGTTCTGGTGATGAGCTCTAACTTCAGGGACTCCTGTCTCCCTCACCCCCAGGAGATCATCAACAAAACTCACCATAAGCTGCCAATCATTGCCAACAAAAGAAATGAAGATCTACTTACTATTATCAAGGTAAAAAAGAAGCATATTTTCATGATTTTTGGAATTTTATTGAATCAGCAACTTAATGTCAGAAGTTATGACATTTGATAAGGTTTGGAATATTATCCAGAAAGGAAACATTATATTTAGGATATTTTTCTAATCTTTTTTTTAAATGTCTGTTATCAGGGTGCAGCAAGAAAACTGGAAGACTATCCTAAATCTGTGGAAGAATTTGTAGAACATTTGTCTTTCCTGTCCAAGATGACATCTGAAATCACAGCTCTTGATAAGGAGTTCCTGATTGTGAACAAGTTGTTCACCATTGCCAAGGATTTCTCTGTTAAGATTGAACCAGAAGATCTGGCCTTGTACCAGACATTGGGTCCAAGTTTCCAGGGGCTGAAAGTAAGAGGGTTAAACTTAATATATGCCTAGGAAAGCTAGTTATTTTACTGTTTGGTGATAGAGTAAAAGATGGAAAATAATAAGTTTTCTGTACATGTAAATATTAATATGAGATATTGGGACTGATATTATCTTTACTGGAAAGAAGTATTCTTTCTTTGGTCATTTTATTTGTTCTTGAAGAAAATCTTGGTGTGTGTTTGAAATTTTATAGGCTAGTATATTTTTGTATCAAGTTTGCTTCATAGCACATTGACTTTTTGAGCACAATATTACCGGGTATTTTATAAGTAATATTTTATCTGTTTAAAAGAAAACAAAAATAATTTTTGTAGAATGCCATACTGGTTGGTGAAGCCAAGAAAGATGAAAACATCCGTAAATTCAGCCAGGACTTAGATACCCTTATATATAAGATTCGCACCAAGCTGATGGAGATCAAAAACAGAGTACGCGACCCAGATCTCCTCAGTACCGACATTATAGCAGTGGCCGCTCTGAGTAAGCTCGACTCAATTCAGAGTGAGGTAAGCTCCCTGTCTACAAAAGCCAGAAGCTATGCAAGCTACCAGGAGCGATTTGGAAGCTCGCTGTCCAACTCTAAAAGGGGCATGTATGGAGAGTAAGTATTGTTTTGATTGTATATACTCTCCTGCGACAATTTGAGTTGACACAATTCCTTTAGAGTAACGTCTTCATTTAATCAAGCTAAGATTTGATTGGATCCTTTGTTGCAAATTATGAAAATAATTTTGACATATTTTTTTCTGGTCTTAGACGTGAAGTATGGTAAATGTATTCAGTGTATTGTCAAACAGTTCATCCATTTATTAGTTTCAATTTTGTTGCATGTATAATTTTTTTATTTATATCATGTCTTCAAAATTATTTTCTTCAAACAAAAGGTTTTTTTTAATTTACCGTTTTTCTTATTGTATTCATTATGTGCATACATAATTTCAGTGTGAAATAACTAGAACATACATGTATATTGTCAATAATCATTATTTACACTCTTCAAATTTTATCATCTTGTTACAGAAATTTTTTTGGATGTCTAATTCTATTTCATAATGACAAACAATTAACAAAATCAGCTTCTCTACCATGATAAAAGATAGAGATGTAGAATATTAAATTCTCTGTTTCCAGGGAGTACATGTTGATGGATCGCTATGACAGTCAAAGTGCCACTGAGATTCAGGCTGACCTGTCTGACATTGAGCGTGACTTGACCTTGAGGCAGTTGCTATGGCAATCCCAGGAGGAATGGGATAAGTTGTACGAGGAATGGACAGCCACACCGTTTGATTCTTTACAAGTGGAGCTACTGCAAAAAAATGTAAACCGATTCACACAGACAGTTTATATGTTGGAAAAAGGTAAAGACACGGGTTGTATTTATTTCTATGATTTCTGTAGCTTTTTACCGTTTTGTATTTTATGGACAATTCCCATTTCAAAGATTGTATCATGCTGAACCATCATTATTTTCTCATTTTGATAAGAGTTTAAATGCTTGTATGTTAATTTGATAAAAATATTGAAATAGAGATTTAATAGAAAATGAAATCTTTCAATAAGTTACATATTTTTCCAATGATAATTTAAGCAGTAAGAAATCAGAAACTGTCTGGCTTAAAGAAGAAGAACTGTTGATTTACTTTACTTGGCATAGCATTTTGATTTAAATATTAGGTTTACCATCTAATGAGGTCCTACCAATTCTGAAGGAAAAAGTGACAGAGTTTAAACATGGCATGCCAGTAATCACATCTCTCAGGAATCCATCACTGAAGGCCCGCCATTGGCAGCTGATTGAGAGACTGATCCAGAAATCTATTGCCCGAGATAAGAACTTCACCCTGGCTAACCTTCTGGAAATGAATGTAAGTCAAAAATAAACCAGAAGAAAGGCAGGCAACACGTGAACTTGTTTAAATCATAGACAGATTCTTAGACTTATTAGTACCGGTAAATAAAAACTGATGCCCACTGGATTTTTTATTTAGATTTTCAAACACAAAGAAAAGATTCAAGAAATCTCTACTAAAGCCAGCAATGAAGCCACACTGGAACTCATGTTGGATAAGGTACTGTAGATTTAGTAAAAACTCACAGTTTTGTAAATAAAAAGTATCGTTCATTTTTGCTTTTGTTGTCATGCAGTTAAATTTTTTCTTCTTTCTGCAGATTATCAACTTATGGCAGAACACAGATTTCCATCTGTCTCCACACCAGGGCAGAGACACCTTTATCATTGCTGGAGCAGACGACATCATGGCACAGTTAGAGGAGAGTCAGGTTACCATAGGAACCATCAAAGCATCAAGATACATTGCTCCAATCCAGGCAAGAATAAAGATTTTCTCACCCTCTTATGAAATGAGCCCTAAGTCATTATCTTTAGTATCTTTGCAAAAAATTAAATGTTGTTGCCCCAACTTTTAGACGTTTAGACATAGACGTTTTTGGTATAATTTCAGACTCAAGTTGACCAATGGGAGAGCAAGCTTGGTGTGTTTTCCAGGACCTTAGATGAATGGTTGACAGTACAAAGAATGTACCTCTACTTAGAGCCAATTTTTAGTGCCCCAGATATCCAAAGGTAATTCATTCATGAATAATTTGTGAGAAAAAATGGATAATACAATATTTAAAAAAAATGCAACATCTAAGACTTCAAAATTTAAAAGCAAATTTTTTGAAAATATAAAATTTTAATAATGAATTAAAATGACTCTTGAGACCTTCCATTTATCTGATTTCATTTATTTATTTCAGGACATTGCCTGGAGATGCTAAGTTGTTCACTGCAGTGGACAAGTCGTGGAAGGACATAATGAGGAGAGTAGAGGATCGCAGGAATGCTCTGAAGGCAGCGACCACTACAGGGACCCTAGAAACACTGACTTCATGTAGACAGAATCTTGAGAAAATACAAAAAAGCTTGGAGGTTTGTTAGAGGATCTTTTAAAAATATTTTTTTTATTCTTGCATTATAGTATTTTGATATTTCCTTTTAAGAGATGTTGCATTATTACTGGTAAGCTGAATGGACGTGTCTGGAGAGTTGGAAGTTTAACTGAGCATTTTCTTTTTTTTAAGGAATATTTGGATTCCAGAAGAGTTGTCTTTCCTAGATTTTACTTTCTTAGTAATGATGAACTTTTGGAGATTCTGGGTGCCCAGTCCAAAGATCTCAATGCTGTTCAGGTAAAGTTTGACTAAAATGAATTTGAAGTACCATCCCCCCATCAAAGCATATTTGGAAATACTGCATGTCTCTTTCTCATTTATTTGAAAAAAACATCAAAATTTATTTTGTATTCATAGCCTCATCTTGGAAAGTGTTTTGGCAACATCAAATATCTAGAGATAGGCCAGAATCCACCTACCATCAAAACCATGATCTCTTCTGAAGGAGAAAGAGTTGCCATGCCAAAGTATGTAGAATATCTTAATTTGAAGTTCTGTATTGAAGTTTAAATACTTTATTTTTTTATTTTCCCTTGAAGGTTGTTTTCTAAACACATTATCAAATAGGTAAGAGATGTTTAGATGATACAATTGATGGAACTTTTTTATAGGAACATAAGAGCCCGAGGTTCTGTTGAACAGTGGTTGGTTTATGTGGAAAATGGAATGATAGACACTGTCAAAAAGTAAGTAGTTTAATTTATGTTGCACAATACAGATTGTCCAGAATACCATATTAAAAGAATTATCATATGAAGCAGTATCATATTACAAGGAATCTAAATTGTCAAAGATGTTTGTGGTAAACATTTATCCATTGTATGTCTGTTTAGACACCTAAAACTAGGCTTGGCTGATTGGTTGGGAGCAGATCAGAGAGAATGGGTCCTAAAGCATCCTGGTCAGGTGGTCCTCACTGTGGTAGGTAGTAAGAATTATCTGAAAGAGACATACAGCTATTAAACAAATCATTATTAAAATAATTTTTCCATGCATATTTTCTTACATTTGATATTAAAGAAAACAGTAATTAATTTTTTTACTGCTGATATCCATGAATTAAATTCTTCATTTTACCGATTGTTTTTTTATATTTTATATTCAGACACAGATTATGTTCAACAAAAATGTCATTCAGTGCTTTGACCTGCCCAATGTAATGAACAGCTTGATTGAAGTTAAAGACAAACTAGTGGACTCCTTGAACATTTTAGCTCGCATGGTCTCGGGCAACATTTTGTCTCATCAAAGGGAGAGCATTATGGCCTTATTGACCATCAATGTACACAATAGAGATATCTTACTGGGCATGATAGAGCAACAAATCCAAAAAGTGGATGACTTTGTTTGGACTAAGTAAGATATATATTTCATCTCAACCTGAAAAGTAAATAGAAAGACTCTACATTTTAACTTTCTCTTTGAGACTAATTGCAGTTCCATGCAAAGTTCCTACAGCTCATTGTTCTTAATTTGAATTCATATCCATTAATTTGAAATTACATGTATTGACATGTCCATTAATTTGAGAATGTTTTGCACCATGTTACATAATAAAGATACCTTAGTTGAAAAAAGAAGATGAACCTATCTGAGCTGAATTGAAATGTCTTTTCATAGCCTGTTGACCCCTTAAATGTACTATTTAAAGAATAGAATTTGAAATTATTCATTTATCTGTTTTATCTCAAGAACAAGAAATCCTTCAAGATGACTGTGTATAGCAATTGAAATTTTTAATGGTTCATAATTAAAGTTTCAAGGACACATATATTTAATTAATCTTTGTAGACAATTGCGGTATGAGTGGGATGAGCAGAGTAATAATTGTTTTGTGATGCAGTCCAATGCCCGATTCCAGTATGGTTATGAGTACCTGGGATGTTCACCACGCCTAGTCATTACCCCCCTCACTGACCGGTGCTACCTCACCCTGACAGGAGCCTTACACCTACATCTAGGGGGATCTCCTGCAGGGCCCGCTGGAACAGGCAAGACTGAAACAGTAAAAGATTTGGCCAAGGTAAAATGGGATTTCAGATTTACATGGGGAGAATAAAGCCATGAAAAATAAGATTGAGCTCAAAATGACAACCATTTATATATTTTTGTTGTACACAGGGTGTGGGTAAGCAATGTGTGGTCTTCAATTGTTCGGAGGGTCTGGAATACCACACCCTGGGGAAGTTTTTCTCTGGATTGGCTCAGTCTGGAAGCTGGTGTTGCTTTGATGAATTCAACAGGATTGATCTGGAAGTGTTGTCTGTGGTAGCTCAACAAATCCTGATGATAAAACAGGCTAAAGACAGAGAAGATCTGAGGTTTATGTTTGAAGGAAAAGACATCAAATTGAATCCCACATGTGGATACTTTATAACAATGAATCCCACGTAAGTCATATTTCTTGTGATTTACATGTAACTTAGATTTGTTATGATAAATTGGATTAAAGTATTTAATCTTGTGGACATGATTGTGATAATTGTAAAAGGCTTGTTGTTACAGGTATGCTGGGAGGGTAGATCTACCTGACAACTTGAAGTCCCAGTTCAGGCCGGTAGCCATGATGGTGCCTCACTATGACCAGATTGCTGAGATCATGTTGTTCTCAGAGGGTTTCATTGCAGCAAAATCTCTGTCCAGGAAGATTGTGAACCTATATCAGCTGGCCAGTAAACAACTGTCCCAACAGGACCACTACGACTTTGGAATGAGAGCCATCAAATCTGTGCTGGTCATGGCGGGTCATGGAAGATATAAGGAACAGCATAAGTATGTAGTCATGGGAAGATTAAGTGAATGAAACAATTTGGGAAAAATTTGGAAGTAAATTTGCTTGAATGTTGTACAGTTTTAATTCTTTTAGAGCAAATGGTAGAGATTTAGTGACAATGAAGTATAGAAAACAACCCTACTGTTGAAAACTTTTTTGAAATGAGGCAACAGTCTTAATTAAATGTATCTGAGCACAGCTGCATTGCAATTTTTACTTTTCACATTTACTCAGCTGCTTAATATTCAGAAACACTTTTCACAGTAAATGCTAATTATTTTTGAAATTCACCAAATCAGACCACCTTCACTGGGAATAATTATTTATTGTACTTTATCATCATGAAGTTGTTTTTTTATTCCAGGGGTAATCACACCGCAAACCTAACAGAGGATGTTGAGTCCTATATTTTGATCCACTCCCTGAGGGATGCTAACCTGCCAAAGTTCCTGGCAGAAGATGTCCCTCTATTTGAGAATATACTGGATGATCTCTTCCCAGGAGTTGTCCCCCCTGAACCGGATTATGGAGTTCTAGAGGTACGATTTAAAATTATGGTGCGAGGAATTTCCTGGGTTTCTAATTGCCTGATTTTGATAATACATGTACAAATAACATATTTGTTCATGCATTCATGTATATTATAATTAAGCAAAAAAAATTGACCAAACATCTTCTTTGGTAACAAAAGTGGTACCTTTCACATTAATTACGGTACAAAAGTTAGATGATAAATATATTTGATGAACTAATTGACCTTTGAAACAAATGGAAAGGATTTTGTATAAGGATTAAATATTTAAGTTGGTAATTTTCTACAGTGAGTTTTCTTTTCTGCTTTAGAGAGCCATAAACATAGCTGTTAGAGACAACAATCTACAGAACTGGCCTCATCAGATTGACAAGGTCAAGCAGTTCTACAACCAGATAATGGTCCGTCACGGCATCATGTTAGTGGGGCCCACAGGAGGGGGCAAGACTACTGTCAGATCAATCCTCCAGAAGGCTCTTATTCTGATGCCCACAATTATACCCCAGGAGGAGAAAGATAATGCAACCAGGAAACAGAGTATCTTCCCTGTGAGTGGTCAAAATTAATTGTAATGAACTACAAAAAATATTCTAAAAAAAACATGAAGTGTAGATTTCTATTGTATTCACTTTAATATTTTGGGTGTAAGCAGCTTTTAAATCACAATTTTAGAATTAATTAAGGCTTTACAACGACAGGTGCATTATTTGTTATCCATTACAGCAATAAATTGCAGACTGGATAAATTAATTTCTTGAGTTAAATAAATTCTTGAAATAAGTTTACAATTTTTTTGTCCACAGGGAAGTAGACTGAAAAAGGGTCATGTAGAATTGTTCTCTGTGAATCCTAAGAGTGTCCAGTCATCTGAGTTGTTTGGGGACTTTGACCCTTACACAAGGGATTGGACTGATGGACTTATTGCTCTGGCAACCAGAAAATTCTCCAATGAATTACAGCAACAACATGGCACACCAGAGGAGCAGGCTGGGAGACCAGTTTCTACTGGCAACAATATGGCTAACATATCGGATGCTTCTCAAGTACTTTGAACTTTTAAATTTTCAATTTCTTATGGTTAATACTACATAAATTAATTTTTTAACGTTCTCCTGCAGTTGTGGTTAATTTTGTAATAAATAAAAAAAAAACAAACGAAAGCATTGTATGAAACAAAAAAAACTAATACATACTTGTACAATGGAGTTGTTTTTACAAAGAAGTAATGTATACTTTGTAAAAATTATTTCTGCATGTAAATTTGTTGACAATAAATGAATTAGCAAAGTAAATGTCAAATGTGAGGGAGAGGAAAAAGCTTAAGACATTATTTCAGTATAAAGAGTATATAGATCGAGTTTCTTCTTGACAGACATTGATGCAAGATGAAAAGGCAGATGAAGATGCAGAGAAGAAAGATCATATGGACAAAGTGATCACAAACTGGAGATGGTTGATTTTAGATGGACCTGTTGATACAATCTGGGTAGAGAATCTGAACACTGTATTGGATGACTCCAAAGTCCTCTGTCTGGCCAATGGCCACAGAATCAGTCTGCCCAGTGGGATGAGACTTATTTTTGAAGTAGACAACTTATCGGAGGCCAGTCCTGCCACTATCAGTAGATGTGCCATGGTTTACATGGTAAGAGACCTCTTAACAAAGAGACTCCATTTTGTCTTTATTTTGCCCATGAATTCATAAGAATTTGACTAAAATCATGTATTCCACTACCACTTCTTCAGATTAATACATGTATTTATTTATGCTATTATAATGGATCTTAAAATTGTTTTGTTGTACAGATGACAAATTTTGATTCAAAAGACTTTGAACGAGTCTTTGAAAGAAAAAGATTGTGATGCATAAAAATACATGTATTTAAAAATTCTTTTTTTTTTCCATAGGACCCAGTAGATCTGGGTTGGAGACCATTTGTGAAGACTTGGCTACAGAAACTTCCCAGGGAAATGCCAGAGAGTGGGCGTCGACATCTTCAACAGCTGTTTGATTACACAATTGAGAAAGGTCTTAAATTTGTCAGGAAGTACTCTCATTACCTGATGATGGAGGTGCCAGAAATGTGCTATATAATGACTCTGTGTAACATTCTGTCATCATTTCTGGACTTCCTGTCTAAACATGGAGGATTTGGGGCTCCAGGTATGTTGAATTTCTCTTAAAAAACTTTTAAAGTGCATTTAAATATGCCCTTCAGTTTGTCAGAGTATTAATAAATGAAATACAAATGTATCTGTGTATTGGTGATGTGTGGAATGAAAAGCACTGGAGGAGCACTGGTTCACCAAAATCATTCTTTGTACTTGCATTGATATGAAAGAAGAATGTGATTTTGCATGCCAGTCTTTTATGAGGCAAACACTTGTCAAGGAAAAGAAACCAACATCAAAAAGGAATTTTAGCATACTAGTATCTGACATCAGGATGTGCCTACATGCCATCTCATTTCTTTGTAGTCCTCTTCTAGATATGATACTTTTTCCATCTGCAAGTCTAGTGTACATAGTTTTTGTTGTAACAGAATATAAATTTTTGGCTCATACAACTCCAACTCAAAATTTAGTTGGAAAATGAAAAAATCTAGCACTTTGGGTGGGGATTGTATTTTCCAGCAAAGTTTCTTGGAGGTATGATCTAAAATCAAACCCTTGGTTACAATTATTTCTTTTCCTGGAAAAATATGTATTTTTTCAAAATTTTTTTGAAGTGTAAAATTTTCAGTTTTACTCCTTTCAACTTCAGACAAAATAGAAAGTAAAGAGGATAGTGAGGATAGGAGACCAGAGAGCCGGGCCTCAAGTCGAAGCTCCTCAAGGGCCTCAAAGAGTAAGGGCCTCAAAAAGAGGACCACCAAAAAGGTGCCCTCAAAAACCAAGGATGTCACCTTCAAAATGGAGGACACCAATTCTGTCAAAAGTTCAAGGTATGAAAAAGGTTTATTTGTGTAACTGTATATCCCATAAATGATATTGCACTAAATGTATAATTGCATGTGCTTTATAATGTGTTTTTATTGTAATGTTGCATTGTGATGTCTCCTTATTGTTGTCACAGATAAAGATTATAATAGATATTTGAAATGATAAAGAAAGTGAAAACATTTTTTTTCTAGCTTCTCTTGTATTTAACATCAATTCTCTGTAAGGACCAAAATTTTACTGTAGGGCTGTGGCACACACCATGAGCGATTTTCATGAAACTTTTTCAGGTGGTTAATGCCCATACATTATGACATAATCAACATTCAAAATTAAGGTTACTACCTTGGTTGCCATGGTAACGGGCTAATATAGATTTTTGCCCCATTTACTCTCAATTCAAGCATAAAAATGCTATATACTTGATTTCATGTGGTTTAATCATCTTTATTATTTTGAGATAATTCATACATTACATGAATAGAACAAATGAAGCACTATATAACACAATTAAAAAAAATTCTACAAGTCACTGCAAATTCTTCAATTGATGGCTCAAAGATGACCAAATTCTTACATTTTGAAAATGGTCGTTTTTACCCTATATTTCAGGAAGTCTTTCAAGAAATGCAGGCAATTCAAGAAAAAATCACCTGAAATTTTAGAAACACCATAATAATATTAGTTAACTTTTATGAAAAGTAGAGTGGGGATTTTTTTCGTTGTTGGTATTTTTAACTTCAAAAATTGGCATTTTGCCAAATAATATTTTGTTCAAAGTGTTACTAGACTCTGGTTGTTTTATAAAATTTCTTTTCCAAACATTTTTCTCACGAATAGATAAGACAAATGGAATGATAAGTAAATATTATTAAAGATAATAAATAAGATAAAACAAAATTAAATGAATTATTATTGTTTCTCTATGATCCTTTACAAAGGGCAGGTAACTCAAAATCTAAAGAAAATTAGCCATTCAACTTTTCACTGGAACTTATTTCAGTAAACAACATTTTCAAATACTACATAAAAAATGGAAAAAGATAATGGATAAAAACTCTAATGATACTTTTCAACCAAAAAAATAAATAAATAATAAATTATTACTTTTTCATGCATAGGTAGGTAGATATTAATTTAGCAGGTTTGAAATTTGATAAGCTAATGTTAATTTCCTCCATTTAAATTTTGCTTGTTCCCAGATGCAAATCTTTAGATATCAATTTTATTTGGATAAAGAAATTAGAATTATTTAGACTGACCATAAATTAACACCCCATTAAAAATAAAACCATTAATGTATATTCTTACAATCAAAAAACATACACATATTCATATGTACGAGGGTTGTCCGTTAAGTTCGTGGACAAGCTAAAATTTAAATAAAAGTTGTGTTATAGATATTTATTATTAGCATATTTATAATCCTTTACTATATGTGAATTACAAAATGTAAAATTTGATTCAATTTTAAATGTATAATTAGAATTATGACTTCACTATAAGACCAATGGGATGGTGACCCGGAGCACGGCAAAGTTTTAATTAAAACGTTATTTGTCACTTTATACATTTCATTTGTATTTTGTAAAATTCCGCGGAAATTTGGATCACTTGCACATTATGACATTGACACAAGTTTAAGGGGCAAACTTGCAAAATTTGAATGTTCCAAGTTTCGAAATGGGAGAGAAATTGAGGTTAGAATCTAATAACACAGGATCGTCATTGTTCGAAAAAGGGACGTTTTCGGAAAAGGTGGAGCAGAGATCGAGCAGTGATAAAATTTTGTGTAGACATCGGGAAAACACCAACAGATACCCATAAATTCCTTAAACAGTCGGGAAAACACAGTAAAGTAAGCCGTTCTTAAGTGTTTAAGTGGCACAGAAGATTTTCGGACGGAAAGGACAGTTTACAGGATGACATGCAAGATGGAAAACCATCTTTTTGAGATTGCAGTGATGTAAAAAATGAAGTTTGTGACGTGATTTACAGTGATCGGCGACTAACAGGTCGGGAAATTGCAGGACGATGTTGAATTTCAAAGACTATGGTACAAGAAATTTTATCTCATGATCTCAATATGAGTCATGTCTGTGCTCGATGATTCTGACAATTGAAAATTTGGCGAAGAGAGTAGAATTGTCAAGACTGTTCATAAAAAAAGAAATTAACGTAGGCGTCTCTTGACGTCGGGTAACGTCAAGGATTTTCATTTTAGTGCTCCGGGTATGAGTGTGTGTATTTTTGGTTTCTAGTAAAAATATAAGTATTTGTGCTTTGTTTGTGATGAAAACTTGCATATTAATTAAATGAAACATGAATTTAATGAAAATAATAGTTTCAGATATTTTATCTATTATTGTCAGTTATTATCAAAGTCGTCCACGAACTTTACGGACAACCCTCGTAATATGTATAATTTTATCGTTACTTTTAAAAACAGGGTTTTTTTTTCAAATTATTAATCAAGCAAGAATCTACATATAAACATTATCCAAAATGTGTATTTAGAGATAAACAAAATGTAGAAAATGACTGCTATATAGCAATTTTGTAGACAATAGAAACAGGTAGGCTTGATGTTTCCATGATTTCTCTTTACATCAGAGGTTGGCCATTATGTGGTGTTGTGTCTGACCAGTCAAGAAGAATTTTAAATGGGTTTGAAAAGTGAAACTTGAAATAATCATCTTCATCTTTTCCCCTGGAATAAAAAAAACATACATGTACATTTGCTATTAAAAAATCAATTGTTTAATATCTACTACATTTTTCATGTGATAACAAATACAAGTAAATAAGCATATCTATTTTTATTAAAATGTATATAATACTAAGCTAGTAGTTAGTATTTACACCTCCAAATAAATTGCCTCAGAATTCCTGCATGTGTACTTTAAAAAGCAGGCTTCCTATCACGTTGCCCCCCCCCCCCCCCCCCCCCCCCCCCCCCCCCCCCGTTCCATACCCCAAGGGTTCTCCCCGCCTATTTTTATATAAAATATTTTTCTATGACTCATTTCCAAAGTTTTTTTTTTGTTTGTTTTTTTTTAATTGACCTTAGACATAAACAAACATACATACACATACACAAACACAGATACACCACGGCTGGAATGGTTACATACAGATTTTTAGGAATAAACATGAAATTAAAAAAAATATGAATACACAAGATATACTAAAATAATAATGTAGATGACATAAATTTATCTATATGTTTATGTTTTCAAATATCTGGTTCCAGTTAATCCATCTTCTTTTATAGTTTATACACATGAAGTTCATTGTTTTATTTATTTTTATAAAAATTCATACTCTTGGATACTAAAAGAGAACTTTTAGTATCAGAAAGTATGATTTTTTTTAAAAGGTTAGTCTTAAATTATATTTTGGATTTTTCAATTGTAATACTTTGTGAATGTGTCATAGAAATATATTCCATTAAAAAAAGTCGGGGAGAACCCTTGGGGTACGGAATGCGGGGGAGGGGGTCCCATCCTCAAGCACCTGTTCTTCACATTTTATCACCTTGAACGCAGACAACAATTTGCTAATTAATGAACACCGTAAATAAACCATTAATAAATACAATACATGGCGCAGACGTATGTAGCGCTAATTCATGATTACGCCAACCACTCCATGCCCAGTGATTGCGCTAAATTTTGAATACGCCAATTTATGTACACATACAGTATTTTCAGTGTACCCAATTGCAAGGTAAAAGTAACTGAAACAATTTACCATCACCTACTCCAAAAGCTGTCCCCATGCTCTAACAGAATCTTCTCCAAAAGAATATTGTTCAGTTAAGATACTGTCCGATGTTCAGTTCTCACGGTCAATTGCAAGGTTTCTTTCTCCATTAGTTAATTTTGTAACTGCCTCCTGCTTCTGGTATTTAGCCTTTGTGTTGAAATAAAGATGATAAAAGCACAAGAATAAAGGTTCTCTTTATGTACCGGTATCTTTTCATCTTCTTTTTTTCAAAGCACCAGTACATCTAAAATATATTTAAAATATTTTTTTTAAATTAAAGAAATTCATTCTAATTGTCAATCATGAATACATACATTTACATGGGTATATTATATTTATATCTCATTAGTGTGTATTTATAGCTGCAGTTAAATTATTCTCTATTGAGAAGCTGATGGCTCATTTTAATACTCCCTCTCAGGAGGAGTATTAAAACGAGCCATCAGCTTCTCAATAGAGAATACAGTTAAATATGTTTTCTTCTTTTACAGTGAATCTGAATTATATGACTTCTTTTTAGGCTAAAAAGTTTTTCTATGTGTTTCCATTAAGTCGACCATCTTTAACTTTTACCCACCACCTACTGGTACTACTTTTTTGGCCAAATCAGATTTTAAACTGTACCACTGGCGGATTTAGAGGCCCCCCCCCCCCTTTTGTGTCCAAAATATACATCAGATTTAATAAATCAATTTTTTGGTGTGGCCTTGAGCCCCTACCCCGACACCAAACTGGTCCCTCCCCCTTTTCAAGATTCCTGGATGCACCACTGTGTACAACGTTACCAAAAATATATGTTTTTTTTATATTAAATTGCCTTGTGTATATTTTTCATTACATACAAACTTACATCTTCTATAACATTCTCCTCCTTTTGATAAACTTTGTAGAACTTTATGATTTGCCAAAGTAAGTTGCTTTCTGAAGCAAGCACAAATTCCTATAATGCAAAAATATTACTTGTTTAAGATGTATATCTGGAATGTCCTGCTAACATGGTGATCTTTGAATATAGACCAATTAAGTCTACATGTATTATATAAAAAATTATTTAATTTAAAAATTATGTCAATTTAGTTGAAAAAGCTTCTTACATGTAGTTTTTATACAAAATGAATATTTGAAAAAATTCGAATTTATACCTGTGCCTATAGGGTTGTTCTAACCATTCCCACTGACTGCCTTATCTTCTGCTTGTTGTATTCCTCCGATTGCATCTTGCATTTTTCTCATGGGTTTTAGAGAGTACATGGAATCCCAATGGGAATGCAAGTCAGACTTCATAAAATTTGTTTCAATATTTCGCAAAGTGAATTTGACTTTAAAAATCTATTATTACATGTAATAAAGACCTGTACATCATTATCAAGTTGAATGCTGAGAAAGCAGTGTGTCCTTCTTTTGATGACTTACTTTGTCATTCACACCTGAATTCCGTTTTAAAAAGTTGAAAAACACATCATTTTTCTGTTATAGTTTCATGTTTATTTTTCTGGCGTCTGTTTTTGCCACATGTTGTTATAAACTTCTTTAGACTTCAATACAGGAGAGTCAACAAAGGGAAATAACACCAGTTTAATTTTTTGTCTTCAGTGCAAAAGAGTCAGCAAAGGGAAATAACTCTAGGTTAATTTTTAGGAAAAGTTATAATTTGAGGGGATTGGAATATGACTTTTAACTGATTTCCCCACCTCAAATCTTTCTGCATCTTTTAGATCTAAGCTCGATCTTACTAAAAATATCTTTTTTCTAAGTTTCAATTGCCTGCAAAAATTAATATGCATATCAAGAAATAGTTGCCTTTGTATTCATTTTTATGACAAATTCATGTAAATTGATCTGTATCATAGTAAAAACCTTGGGTTAAATTGAATGAAATTTAGATGCACAGAAACTTTAATTACTTAGCTATAAAATGAAACCCATGTTATGTTGATAACTTTCCTACATTAAGGAAGCACGGAATTATTTTACATGGTGATGACAATCAGGTCAGTTTTGCCATAACAAAATATTTCAAAGTCGTTGCTATGGAAACCAAGGAGGTACTGTCCAAAATTTACCCACCAATAGTCTTTATATAGGGCACTCTCTAATATTATAGTGATAAAATAAAATTCCATGATAGTGCGTGGCCAAGCATTTTTGGTCCTTACAAAGAATTGATGTTAATGCTTAACTGTTTGTGGGCATCGCTTTCAGCATTACCCTGTTATCAAGAAACATTGCAGACTCAGTGTTTAAGAACTTGATTGTTATATTTATGACAATCCTATATATAATAAACTACAAATTCATTTTACTCTTTATTTTATGTATTTGTGTTTATATCTCTATGTCTCCTTTTCTTTTCCTAAAGTTTTGTTAGTTCTTCACATTCTGATATGTAAGTAAATGGTGTTTCACTTTTCACATGTGCAGTTTTGTGCATCATTTAACTTTGTTTTTTCTTCAATTTCCTTTTTTTTATGTCTTTTTGTCAAATTTCTCTGAGAAACATCGTGTTTGGAAACTGCTCTGAAAGTGTTTTCTGAAGAGATACCAGTCATACTGTTCGTTTTCAATTGAGCTGCATTAGATTGACATTAAATTTCATGTGCTGTAGATTTGATATGAACAGGTAATTTGTGTGATCGTGCTTGTCTATGAAGATTCAGAAAAGAAAGAAATGCAAGCAGGAGAAGGATATATAAAAAGTATTATAGGAGATATAAAAATTTAAAAGTAAAAAGTACTTGTATATATGAAATGAATCATAATAACTGATCATATGTTGCTCAAAGCATTTTTATGAGTTATTTTGTGTGCCTGCATGTGTCCGAAGGCCCCTAAGGGCTATGATGTGCGAGTGTTAGTCATGATAAATGCCAGTTTGCCGGATAGCTTTAAAGCTTCCTTTATAGATTTTTACATGAATTTCACTTATTTGTTAAAGATATTTATTTAATTTAAACTCTGTAATATTAAGTTTCTTAGAATACACATTTGTTCAAATGGAATATACTGTGTACTGAGATATAAATTTATTTTCCGTACAGTACTTTTTATCTTTAATCTTTCCACACATTTCAATGCACTCTATATATACAGACATTTTCTTGGGGTTTAATTTTATTAAAATAAATCAGCCTTTTCTTTTTGTCCAATTCAACCTCCATTTTCCAAATCTTCCCCTTTAAACTGTGAGTGGAAGCCTCAAATAAAATCAGGAGGGGCATATTACTGCTATGTTGCAAGAAATACTACTTTTTACCTAGATTTCAGGTGTGCATTACCACTACATTTTATCAGTAAGAAGATTGGTAATTAGAACTCATCACTGTTACACAGATTTTCCTGCTATGTAAGGGGTACCATCACAAGTACACAAGGCATGGAATATGAGTTCTATTTAAAGAAATCCACTTACAATGTATATTCAGAGTAAAACTAATAATTATGAATTCTATTCTATTGATTTTAAAACTTGCAGAAAATTTAAAAATGTGGGTCTTTCAAAAATTAAATGAAAATGGTCAAGGATTTTAATAAAGTGATAAAATAAAAGTCCTACTCAAATTCCTACTTCCACCTCTGCCTGGTGAGTACATGTTGTATGTACTTTATTCCTGTACATGCATAGGGTGCTGGCTAATTAAGGGAGCAGGCATTGTAGGGGTAATGTGTACATATAAATGTAGCAGTAATGTATACTATTTTATAGCGGTAATGCCTACGTAGCAGTAATAATAATTTTGAAAATGTAGCGGTAATGTAATGCACCCAATAAATCCTGATTTTATTGTAGAAGTTTTGCTCAAAATTTTTTGACTGTGTCGAATTAGTTCTCCCTCTTTTTTATCAAAGATTATTTGTACAGATTGAAAGACATTTATCAGTACAATGAGACTACATTCATCTTTAATATTAACAAAGAAATACCTTCACTGAAATTGTAGCAAACAAATCATTTAAAAAACTGTTAAAAGTATAAAAACAAAGTCAATGATAAGTTCTTTAGACTTCTGTCTGACTTGTTCTCTGATTTTGACCTGTTTGATTCGTCTTCTGTAGCCTCCAAAGTGACAAGGTATATTACCTGCAGAAGAACCCCAATCAGCTATTGAACATGTTGGGAAAGCTGTTTGCGTTTTCTTTTACTTGGAGTATTGGAGGTATGTTCAAACGCCAGGAGGATGCTGATGATGATGACATGATCAGGAGGGGCCAGGACAAGGGGGAGAGGGATGCCAATATCTGTAACGAGTTTGACAACTTCATGCATGAGTTATTTGAAGTGGAACCACCACTTGGTAAGGAACATATAAAGGCATTTCAGTTGGTTTGGTAGTTTTATATGCTTAAGATGTAAGATTTAAAATTATGTATTAATGCACTTGATATCTCTGTTTTTTGTGCTTGTCAGTAGACCGTACATATATGTAGATTTGAATTAAAAGAGAAATTTCAAATATGATTAGAGGAAAGGCCATCAGATGAGGTCAAGGTTTTATCATAGGTCAAGGACAAACATAGTTAGGTTGTCAAATAAGAAAATGCCATCTCCAGGGGGTTTTGTTGGTATATTTTGTTTTAGATGAAAAAAGTGTTTTTCAGGGTTCTCTTGTTTTCATTATTCAAAAAAAAAACAAAAAAAAAAAAGCAATCAAAATGAAGTTTAGATTTTTAAAACCTGTATGCTTCTTATAATAGGTGTAAGGTTGCCAACAGGAAACAAAGTCATTTATGCCTACTTCATTGATATGGAGTCTGGTAACTTTGTATCCTGGGATGTTCTGGTACCAAAAACCAAGTCCCTGATAGAGAAGGGAGCTGTCATTACTATAGGGGAGACAATGGGGGTTTCTGGGGGGCACAAGAAGAAGAGAGAAGAGGCTGAGATTACTCCCACCGTGGACCTCATTAGATTCTCCTTCCTGTCTGGACTTCTGCTGCTGCACAAACATCCAGTGCTGCTAACAGGTGATTGTGCTGATGAAATTTGGTTTTATTAAGTCCTTCTAAGGCTTTAGATTGAAAGTCACAGGATTAAGTACAATAGATTAAAGTGTTACAATTTCTTTTAATGGAAGGCATTTGTAAAACAGATTCTTGTGTATCTTTAAATAAAGGTTTATTAACAAAACTAGATCCATGCACTTTAGCTCTGAATATACATATACACATGGATATATTTCTTATTGTAGTTACAGTTTTATTTAAAACTGTTCATTTTAATTATTTAGGAGAATCTGGAGTTGGCAAGTCAGCCATTATTAACCACATGTTAGGCAGACTGGGTCAAGATGGTGGAACATCCACCAAAAGTGGCACTGTGCTGGGTCAGATTCTCAGCTACTCAGACAAGACCAACACCCTACTGGAGAGTATCTCAAAACTCACAGAAATGGACAACAATGACGAGTCCAAAAGCATCGATGTCCTACTGGGGACAGCCAAGCCTAAAAGTTCTACTGGAGTTATTAGTTCCATGATTCAGTTTTCTGCCCAGACAACAGCAGCTAGACTTAAGGCTCACATCATGCACAAACTTATAAAGAAGGGCAAGGACACTCTAGGGGCTCCCCGAGGGAAAAAGGTACTGGTGTTTGTGGATGATTTGAACATGCCTGCCCCTGAGGTGTATGGAGCCCAACCACCCCTAGAGTTATTGAGGCAGTTCTTGGAACTTGGTGGATTTTATCATGCTGGGAAAGCTCATCTTGTATGGAAGGTATAAAAATAAATATCAGTATATGTGTAAATCTGTTGTGTAAAATGATAAGGACCAAAGTTGCAGAGATACAATGTCTTTGATTGCTTAGTTTGTAAGTTGTGCTTAGTTAACCTATAAAATCTATTTAATATAAAATAAATTTAAGTTTTACTGAACATTCAGAATATATGAATTTTTAGGACATTTATGATGTACATGTGGTGGCAGCTTGTGGTCCACCAGGTGGAGGCAGAAACCCCATCAGTCCAAGGCTCCTCAAACACTTCAGGTCAGTCAACCTCTAAACTCTGAATGTATATCTAAATTGTATTTATAAATTCCCTCTAGACCATCTCTCAGATTGAAATTGGTGTGGAGGATGGATGTTAAGGGTTCTTACAACATGATGCATACTCTGTAAAATGCAGATATCAATTACAGAAAAATTGCTTTTATGATAAACAGGGATGGCATTTTATTATGAAGAGAGAGGGAAGAGGGATATAGTCATGAAAAGCTAACCAACTTGTTAAAATGACCGGATAAAATAAATGGAAATTTTTTGTTTTTATTTCAGCATTTTTGCTCTACCCCAACCATCTACTAGGTCCCTCCAACATATCTATCAAGTGCAGTTAGGTCGCTTCTTCCAAGAGGGGGAGTTCGCTACAGAAGTGACAGAACTACAGCTCCCCCTGGTGTCTGCTGCCATTGCTGTGTACTACAGGATGTGTGGTAGCATGTTGCCGACTCCTGCTAAATCTCACTACACATTCAACCTCAGAGACTTGTCCAAGGTAATAACCAAGGACTGTTACCTTAAAGGATATCCCCTCTCTACAAAAAAATAAAAGTTGCTAAGTCATACTTGCAACAACATTCATTGGACTTATATTATAAAGAGTAAAAGCATTATTTCTGAGGCACAAATTTGTGTGTTTAATACTTCCAAATTAACTGTAATTTTTTCAGGTTATACAAGGACTTCTTCAAGCTCATGAATCTGTCATTGTGAGCAAGGATAATGTAGCTCAGCTGTTTGCCCATGAGGCCACTCGAGTTTTCCACGATCGTCTCATCTGCCTGGAGGATAGAGATACTTTCTTCCAGTTCCTGTCTGACACTCTACATGACCACTTTAAGGTAATTCAAGTTTCATATGAATATAAGTATTTGCTCATGGTAATTTTATGAAGCTGCTTTTAGTTGAAATCTTGTCAAGTCATTGCTGTTGTTGAAGTTTCAATTATGGAAGGGAATGAGTGAAGGGGGATGGGAGGAAGGTGGAAAGGGAGAAGGCGGGGGGGGGGGGGGGAGTTGGGAGACAGGAAGACAAACATAGGACTTTCTGATATACAATACCTAAATCTTACCTGGAGATGTGACTGATTTTTTTTTTTCTCTTTACAGGTCAAATGGACAAAGGAAAAGCTGATGAATGAGCAGGTTTTGTTTGGAGATTTCTTTGAGCTACAGGAATCTAAGTCTGCTCGAGTTTACCACCCTATGTCTGACCGTAACAAACTTTCCCAGATCCTGGAGGAGTATTACCTCCGGATGAACTATGGCAACACTAAGGTAAAGGATACACACAAGAAATAGGAAATCATGTCTTTTCTCTCCCAGATCCTAAGTTCTTCCCTTTGTGTAGGACCTTTTTTTTTTTACTGCATGCTTGCTAGTTTTTAAATGGAAATTTCAAAATTGTTATTGTTTACAATTTACCCTGTAGGATATTTGGTACATAGACTCCTTGTAAACAATCAGAATGCCAAATGTATGACAGAGCATTTTCTTTATTGTGTGAAGATCTTGATATGAAAAGTATATCTTCTTTTCTACAGTAATTTATAAATTATTTTTTGTTTTGTTTTCTGTTGAGTGCCTCGTAACTACTTTACTCTTACAGCCACTGTGTTGAGGGGAATGTTTGATGATGGGTATGATATCAATCAAATCCCTTTTGGTATCTCTTGTATATTTTTGTTGTACATGCATGAGCCACTTTTATCTGTTTTTTAGCATCATGAGGAGTCGGTAGATGTTGAGGTAGTGACACAATAATCCTTGTGATAATCCCATGTACATTTATATTGTTTTGTAAATTTACTGGCTTATGGTAACCACAATACCACATACATGTTTTAGCATTGCTTTCATTGGAATAAGGATTTGTTGGGGACATATAAATACACAGGCAATTTACTTTGCATGAGTTTTGAATTTGTGAAATGGATCAGATTTATTTGTGTTCTTGTATCAAAGCAAGTCTATGTATGCACAAAACATTCTAATATCAGCAATTTTAGATTTAGTAAAAAAAAAAAAGTTCAAGGAACATTCAACAATTCTTATTCATCTCATTCAAAAACTTAATATGTATCAGTCATTTATGATTTACACTTTTTTTCCAAATATATTTTTTCCAAATATATTTCAATGTTTTTTTTTCCCCATCAACATGCCTGTCTTTACAAATATTTGAAAATCTCTTTGTATTAAGTGTAATTATTATTATTGTATACATCTGCAAACTAACAATTCAAACATTTTACGGAGAAAATTGAAAAGCTAATTTTATTTCTCTGATGTTCCAAGGATGAGAGTACCAGACTGATGTATATAAGTATAAATGTAAGTCCGGAATGGCAGAGACATGGCAAAAAATAACAGCTTATATTAAAAAACAACAGCTTATATCTAAAATCATACCAAACAAAGGAAATACAGGCTATTTCAGACTTCTAGCTCTACCCGTTTTTCTTAATTTAATGAAATGATTCTTTTACATATTATCCTACAATAATTCATTCATTGGTGAAATATGGTCAAACCTTGCTATCTTGAACTTGATGGGGCCAAGATTAAACTTTGAGATATTCGAGCTTTCAAGATATTGAGGTTAAAAGAAAAAAGTGATTGGGACTTCCACATCACTTTAACATAATCCTGGTGTTCGAGATAACTATGTTTAACTGTACATAGAATTATTAAATAAATGTCGTTTTTGCATTTGATAGAGAGCCACATTTTTCATGCATAGGAAAAATGTAAGGAAATTATAAATGGTTTTTGGTCACTTGTATATGCATTAATTCTCTCTCTTGTTTAACTTGGGAAAATATGTATCTATATCTTGTTTCAAAATTTCTGTTGGATGGTGATTCCTATGTGGGTTATATTCCATAGTATTGTAGGCATGGATACATCCCTCAACCTTATTTTCTGCATTCTTCATTTTAAGAATGTAGATTAACTGAAATAGCCTTGGATGCATGTATTTGTAGAGGATGATTTCAAACAATTAACAACTGATAAAAATAATCTTAACAAAAGTATATGTTGATCAGGTTTTGAAAGTTAATTTATTATTTAGCCAATGCTTAGTAAAATACACATGTATGAAAAAAGTAAAAATTGAGAGACTATCAGAACCAAAAATAAAATGAACTTTCAGATTTTTGAAGGGGGGGGGGAGGTTAAAATATCCAATTGCATTGAATTTCATATTTAGAGAGAAAAATGGGGTATTTTTTTATTTAGATGCCCTATAGTGTTGTATCAGAAGCATGGTTTCAGACTTAAATAGTTGGAGATATATATTGCACATTGCATGAATTACTTTATAAAATGACAAATACATGTTGTTACGTACCATCAAATTGCAAAATGTGCATAACACGGCACATATAGATGTTAGATATCACACATATATTGTTTATATACCCTGGTAGTGGTATGCAATCAAAGGGCAAGTGGTGTTGGTCAGATAGTACATGTATTTCACCCCTGGTATGAGTATATAGAGTTGTGTCTGGTGTATGGAATTTGTTTTATTGTTTATTTTTCTAATTGTAATTAATTATTTTTCAGCAACCATACCTAATTAGTAATAACATGCATGTTACATGTGTAATGGATCTGTTGTGACTTGTATTTTCTAGCTAAATATTTTTGGTGTGATAATCAAGGTAAAGTTAGAGAGTTTTTTGCAAAGAAGAAGATAGTTGTTTCATTTTTTTAAAGACTAAATTCATACTTTTCTTTGTAAAATATTTCCTTTTAGTTTTCTATTTAGATTTGAATTTTATATCAATTTTATGAAATTTAATTAATTATAAAATTGTGTTTAGAATTTCATCAAAACATCTCTATTTTTAGCTCACCGGAGCTGCGCAAGCTGAATTGAGTTTATCTGATCAAAATGTATGTCTTGTCCACCTTTCAGTCCATCCATCGTTTAACCTCTGTAACAGTTTTGCATTTTCAACTTCTTCTCCAGAACCACTGAATTGATGTCAACAATATATAATTTGCACAAAGCATCCTTAGTAAAGGGGACTCAACTTGGGTCAAATAAAAGCCCAAGCCCCAACTCATGGAAAGATATTTAACCAACAGTGAAAATTAGATCAGGTTAGAAAAGACAAAACCAAAGTTAAAGCTCCCTGATTCTGTATATAAATTTGAATTACTTCAAATCATGGCCTCAAGGGCCATAACAGGAAGACAAAGTTGTTACACTAGAAAATACTGTGTATATATTTTGAATGTGACTCTTAAGAACAGCTTGGGCTAGAAGTAGCTATGAATTAAAGTTGTAATTAATTCAAGTTTTTCAAATTGTGGACATTGGGGCTATAAGGATTGGGCTAAAGTAGGGGGTCAAAGCATTTTACTGACGATAAAATCTTTTTTTTTAGCTCACCTGAGCTGAAAGCTCAAGTGAGCTTTTCTGATCACATTTTGTCCGGCGTCCGTCTGTCCGTCTGTCTGTCTGTCCGTCTGTCTGTAAACTTTTCACATTTTCGACTTCTTCTCAAGAACCACTGGGCCAATTTCAACCAAACTTGCCACAAAGTATCCTTGGGTAAAGGGGATTCAAGTTTGTTCAAATGAAGGGCCATGCCCTCTTTCAAGGGGAGATAATTAGGAATTACTGAAAAAATGATGGCATCATTTAAAAATCTTCTTCTCAAGAACCATAGGGCCAGGAAAGATGAAACTCATGTGGAAGCATCCTTAGGTAGTGTACATTCAAGTTTGTTCAAATCATGACCCCCGGGGGTAGGGTGGGGCCGCAATGGAGGATCAAAGTTTTACATAGAAATATATAGGAAAAATCTTTAAAAATCTTCTTCTCAAGAACAGCAAAGCCTTGATGAGTCATATTTATATGGAAGCATCCTCAGATAGTGTAGATTCAAGTTTGTTCAAATCATGACCCCCGGGGGTAGGACGGGGCCGCAATGGAGGATCAAAGTTTTACATAGAAATATATAGGAAAAATCTTTAAAAATCTTCTTCTCAAGAACAGCAAAGCCATGATGAGACATATTTATATGGAAGCATCCTCAGGTAGTGTAGATTCAAGTTTGTTCAAATCATGACCCCCGGGGGTAGGGCGGGGCCACAATGGAGGATCAAAGTTTTACATAGAAATATATAGGAAAAATCTTTAAAAATCTTCTTCTCAAGAACAGCAAAGCCATGATGAGTCATATTTACATGGAAGCATCCTCAGGTAGTGTAGATTCAAATTTGTTCAAATCATGACCCCCGGGGGTAGGGCGGGGCCACAATGGAGGATCAAAGTTTTACATAGAAATATATAGGAAAAATCTTTAAAAATCTTCTTCTCAAGAACAGCAAAGCCATGATGAGTCATATTTATATGGAAGCATCCTCAGATAGTGTAGATTCAAGTTTGTTCAAATCATGACCCCCGGGGGTAGGACGGGGCCGCAATGGAGGATCAAAGTTTTACATAGAAATATATAGGAAAAATCTTTAAAAATCTTCTTCTCAAGAACAGCAAAGCCATGATGAGTCATATTTATATGGAAGCATCCTCAGGTAGTGTAGATTCAAGTTTGTTCAAATCATGACCCCCGGGGGTAGGGCGGGGCCACAATGGAGGATCAAAGTTTTACATAGAAATATATAGGAAAAATCTTTAAAAATCTTCTTCTCAAGAACAGCAAAGCCATGATGAATCATATTTACATGGAAGCATCCTCAGGTAGTGTAGATTCAAATTTGTTCAAATCATGACCCCCGGGGGTAGGGCGGGGCCACAATGGAGGATCAAAGTTTAACATAGAAATATATAGGAAAAATCTTTAAAAATCTTCTTCTCAAGAACAGCAAAGCCATGATGAGTCATATTTATATGGAAGCATTCTCAGATAGTGTAGATTCAAGTTTGTTCAAATCATGACCCCCGGGGGTAGGACGGGGCCGCAATGGAGGATCAAAGTTTTACATAGAAATATATAGGAAAAATCTTTAAAAATCTTCTTCTCAAGAACAGCAAAGCCATGATGAGTCATATTTATATGGAAGCATCCTCAGGTAGTGTAGATTCAAGTTTGTTCAAATCATGACCCCCGGGGGTAGGGCGGGGCCACAATGGAGGATCAAAGTTTTACATAGAAATATATAGGAAAAATCTTTAAAAATCTTCTTCTCAAGAACAGCAAAGCCATGATGAATCATATTTACATGGAAGCATCCTCAGGTAGTGTAGATTCAAATTTGTTCAAACCATGGCCCGCGGGGGTAGGGCGGGGCCACAATGGAGGATCAAAGTTTAACATAGAAATATATAGGAAAAATCTTTAAAAATCTTCTTCTCAAGAACAGCAAAGCCATGATGAGTCATATTTATATGGAAGCATCCTCAGATAGTGTAGATTCAAGTTTGTTCAAATCATGACCCCCGGGGGTAGGGCGGGGCCGCAATGGAGGATCAAAGTTTTACATAGAAATATATAGGAAAAATCTTTAAAAATCTTCTTCTCAAGAACAGCAAAGCCATGATGAGTCATATTTATATGGAAGCATCCTCAGGTAGTGTAGATTCAAATTTGTTCAAATCATGACCCCCGGGGGTAGGGCGGGGCCACAATGGAGGATCAAAGTTTTACATAGAAATATATAGGAAAAATCTTTAAAAATCTTCTTCTCAAGAACAGCAAAGCCATGATGAGTCATATTTATATGGAAGCATCCTCAGGTAGTGTAGATTCAAGTTTGTTCAAATCATGACCCCCGGGGGTAGGGGGGGCCGCAATGGAGGATCAAAGTTTTACATAGAAATATATAGGAAAAATCTTTAAAAATCTTCTTCTCAAGAACATCAAAGCCATGATGAGTCATATTTATATGGAAGCATCCTCAGGTAGTGTAGATTCAAATTTGTTCAAACCATGGCCCGCGGGGGTAGGGCGGGGCTGCAATGGAGGATCAAAGTTTTACATAGAAATATATAGGAAAAATCTTTAAAAATCTTCTTCTCAAGAACAGCAAAGCCATGATGAGTCATATTTATATGGAAGCATCCTCAGGTAGTGTAGATTCAAGTTTGTTCAAACCATGACCCTGGGGGGTAGGGCGGGGCCGCAATGGAGGATCGAAGTTTTACATAGAAATATATAGGAAAAATCTTTAAAAATCTTCTTCTCAAGAACAGCAAAGCCATGATGAGTTATATTTATATGGAAGCATCCTCAGGTAGTGTAGATTCAAGTTTGTTCAAATCATGACCCCCAGGGGTAGGGCGGGGCCACAATGGAGGATCAAAGTTTTACATAGAAATATATAGGAAAAATCTTTAAAAATCTTCTTCTCAAGAACAGCAAAGCCATGATGAGTCATATTTATAGGAAGCATCCTCAGGTAGTGTAGATTCAAGTTTGTTCAAATCATGACCCCCTTGGGTAGGGCGGGGCCACAATGGAGGATCAAAGTTTTACATAGAAATATAAAGGAAAATATCTTCTTCTGAAGAACTGCAAACCATGATTAGTCATTTTGATATGGAAGCATCCTCAGGTAGTGTAGATTCAATTTTGTTCAAATGATGACCCCAAGGGGTAGGGTGGGGCCCAATGGGGGATGGAAGGTTTTACATAAGAACATATAGAAAAAATATTTCTTCTCAAGAACAGAAAAGCTATGTTTAGTCATATTGATATGGAAGCATCCTCAGGTAGTGTAGATTCAAGTTTGTTCAAACCATGACCCCTGGGGGTAGGGCGGAGCCACAATGAAGGATCAAAGTTTTACATAGAAATATAAAGGAAAATATCTTCTTCTGAAGAACTGCAAACCATGATTAGTCATTTTGATATGGAAGCATCCTCAGGTAGTGTAGATTCAATTTTGTTCAAATGATGACCCCAAGGGGTAGGGTGGGGCCCAATGGGAGATGGAAAGTTTTACATAAGAACATATAGAAAAAATATTTCTTCTCAAGAACAGAAAAGCTTTTAGTCATATTGATATGGAAGCATCCTCAGGTAGTGTAGATTCAAGTTTGTTCAAATGATGACCCCTGGGATAGGGAGGAGCCACAATGGGGGATCAAATTTTTACAAAGGAATATATGGGAATTTTTTTTTTTAAATCTTCTCAAGTACAAAGCCATTTGTTATTAGCTCACCTGAGCCGAAGGCTCAAGTGAGCTTTTCTGATCACATTTTGTCTGTAGTCCGTCTGTCCGTCTGTCTGTCCGTCTGTCCGTCTGTAAACTTTTCACATTTTCGACTTCTTCTCAAGAACCACTGGGCCAATTTCAACCAAACTTGCCACAAAGTATCCTTGGGTAAAGGGGATTCAAGTTTGTTCAAATGAAGGGCCACGCCTTCTTCCAAGGGGAGATAATTAAGAATTCGTGAAAAATTAATGGCATCATTAACAAATCTTCTTCTCAAGAACCACTGTGCTTGAAAACATGAAACTTATGTGGAAGCATCCTCAGGTAGTGTAGATTCAAATTTGTTCAAATCATGACCTCCGGGGGTAGGGTGGGGCCGCAATGGGCGATCAAAGTTTTACATAGGAAATATACAGGAAAAATCTTTAAAAATCTTCTTCTCAAGAACAGCAAAGCCATACTTGGTCATATTTATATGGTAGCATCCTCAGATAGTGTACATTCAAGTTTGTTCAAATCATGACCCCCGGGGGTCGGGTGGGGCCACAATGGGCCATCAAAGTTTTACATAGGAATATATAGGAAAAATCTTCAAAAATCTTCTTCTCAAAAACAGCAAAGCCATGATTGGTCATATTTACTTGGAAGCATCCTCAGGTAGTGTAGATTCAAGTTTGTTCAAATCATGACCCCCGGGGGTAGGGTGGGGCCACAATGGGCGATCAAAGTTTTACATAGGAATATATAGGAAAAATCTTTAAAAATCTTCTTCTCAAGAATAGCAAAGCCATGATTGGTCATATTTACTTGGAAGCATCCTCAGGTAGTGTAGATTCAAGTTTGTTCAAATCATGACCCCCGGGGGTAGGGCGGGGCCACAATGGAGGATCAAAGTTTTACATAGAAATATATAGGAAAAATCTTTAAAAATCTTCTTCTCAAGAATAGCAAAGCCATGATTGGTCATATTTACATGGAAGCATCCTCAGGTAGTGTAGATTCAAATTTGTTCAAATCATGACCCCCGGGGGTCGGGTGGGGCCACAATCGGCGATCAAAGTTTTGCATAGGAATATATAGGAAAAATCTTTAAAAATCTTCTTCTCAAGAACAGCAAAGCCATGATTGGTCATATTTACATGGAAGCATCCTCTCATAGTGTAGATTCAAATTTATTCAACTCATGACCCCCGGGGGTCGGGTGGGGCCACAATGGGCGATCAAAGTTTTACATAGGAACACATAGTAAAAATTCTAAAAAAATAACAATTTGTTAAGAATAGCAAAGCCATGATTGGTCATATTTATATGGTAGCATCCTCAGATAGTGTACATACAAATTTGTTCGAATCATGACCCCCGGGGGTCGGGTGGGGCCACAATGGGCGATCAAAGTTTTACATTGGAACACATAGTAAAAATCTTTAAAAAAAACTATTTGTTAAGAATAGCAAAGCCATGATTGGTCATATTCATATGGAAGCATTCTTAGATAGTGTACATTCAAGTTTGTTCAAACATGGCCCCTGGGGGTCGGGTGGGGCCACAATGGGTGATCAAAGTTTTACATAGGAATACATAGGTTAAATCTTTAAAAATCTTCTACTCAAGAACAGCAAAGCCATGATTGGTCATATTTAAATGGAAGCATCCTCAGATAATGTAGATTCAAATTTGTTCAATTCCTGACACCCCCCCCCCCCCAATCACTTTTATATTTAAACTTTTCAACCCTTCAAGATTGAAGTGATTTCTGCTTTTTCCTAGCCATAGTGCTCAGGTGAGCGATGTGGCCCCTGGGCCTCTTGTATTGACATGGAAGCATCATCAGATAGTTTAAAATTCAAGCCCCCCCCCCCCCCCCCCCCCCCCGGTCTTTTAAATACTGAACTGATTGTGCTTTTGCCTAGCCAATGTGCTCAGGTGAGCGATGTGGCCCATGGGCCTCTTGTTATAAAACTTCCTCTCATATTTAGTGATGTCTCATGTAGTCACATAAAAATGCATTTATCCCTATATATACAGTGGTGATTTTAATTTGGGGCCCCTGGAATCAGAGTAGGGCCACAATGGGGACCAAATTAAACAGACATTTTAAGAAATTATAAAACTAAAAATGTCCTAAGAAACAACAAATGTTCTATTGTTCAAACATTAATTTGCAAATATCTTTATGTGTGTCAAGGTTGGGCTACAATTAGTGAAAAAATTTACACAGAAATAAAGACTTCCTTACAAGGGTACAATTTTTAGCTCACCTGAGCCAAAGGCTCAAGTGAGCTTTTCTGATCAAAATTTGTCCGTTGTCTGTCGTCGTCGTTGTTGTCGTCGTCGTTGTCGTTGTTGTTGTAAACTTTTCACATTTTCATCTTCTTCTCAAGAACCACTGGGCCAATTTCAACCAAACTTGCCACAAAGTATCCTTGGGTAAAGGGGATTCAAGTTCGTTCAAATGAAGGGCCACGCCTTCTTCCAAGGGGAGATAATTAAGAATTTGTGAAAAATTAATGGCATCATTAAAAAATCTTCTTCTCAAGAACCACTGTGCTTGAAAATATGAAACTTATGTGGAAGCATCCTCAGGTAGTGTACATTCAAGTTTGTTCAAGTCATGACCCCTGGGGGTCGGGTGGGGCCACAATGGGCGATCAAAGTTTTACATAGGAATATATAGGAAAAATCTTTAAAAATCTTCTTCTCAAGAACAGCAAAGCCATGATTGGTCATATTTATATGGTAGCATCCTCAGATAGTGTAGATTCAAGTTTGTTCAAATCGTGACCCCCGGGGCTGGGTGGGGCCACAATGGGCGATCAAAGTTTTACATAGGAATATATAGAAAATATCTTTAAAAATCTTCTTCTCAAGAACAGCAAAGCCATGATTGGTCATATTTATATAGTAGCATCCTCTGGTAGTGTAGATTCAAGATTGTTCAAATCATGACCCCCAGGGGTAGGGTGGGGCCACAATGAGCGATCAAAGTTTTACATAGGAATATATAGGAAAAAATCTTTAAAAATCTTCTTCTCAAGAACAGCAATGCCATGATTGGTCATATTTATATGGTAGCATCCTCTGGTAGTGTAGATTCAAGTTTGTTCAAATCATGACCCCCGGGGGTAGGGTGGGGCCACAATGGGCAATCAAAGTTTTACATAGGAATATATAGGAAAAATATTTAAAAATCTTCTTTTCAAGAACAGCAAAGCCATGATTGGTCATATTTACAAGGAAGCATCCTCAGATAGTGTAGATTCAAATTTGTTCAAATCATGACCCCCGGGGATAGGGTTTGGGCCACAATGGGTGATCAAAGTTTTACATAGGAACACGTAGTAAAAATCATTAAAAAAAAACTATTTCTTAAGAACAGCAAAGCCATGATATGCATATTCATATTCATATGGAAGCATTCTTAGATAGTGTACATTCAAGTTTGTTCAAACATGACCCCTGGGGGTCGGGTAGGGCCACAATGGGTGATCAAAGTTTTACATAGGAATACATAGGTTAAATCTTTAAAAATCTTCTACTCAAGAACAGCAAAGCCATGATTGGTCATATTTAAATGGAAGCATCCTCAGATAATGTAGATTCAAATTTGTTCAATTCATGACCCCCCCCCCCCCCCCCCCACTTTTATATTTAAACTTTTCAACCTTTCAAGACTAAACTGATTTTGCTTTTTTCTAGCCATAGTGCTCAGGTGAGCGATGTGGCCCCTGGGCCTCTTGTTTGACTTAATACCAAGTTCTGTAAATGAAAATGGTTAAAACAAATGGCTTTTAATTAAATTTATGGCCATGGTATGAGGTTTCATTTATCTATATTTATTTGGAAAAGTAAAGAAGTGTATAACTCTGGTGAGCTTTGTGACCATAAACCTCGATCCATTTAAAATATGTATGTCAATGACAATCTGCTTGAAAATTCAAAATTTAAATAAAGATTTGTGTGTCAAGGACACATCTTTGCATGATATTCTGAAAACAATCTTGTTCACATTGTTTGGATTTTGTAGAAATAGATTTTGACAAACAAGGTAAAATGCTAACGGTAAGAAGCATATACCTGTGTAGGATCATGCATATGTGTGTGAATTTCAAAATGTGATGTTTTGTTTTTTTAAACATACTTTCTTTTTTTTTTTTTTTTTTTTTTTAGAGATTTCTGTAATATCTTAATATTGCTTTTGTTTGTTATCAAGTCCATATCAAACTATTAGATCATTATTCTTTTCTTGTCCTTCATCACCATGTGTTTTACATCCTTTTAAAATGCATTATTATTAAGGAGGCTAATCAAGCTTATTTTCCTTGCAAGTCATACACTCTGTAAAGCTTTAATTGGTTTTCTTATTTTAAATATTTTTTTCTCCATCTGCAGGCTACTCAAATGGTGTTTTTCAAAGATGCAGTGGAGCACATTACTAGAGCAGCCAGGGTGTTCCGTCAGCCCGGGGGTCACATGTTACTGGTACGTGAAGTATTATTAGTTACATAGTTTTTTAGTGACAGGGTACGGGATGATACCTGGTTAGTAAATTTCATACCTGGCGAGGCGAAGCCGAGCCAGGTATGGAATTTACTAACCAGGTATCATCCCGTACCCTGTCACTAAAAAACTATGTAACGAATTTACCCCACCGATAAAATATTTATGCATTGTCTGTGGTTTGTAAAATTGTTTTTCTCACTATATATAATTATGTTTCATCACTCATACAATGCCTATTATGACGTCACGTTGTGTGACGTAATGTTGTTTTGCGAGTGTTTCGTGCTGTAATAACGTACTGACAGTTTTTTAAGACTTTCAGTAAAGGGAGAAAAAGATTCCATCTTCGTTACTTACATTAGTTAACTGTAACATTGTCAACAGACACTCGGCAAATCGCGTGAACTCGAGTTGTTCGAACGTTACAAAAGAACGATAACTCCGTATCGACCATGTATTGATTTTCAAGCGACTAGGTGTAAGTAATACACCCCCTTCACATGACAGACTTCAACCAATCGTAAGCCAGGATTTCATCGAAAAATCAACAGAGGTGGGGTAAGCAATGATACTGTTCCACTGCTGGAACATATTATTATCATCAAGATGTTCTACATTTGGAATATCTCATATTTGTCAAAATGTTTTACCGGTACATCTGGAACATTTATTTGTCTTGCTAATATTGGTCTTGGTTAAGTTTTAGTCTTGGTATAGTCTTGGTTTAGAAATATAGTGTTGCTTGCAGTTTTGCAATGCCTACCGGTAATTTTGTTGAAAACTAAACACATTTTGATTACTAACAGGTTGGTATGGATGGTACAGGAAAGTCCACCATTGTCCAGCTGGCCAGTCATATTGCTGGGTGTGAGCTGTTCAAACTGTCCCTCCATAGAGGCTACGGGACCTCAGAATTCAGGGAGGACCTCTCCAAAGTGTTTAAGTACAGTGGGGTCAAGGGCACAAAGATTGTCTTCTTACTGACAGATTCTGATATTGTTAAGGTAACTTAAAATAGCATAGGAAAAATTAAAAAAAACATCCTTAGAAATAAAACAAACTTGCTTTAATAGTAGGAAACTGTTTATGACTTGGTATACTTTATGTCTTTGTTAAATGTAAGTTTACCTAAATTGATGACTCTATTAAATCAACAACAAAAAAATTAATAAATCTAGCAATAAAAATCCATTTGTTTTTTTTTTTTTCAGGAATCATTCCTTGAAGACATTAACTGTATCCTGAACTCTGGTGAGGTTCCTGACTTGTTTGACTCAGAGGAAAGAGATGGGATCAGAATGGACCTCAAACAAGCCGCCTCCGAGGCAGACATCCCTGACACTAAGGAGTCTGTGTACCAGTTCTTTATTCACCGAGTCAGACAGAACCTCCATGTGGTGCTGACCATGAGTCCCGCTGGTGGGAAGTTCAGACAGCGCTGTCGTATGAACCCTGCCCTGATTAACTGCTGCACCATTGACTGGTATGATGAGTGGGAAGATGAGGCCATGTTGAATGTGGCACAGGTCTTTTTCTCTAACGCTGAGTTCATCACTAGTGAAGGCTTGGATATAGAGGTAAGGGGCCAAGTAAGGGAAAGGTTGAATGATTTTAAATGAGATATATAATGAAATGTATATGTGCATTGTAAAAAAAAAAAACAACAAACAAACAAAACAAATAAACAGAACAAAAAACAGAAAATAACTAAATGAAAAAAAAAAAACAAAAAAACAACAACAGAGATTTCAACAAATCATCAATCTAATAATAAAGACAGTAAATTATGTAACTTTACATTTTGTTAAGGATATTACACTCAGGTTAAGGAGACATAAAATTTTGGTGTTGCGCATTAATGTATAGTGATACATGTATCAATACACACACTCCAGTATTTAACATCTTGTGATTTTTATGTTTTGTCTGATTTTATATCACGCAACCTGTAGTTGATGAATAATTTAAATAATTCCTAATAAACTCTTGAAATTCCAATTTTTTGTTTTAGGCCTTGAAGACAAAAGTAGGTCAGGTGTGTGTGGATATTCACAAGTCTATAGGAAAGATGTCGGTGAGGTACTGGGAGGAGATGAGGCGCCATTACTACTCCACTCCCAGCAGTTACATGGAGCTCATCAGACTCTACTCCAAAATGCTGAAAGAGAATAAAACAGAATTTGTCAATAACAAGTAATTACATGGATAATTAGATTGGTTGCTAATATGCTTTAGACATGTGTTATTTCTAATATTAGAGAGGTTGAGATTTCATACATGTACAATGTATATCTAGTAGGGGATTTCCCTAAATTCCTCACGTATTACGTCATCAGTTTTAGTGTTGACAACTTTAGTAGAATGGAATCTACACATAAGTGTAAACTTGAAGCTTTTATAATAAAAATGAGTGAATTTATGTGTGAAAATGTGATTGTTGTATAATATTTAGAATTTTTTATTTTATGAGCACTTATTTTATATATAACCATGTTTTGTTTAAATAAAGTGAAACTACTAAATAGTTGAAACAAAAACATTGATCGCAATGTACATGTTCAAGTTGCACGTCATTAAAATCTCAACAAACAAATTACAAAAATGTGTATGTGTACATGTACATCAAAGCATATGCACAAATACGCGTACAAGATCTCAACCTGCCTATTATTTGGATATTGTTCACTGTCATGTTTTTGAGTCATTTTGACATTGTACATTTTACATTATAGCATGAAAAATAAAATTAAAATATGTTTTGGTTCTTTACCCTTTCAGAAACCGTCTAAATGTGGGACTGTTTAAGTTGTCTGAGGCCAACTCTCTTGTTGGGGAGATGTCTGTAGAGTTGGAGACTCTTGGTCCAAAGATTGAAGAGAAACAAAGGGTATATTTATCTTACTGTATGCATGTGCCTTTAGAAAATTCTAAACCTTTTTATTTTAGGAAGTATTGTAATGCTAAGGTGCTAATAAATATCACTTATTGCAAGAAATGAACTGCTTTTTCATCAAGTGAATTTATTTTAATTTGCTGGAACGACAGTGGAGATGTTACGGGTGATAAATGTACTTTTTCACTAGGACACAGAGATCCTGTTAGAGCAGTTAAAGAAAGACCAAGAGGCTGTGCAGGAAGTGCAGGAAATTGTGGAACAAGAGGAGGGAGTGATGCAGCGAGAGACACAGATTGTACAGGACTATGCTGATGTAAGTATTCAAAGATGTGTCCAATAATATTCCTCTTGTAGGAAAAAAAAATAAATTCAGGTATTTGCTTCTTAAATATGACAAGTTTTAGGGTGCATTCTTCAGTTTTAATGAATCATAAAATAAATATATTTTAACATTTTCTTGACTGCAGGAATGTCAGAGAGATCTTTCATCAGTTATTCCCACACTGATCATGGCAACGGAAGCGCTCGATACGCTGGACAAGGCAGCTATTTCTGAGATCCGAGTTTACACTAAGCCACCATTCCTAGTGATGACTGTCATGGCTGCTGTTTGTATCCTGCTGCAGAAGAAACCTGACTGGATGGTAGCTAAAACACTACTGGGAGATCCCAACTTCCTAAAGAGGCTCAAACAGATTGACAAGGATAGCCTGCCAGACAAGGTCAGAGGTTCAGTCATGAAAAACATCTTGACAAGAAGAAACCTTACACTGAGATGTGGAAGTTGTGGATTTTCCTCAGATGCTTTTAGGTTGCATTCCTAATTTATTCTTATTTAAATTCTGTAGGTTTTTCACAAGCTGAAGAAATACTCCAAGAATCCAGATTTCAATCCAGATAAAGTGGGGACTGTCTCCTTTGCCTGTAAATCTATTTGTGCTTGGGTGCTGGCTCTGGAGCATTATAACGAAGTCTACAAGGTTAGATAGATATAAGCTTATGTCTGTACTCCTTATAGAGAGTAGATTTGTTTCATCAAACCATGGTACGTGGGTAAAATTCACTCACTTCCACAATTCATTTATTTTTTTATCACAGATGGTAAAACCAAAACAAAGGAGAGTAGAAGAAGCAAAAGAGGCACTCCAACTAGCTGAGCATAGCTTGGCTCAAAAACAGAAAAGTCTCAAGAAGGTAGGTCTACATAATAAAGAGAACACAAGACCATTAAAATACAGCAATAGCTATTGTCTCACAGATGGTCTAGATGAAAAATTTGTCAAGCTTGCAGTTTTTACTCATAAATGATAATACATGTATTCAGTTTTTTTCACTGGTATCACCTTTAACAATTGAGGATTGTTTCATACATTTATGCATTTGTTACTAGATTCAAGACCACCTGAATACCCTTCAACAACAGTACAGAGACAGTGTAAATCAGAGGGAGTCTCTCAAACAACATAAAATCACTACAGGACTCAGGCTTAAGAGAGCCTCCATACTCATTGATGCCTTAGGTGGAGAGAAGGTGAGAGGGGCATTTCATGATTTGTTGCTGAATTTTAAATTATATTTTGAAAGAGTTATTAAATTGTCGAGTACACAAAGAAGAGATTTTTGTAACATAATCATGTGCTTTCAAGTAATGATAAGAAATCAAAATGCACATAACTGTATTGATGCAGCAATGCCAATAAGCAACAAATTGTTTGAAGTTGGTTTGTCCTTTAAACTCCCAGACTGAAGAGTAGAGGAGGGGGTTCTGTCCACCTCTTTGTTTTGATGTCTGTATACAATTTGATATTTTTGTTTCCCCATGTATTTTTAAAAGTACATGTATATGAAATACAGATATTTATGTGAGTGTAGGAGGCCTTTAAAGTTGTGTGTATATTTCTCTCTTAATTTGTCACTGCGGGTTACATTACACAGATGCATTTTATTTAATAACTTTTATAGGTAAGATGGGCAGAGTCTGTGAATGTGCTTGATGAGAAGTTGTCAGGACTTGTGGGGGACACTTTAGTGGCTGCTGCGGCTGTGGCGTACATTGGACCATTCACCGCCAAGTACAGGAAGGAGCTTATTTCCTCCTGGGTTGATCTTTGTAAACACTACACCATTCCTATATCCAAAACCTTTGATCTAGTCAAAAGCACTGTGGATGCTTATCAAGTAAGTCAAAGAAAAAAAGGGGATTTTTTTAAGGTTATGAAGTGTAGATTAAGTGTTATGTTAAATAGATTAGTTGTAGAGAAGATTAGAGAATCATTGAGTATCACGCTCTGATTTTTGGCTTACTTGCAGGTTTTAAAATGGCAAAATAAAGGCTTACCACAGGACAACCATTCAACAGAAAATGCTCTGATAGTGAGAAAAACAAAAAGATGGCCATTGTTTATAGATCCTCAGGGACAAGCTGTGAAGTAAGTTAAAACTCTGACGTTTGGTAGGAGATGGAGAAAATGCTGAGAAAAAGAATAAAATCTAACCCAAATCCACTCACCCAAAATTAGTGTTAATAGAATATATATACATGAATACACAGTTGAAATGTCTATAAAACCCTTTCTAGTTATATCAAAGAAAGGAAGGGAAATCGCCTGGAAGTTGTGGATGCCTCTGACCCTAACTACATGAAAACGTTGGAGACGGCCATTAGAGTAGGACAGCCCATGTTACTTAAGGTATAACATATTCAGAGATTTAACATTGATATTGTAGATTTTAATTTTTGATGGGAATGGTAATTTGCCTGACCTTTTTTCTGATTGAATGTTTTTCATTTTCACAGGATGTGTCTGAGCAGTTGGACCCTGCCCTGAGACCGGTCCTCCTACATGAGACCTTCCAGAGAGGAGGGCAGACCGTTATCAAGCTGGGAGACACAGAAATAGAGTACAACTCCAAATTCAGGTCGGGGCTTTACAATCAAAGTCAACATGGATTTGTTCAAAAGAATTCTGTGGTTTAATTTTATATCATTGTAACATTTCAGGTTGTATATGACAACATCAGTGGCCAACCCCCACTATTTACCAGCAGTTTATATCCAGGTCAACATCATCAACTTCACTGTCACGTTCGATGGACTCCAGGAGCAACTCTTGTCTGCTGTTGTCAGACAAGTAACTCATTTAGATTTTCTTTGATGTATGCATAGATTTATTTGTTTATTTTCTGTATGCATTACAGGTTAAATTATGTCCTTTGCATTATAGGAAAAACCCATTCTAGAGAGCCAGCGCAGTGACCTATTAGGAAGTATAGCAGACGACGTGAAAGCATTACGAGATTTAGAGGACAGGTCACTCAGTCTGCTTCAAAACACAGAAGGTAGAGAATTCTCTGTTCATTTCAAGTAAAATTGGGACTAAAAACTAGGAAAGTGATTTAAACTTTGATCTCTTAAATTATAACTATAGGTGAGAAATGCAGTGTTAAAAATTATTCCATATCATTTTTATCTTTTAGATAACAGAATCCTTGAAGCAAGTTTCTTTTTCTCTTTTTAGGTCACATTTTGGATGACCAGGACCTGGTGGACACATTACAGCAGAGTAAAGGAAAGTCAACCGAGATCACAAAGAGAGTGGCTCAATCTGAGGAAACAGAGAAAAAACTCAACCTGGCCAGAAAACGATATCTGCCAGTACGTACACGTATTAACATTATGTTTACGTTTCAAGTCTTCCTCATCAAAAATTAGATCCTTAAACCAAAAAAATCTAGGTCTGAAAACTAAAAAAAAAAATTGAGATGACTTACAAGCATGTTTGCAAGATCAACACTGAGGTAAAGTCAAAATTTAGGATCCATTGCTTTAACTTACCTGGTTCGGATATGTTTTAGTCTCTTCATTGGAAATTTTAAATTTCAGGTTGCCACTCGAGGTGCTACTTTATACTTTGTATTGGCTGATTTGGCCCAGATAGCTGTCATGTACCAGTTCTCTCTGGACTGGTTCAAAGACATGTTTATCTCCTGTATCAGTAACCCACAGCTGACCCACGGTCAGACTGACCTGGCCCTGCTTCAGGATGGACAGAGAGGTGGGCGAAGGAAGTCTAGTCTGGCCCACTTAGTGGGCACTCTGAGGCCCAGCAGTCGACAGGGCAGTGTCTCATCCACACCAAGGCCCAGTATTGCTGAAGTTTTGAAGGAGACTCCAGCAGAAAATCCTGCGGAATTGAAAAAACATATGTTGGAGATGATAACAAGGTAGGTTAGCTGTTGTTTAGTTTGCAAGTTAGTAGACAGGTAGCTAGTAGTCATTTAATTAGTATGTTGTAAAATGCTTACTAGATTTTCAAAGACTTTTCAAGTGAAGATGAGTCTTTTCATTGCATGGACCAAATAAGGACATTTCTGCAAGAATCATGACATCTTGAACTTTGTTTAAATGACCTTTGTAGAGCAGAATGTTGTAAGCTTTAATTTTTCCATTGCCTTGGCATTATCCAGGTTAACATACAGTATTTACCGTGTGGTGTCGGTGGCTCTATTTGCCCACCATCAGCTGACTTTCTCCTTCATGTTGTGCTCCAGTATAATGAGGGCCAATGATAAATATGAGGACGTCACCACCATTGGGAAAATCTGTGAGTTTGACTGGAGTGTGTTTCTACAGGGAAATATCCTGGCTAACATGATGGATGAAAAGGACATCCAGGAATATGATGGTAGGTCAAATAATGCAGGCTCATAATTGTTGGCTTCAGCTCATTTACTGGTCTGTCAGATCTTTATAAATGACTCATCTCTAATTATTTTGATAATAAAGAACCTTGTTAAATTCTAAGTTAAATTGTGATGATTGAAAATTTGTTTATGTACACTGTACAGTTCCATTTATAAGATTTACCAATACTAAGTGTAGACACCTATTTTGTTCAGGTTTGACACCGATGGAGCGACTTGAGTATCAAGCCAGGTCAGGGGATCCAGATGCCCCTCCCAAGAAAGCCCCTCCTATTTGGGTCACCGATGCCATGTGGCGACAGTGTCAACAATTGGAGAGCAGTATGTCCAGTTTTACAGGACTCTGTAGAAGTCTGATTACAGATCACCTTCACTGGGAACTACTCAAACAAATGGAGGATCCGTACAAAGGCATGCAGACAAGTTACAAGGAACTGAGTGCGTACATACTATCTATGGTTTTATTTGATTCTTATAAATTTTAGTATTTTGGAATTACGTTGTTTAAATTAATTGTTGCAGCAAAAATCTGTGGAAAATATTCAGATTATCCAGATAATCGCTTTCATTTAAATCTAATAAGTATCTCTGACAGAGCAGTACTCATGACATGATATTATTGTAGAAATGTCTCAAGTCTATTTTCATTGATCATTATAATGACCTCATCATTATGGAAACAATGGAGAGATTCAAAAACTTATTATTTTAGCTGGTGATGATCCCAAACATAAATATGGAACAATATTTGCCTGGGAGAAATTGTCGGCCTTCTATCGACTGATCCTTATCAAGATCCTGCGACCCGATGCTCTGATGACCTCAATAGGTCAATTTGTGGAGCAACATTTGGGACATAACTTCATATCATCTGGTTCTTTTGATCTGAAGGAGATTTATGATGATTCTACAGCTAAAACACCTCTCATTTTCATTCTCTCACCAGGTATACATCTAAGTTGAAAACTTTTATATGTAGTTTTCAGTCAGTTGCATTTTTGTTTGCAGTCATAAGTTTATGAAATCTTGGTATGGTCCAAATGTAGGCAGTGCATGTCATATCTCTGAATTCTTTTTAAAGTCATCCTACCATAGATTAGAGAGATTTCAGACATTAATTATCCCAAATTACCAGCTTTGGTTAATTTTCTGTGTTTTCTAATGATTATTCAATAATTAATCTCAGGAACGGACCCCCTAGCACAGTTAGTGAGGTTTGCAGAAGACCTTCGAGGCAGTGCCTTACACCTGGATATGATCTCCCTGGGGCGAGACCAAGGCCCCAAGGCAGAGGAGCTGATCTCCAAGGCACAGATCCTCAAAGGCCGCTGGGTATTCCTTCAGAATTGTCACCTGGCAGCCTCATTCATGCCTAGGCTCCAGGCCATTGTGGAAAAGTAAGTCAGAGTTGTTCTAATAGGGGACAGAGACAAGAGAAGTAAGGATAAATAAAGACACAAAAACTAATGCAAAATTATTGAGACATTACAAAATAATCTGAAAACAGTTATTGGTAGATTTGTCTTTTGTATTCATTTTAGCATTTCAAAATGTAACACAAAGAAGCTCAGGGTTTTCTTAATGTCAGATAATGAGAACTGTATACATGGTTATTTTGGCCCCATGACATTTTCGCCCTTTCACACTTGCAAATTGTTTTGCCCTGTTTTAAATTCGCCCAATTACACTTCTCATTAAGGAATTATACTGTATTTTTTTAAAATTCGCCCCGTTTTAAATTCTCCCACCTGTGAGTAGGGCAAAAGGGGCGAAAATAAAATGAGGGGAAAATTTCCCGGTATACAGTATACATATACATGTATTAGTGAAATAACATTAGGTCAGTGTTTTTTTTTATTAATACGTATGTAACAGCACTTAAACTGCACATGGTCTAAATTGTCAAAAAAGGAAGCATGAGAAATGAAAAAAAATTACAACATATATTTATTCCCCTGCTATTTAACAATCTTAATTAATCTGTCTTACCTGTTCCAAGTTGGCATACATATATAAGCCTTTCAAACTTTCTGAGATTGTTCATTTTTGATTTGGTATGTATACACTAACAGACTGAGTCAATTCATTTCATATTTTACTACACTATTTACACAGGTTAAGTCATGCTGGAGATGACATTGATCCACAGTTCCGACTCTGGCTCAGCTCCAAACCGGATCCAAGTTTCCCAATATCCATACTACAGACTGGAATGAAGGTAAGAGTCAGATTTGTTATTTTCTGGATTTTTCTTTGTTGTTAAGCCATGTTTATTATCATTACACATTATTTTCTTAAATAATCAGGTCAGTACACATTACTTGAATGCATGATGTAATTGCCATTGGTTGTGTAGAAGATTACCTCTTTAGGTTTTAATTCGTAAACAAGGCAATGCAAGAGTTAGCTTTCCTTTGACAGATGACTGTAGAACCTCCACAAGGCTTGAAGTCTAACATGCTGCGATCGTTTGGGAGTGGGGGGACAGGAACTATCACAGAGAAGAAGTTTGAGTACAAGGAGGCGGGGCCTGACTGGCAGAAACTCCTCTTTGGTCTGTGTCTGTTTAACAGTGTCATTCACGAGCGCAAGAAATATGGCCGCTTGGGATGGAACATTCTGTATGGCTTCAATGATTCGGATCTGTCTGTAAGGATGTTAATTGTTATTTCAATGAAGATCATTAGATAGTCATAATTATGTCTCAGTTAATGGTTGACAATATTCATTATATAAAGAAGGGTTGAATTCTTTTGAATAATTTTTCAGTAAAGGTACAGGAATGTGATCAGTGATATTTTAACTGCTGGCACAATTGATTCTTGTTTTACTCTAGTTTGGATCACATAAAGTACAGGTGGTGTAATATGTTAATCCATATGCCATCTTTATAGAATGACTTTATATTTTACCCTACATAGGTATCTGTACGTCAGCTACAGAACTTACTGGAGGAACATGACGAGATTCCATGGGAGGCCTTGACCTTCCTGATTGGGGAGGTTATTTATGGAGGACGTGTGACAGATGAGTGGGACATGAGGTGCCTGGGGGCCCTCTTAAAGAGGTTCTTCTGTCCCGAGGCCTTGACCCCAGACTATTCCTACTCACCAGATGGGGTAAGCATCTTTTTGTTCAGTTACAAGCATGGTAGTTAAATGTGTGATACCTGAAATTTTATGACTGTGTATGTTTGCTTTTGTAATTATATATATGCATAAGTCACAGGGATTAAAAGTTATCATCATTAAAAAACTGTATGCATGAATATTGTTATTAATTTTGAATTTTGTTTGCTAATTATTTTAGTTCAAATCCCATTGTATGCATATCCTAACACATCTAAAATTATTCAAATTCTTAGCTTTATGTCATATTTAAGCTTGAGAAAGATCCATATAAACAGGACAGATTTTATTATTTATTTATTGAATATGAGAATATTCTTTCATTGAAAACACAGTTGTCTTTGGGGGTGATTATTGAAATTACCACCTGCCCCAGTCCTATTTATAGCCTTGTACAATTGAGAAAAAAATAAAATAAAATAAACATGTACTTCTAAGAGTGAAACTGACATTATGCAATTTATTCTGTGAATTATGATTCTAAATTTGTCATTGTATAAACAACTTTAATCTACCATAGGTTGTTCATAAGGTAAGCTGGTATTGAGTCACCAGTGTACACTGCATATGAATGGTGTACAATAGATTGCATGAGGAGTAAAGATGTAACCTGATTATAATAGGTTTACATTTATACAAATCTTTGAAATTATGAGTAGAGAATATATTACAAAATACTTGCATCACATAGGCCTAAGTACTTATATTTGCATTTGAGGTTTTTATCAGTTATATAAACCTATCGAACACTGAAGTGCTAATTTTTCAAAGTTGCAATAATACAACTTCACACAATTTTTAGAGACTATTTTGTATTTTTGTATTTTCTAGGTGACAGCTTGTAATGTAGAATGGGCCATTAATGTAATACCTCTACCTCAAATGTAAATATAACTTATAGAATAATTAGGCTAAAAAGTTCTCTGAGAAATGAACTTGATGGTTAGATAGTCAGATCTGCTGAGAAGCCACTGGGCTTCACAGGATTTGTTCATGTGACCAACCAAATTCATTTCCCAATGAACTTTTTATCCTTGCTATTTATTTCTTACGAGGTACTTTGCATGCATTGATGCATTTGTCTGAATTTTACAAATACTGCATGACTCTCAAGTATAGAGATGTATGTAGATATGCTCTGAAGCCAACTTTTTTTTTATTCTGTGTATTAGTTTTCATTATTTAATCTCTTTCAGTCTGTTATGATCTGTCTATATTATTTTCTACAAACTTTAATACTAGGAAATCCTAATGAATAAAAGATGTAAAATGTTGTTGATAAAAGCATTACTTTTCACTGAAATAATATTCAGTTTGCAAGGTCAAGGTTATAAGACCTTCAGGTCAAGGTTTAAGAACATAGGTCACAGTAATGAAATATTACTCTGCACAAATCTGTCTCTTTACTCTGCGTCTCTACATATATATGCCAATACTTGTAGAAAAGTATAAATACAAATTATTAGTTTAAAATCTTTGATATGTTTTACAATATAAAGCATAGAGTATTAAAGATTAAAATAGAATTAACATAGCTTTTACCTAGCTATTGAATGTTGCAGCTAGTCGAATATGAAACTTGACATCTGATACATATATCTTAAAAATGTGAAATTGTTGTCTGGATCAATGTAACAAAAAATAATGTAAGGAAAATTATGAAATGTTAACAGAAAACCTTTCAAAATGACAGTAGAAGTTACTGAAAGTATTACCTATTTTGATTTTGTAAATATTATTCTCTTTATCCAGTGGATGTCCCTCACAGTATCCCCACTTTGTATTCCAACAGTGTTCCATCATTTCATATAAACAAACATTTGTGTAAATTTAATACATGTAAGATCGAGGAACGACTGCAAGAAATTCCATTGATAAAGTCATTTAAATAGAGCCCATTTTAAAAATGCACTTTTGTCTTTAGTTCATTAAGATGTATTTTTATACTGTTACATTGTTATGCTGTATAAAAGAGCCACAAAACATGTGATAAAAAGTAAAATCCTGTTTTGTGATTGGATAAGATTGTTTTCTAACTTAAGTTGTCCAGTGTTTTTCATCCTCTTGCCAAAGGCTTAGGGATTATAAAAACACAAACCAATTAGGAAAAAATCATATTTATAATGATAAACTGCTTATCGTAATTGTATATTAGATCTATTGCTGTGACAGTCATGAAAACCCGTGGTGTTTGATCAATGGAGTTTTTAGTGGTTGTTATATTAATTTTCATATTTTACATTTTAGGTATGCTATCTTTTTTTTTCTTTATATCAAATCCTCATTTTTTCTAATTTATGTCACATTTTAATTCATAAAGATTTTTTTTGTCGCTTTTTATGTTAATTGATTTAGGAGTAGTATCTTGATGCTGTTAAAAATGGACATTGAAATTTAAGAAAATACATAAAATTTTAAACTGTTTAATTTTAGCTTTATCGTCCAATAAAGTCTGACATCCCATTCTCTGAAGTCATAACTTATTTAGAGAGCCTGCCAAACTACGACTCTCCAGAGCTGTTTGGAATGACAAACAACGCAGAGAAGGCGTGTCGTGAAATGCAAGCCCAGGATTTGATTGAAACCATCATAAATGTACAGCCAAGATTGTCCCTGGATATCTTGGGGTATGTACAGTCACATAATACATGTATAACAAATTTCTTGGATTGACTTTTTATGTCTTAAATGCATTTAAGAACACTGTGACAAATTCAGTGGAAAATTTTTCACTGTGTTCATAGTCATAATTAATCCCATGCGGAAAAAAAGTATGTCTATACAGTATATTTGTTATGAACAGGACCATTGACTCAATTCAACACATTGATCCTTGGTATTTGACATGAATTTAATGTTCCAGATACCAAAATTATACAGTATCATGTTAAAATGACCTCAGGTTGTCTATCTCATTAGACACAAACTTTTACAGAACTGAGAAGAGTAATGATGATGTAGTGCTGGAGGTGGCTAATGATATACTGAGGCTGTTACCAGTCAGCATAGAGGAGTTTACAGATGTGAGAGAATCCCACGGGGGACAAATCCAGAATATCCCCAGACCTACCCTCAAAGACATCCTCTTTAAGGAGGCCCCAGAACTGAAGGATAAAGAGAAAGAAAAAAGTAGGCCTTTACTTTGCTTGATCTGTCGGTAGTGTGTGTAATATGTTGAAATGGTGACAGTTAATTGGTACAAATTTGTCATTTTCTAACAAACGGGAAAAAACTCCCCATATTGATGTAAATTATCATCAATTAAGGTCTCAAATTATTATTAAAGCCTTGCTTCTAACTAAGTGAGAATTGCTTGTTGTGTCCTGAGATTTAAGATGCAAAGGTGGCTTTTTTTAAAGATGTACATACCGGGGTATGTATTTTGCTTGTTTATTTCAGTCGTACAAGAGGCCATTGATACAGTGGTAGGTAACTCTGCCTTGATGACAGTACTTCGACAGGAAGTGGACAGATTTAACAACCTGTTGTCTATCATTCATGAGTCCCTGAAAGCCCTCATCCTGGCTGTAAAGGGGGAGGTCATTATGTCAGAATCTCTGGAGGAAGCCTACACAGCCCTACTCAGTCAAAAAGTCCCACAGAACTGGAAGGTTAGCCATGTTAGCTATTCCTCTATACTGAAGCTTCGACAGTAAAACACAGTTATGTTGAATTGCCAAGGATGGCTGAGATTTGTTTGTCATATTTATAATTTGTTATAGAGTAAAACTCGGTTATAGTGAAGTTCTGGGGACCTACGAATTTACTTCGCTATAATTTGTTGTATCCATATAACAAATTCGTTCAAGTATACAAAGCAAATTTGCAATAAAGAATTTTTTCCTTCAAGTATGACTACAAAATGTTTAGGGAAGTATAAAATAAAAAATTTACCTTGGAGTTCAAAATGGGCCATCACTCAAGAACCCCTTGGCCAATTATTGTCAAATTTGTCATAGGGTATCCTTGGCCCAAGGGCTCCTGTTTATACTAAAACTAGGGTTGTGACCCTTAAACAAGGGGAGATAATTAGAAAAATAGAAACAAAAGTACTGGTTGCTAAAAAATCTTCTCAAGAACCACTGGGCAGATTATCACCAAACTTACACAAAAGGATGAGGATATGTTGTAGATTAAAATTTTCACAGGGATTTACCCTGGGGCAAAGGGTGTGGTCTCAAGGTCACTTCAAAGTTGATCAAAAATTACATTTTATTAAAATGTTGATATTTTGCTTACTATAAGGACTAGAATCATCAAATCTTGTCAGTTGATGCATCTAAGGACCTCATATCATGTTGACTCAAAAGAGGTCACGGTGACCTAGTTTTTAGATTTTGCAGCCATTCTTTTTCAAAATGATTTAGAGGCATATTTTGAACAATTTAAGGCCTATGATCATCAAACCTTGTCAGTTGATGTATCTTGGGTCTTCGGAGTACGCCAACTAAAAAGTAGGTCACCTTGACCTACTTTTTGAATTTTATGGCTAATCTTTTTCACAAACAATTAAGAGGCAGTCCACCAAAAAACCAGGCAGTATTGTATTAATAGGCGGCACATCGAATGTGAGGAATATTTGATATTTTATTAAAAACAATATCAATGTAGCCCAAAAGGAATAATGTAATTGAAGATTTGCTTGATAATTGCTTATTTAGTAAAATATCCTTGTGTTTTGTGTTTTTGAATGCCCCTATATAAACCATTGAATGTAGGTCAGAAACAAAGAACTGTAATTTCTAATACATTTTTCACAGGACTATAATTCACACTTAACTAAATCTAGAAATATTTCAACTTTTTGTTAAAAAAATAAAATCGGTGGGAAAAACACTTTTGATAGTAGTTTTCTGGCAAAATATAAGGACGTTTTTATGAAATTTTGCGATGCAAGAGTTATCTCCCGTGGCATCGGTAAATCTGCTCAACACCTTTTTATCGGAATCCTAGTGAAATATTTAGAATCGATACACTAAAGAAAATAATTAAGCAAAAAACTAAATAATTTATTTTCAAAATATAATTCATTTTCGCCTCCAGACGTAATATTTAGATTAAAATTGGCTCTATTATTCAGGTTGAATCCACGTTTCCATTGATGTATCAGTGACGTCATATACCTGACTAATATTGCGTCACAATGAAATAGTTACAAGTTTCCAGAGAAGTTTGTAAATTCTTTGCGTAAAAGTATAAAGAAAAAGATTTTTAAAAAAAGGATTTCTCTTTTTCTGTTTAATTACTCTTCAGAGAGCATTATTCTAAATGTTAAATAATATTTTAATATCAAAATGTATTTTATACATGGGCGGCGTCTCAGCTAGATGACGTTTTGATAAGTAATTTTATACATGTCTGAGAACTAATTTTTTTTAAACTGATTTACTAGGATATGCGTAAAAATAATTAATGAAGTGTTTATCATGAACATTTCTTATAAAATTAGGAATCAATGATGAATGTTTTAGATTTATGCAACACTTAATTCAACGAAGTTGAGATGTTTACTTCATGATATTTGTAAAAACTTAAATATATTTATCTATGCAGTCAAATCAAAATAAACAATCCGAAGTACGATTAAAAATGAAAAAATAAAACTGAAAAATAAGTTATAAAAATATATTTATTGAGTTAAACTACTGCTGAACTCCCCACTATAATTTGGCACTAAAACGGAAGATGGTTTAGTGAAACATTTCGTTTTTTTTTTAATTTTACTTATTTATTTTTTTAATTTGGCGATTGAAACAATCACACACTCACATTTAATGTGGATTTAAACATGTGACTATGTTGGCCAATTCTAAAATGTTTTCACGTTCATGAAACCAATTTTTAAAAATAATGATGTCATGACCCCCCCCCCCCCCCTGCTTTTTGCTTGCGATTTCTCTTGAATAATGATACTATATATGAAAGAACTTATTTTCTTATTTATATAAAATCAAATTTTGTAAAAGAGGAAAAGGTTTTACAGATGACAGGTAAGAAAAAACTTGGATAAAGTCGAGCTGTACACATAAAAATATTTCCTGTATTTAGGCAAGTTTAATTTCGCCACTGATAGAATTTACTCTTTAATTCCTGAGGAAATAAAAAAGAAATTTTACTTGGAAATAAGATAAATAATAAAGCTAGAAAGCTGTCTGCTCTCATTTGTTGCATAATGCATGTACAAATACTTTTTTTTAAATACCGAGTATCTATTAAGAATTCAATCAGATGTTTAACATGTAATCTTCATGTACGTAAAAGACATTAGTAATTTAAATAATATATAAATTTGAATCTATGGTTACACTCATTTAAAAACAGTTAACTGACTGAAAAGAAATAAAAGACAAGCATATTTTTCTGATAAATTAAAATGAAGAGCCAAATTTAGGAAATGTTTCTAAATTTACAGTAAAAACCGATCCCGATCCGATCGAAAATAATGCAAAATTAACAAATTTATCAAACTAAAGGCACCTGCCACCTATATAACATGTTAAAAAAATAAATCAAGTAAGTTTTTACTCATATTACAACAAAAGAGCCAAATTTAACATTACAATTATAGTATTTTTTTTCTTTATATAATTCCGGTCGGGATCGGTTTCATTTGGGAAAATTTAAAAAAAAAAAAAAAAAAAAAGGTAAATTTGACTCCTTTTATTCCTTTCAATATACCTGTTCCCACTGATTTTATTGAGTGATTCAAAAGTTTGTACTTTGTATTCATAATAACATAAGAAAAAAAATCTGTCCTTGTAATGTATTGGGTTTTATAACGTAATGAAAATTGGATACTGAATTCAAAAAATTACTTGCTTAACTCAAATTTGGACCATATAATTTTTTCTAAAGAAGTATAAATTGGAGTCTTATTCATTAATAAAATAAAAGATAAGAGTCTGTGCTATAAATAATATTCATCGACACATCCAGCTTTTGAGTATCTGTTACATATTAAACAAAATAAAAACGTAGTAATTTTTTTTACCCTTATGTTGACCTTTTTGCACTTAAAATTAAGCATTTACCAAAAATAGGACTAGAGGAGCACTAAATTTTTTTTAATGTTGTCATGTGTAAACACTTGCTTTAATAAGTCTACATGCAAAAAATAATTAAAATCCATGACATGCGATGTGCCACCGATTGCCTGGTTTTTCAGTGGACTGCCTCTTAAGGTCATTAATTCGAATACTGAGAAGTTTAGAATCATTAAATCTTGCAAGATGATGCATCTTTGGACCATAAAACATATTTATGAAAAAGTAGGTCACAGTGACCTACTTTTTGAACTTTGCAGGCATTCGATTTCAAAGCATTTTAGAGGCATAATTTGGACAATTTAAGGCCTTTGATCATAAAACTATGTAAGTTGATGCATCTTGGGTCCTCAAAAAACGTCAACTGAAAAGTAGATTACCGTGACCTACTTTACAATATATATGACTATAGTTTCAGGTACTAATTGGCATAGAATCATCAAACTTTGTCAGTTGATGCATCTTGGGTCTTCAGAGTAGGTCAACTGAAAAGTGGGTCACCGTGACCTACTTTTGAAAATTTATGGCTTTAATTAAATATTTCAGGTACTAATTGGCTTAGAATCACCAAACTTTGTCACTTGATGCATCTTGGGTCCTTGGAGTATGACAACTGAAAAGTAGGTCACCCTGACCTACTTTTGAAAATTTATGGCTGTATTTAATATTTTTTCGGGTACTATTTGGCTTAGATTCATCAAAATTTTTCAGTTGATGCATCTTGGGTCCTCGGAGTAGGTCACTGAAAAGTAGGTCATGGTGACCTACTTTTCAATTTATATGACTATAATTAAATATTTTGGGTACAAATTTGCTTAGAATCATCAAACTTTGTCAGTTGATGCATCTTGGGTCTTGGAGTAAGTTGACTGAAAAGTAGTCACCATGACCTACTTTTGAAAATTTATGGCTTTAATTAAATATTTCAGAAACTAATTGGCTTAGAATCATCAAACTTTGTGAGTTAATGCATCTTGGAGTACGACCTACTTTTGAAATGTTATGGCTGTATTTAATATTTATCATTCTGCACCCCATACGCGCGACCTTGTCGCTGGCTCTGGAGTTTGGATTTGCATCTCGGGTACTATTTGGCTTAGAATCATCAAAATTTGTCAGTTGATCTATCTTGGGTCCTCGCAGAAGGTCAACTGAAAAGTAGGTCACCGTGACCTACTTTTTCAATTTATATGACTTTAATTAAATATTTCAGGTACTAATTGGCTAAGAATCAACAAACTTTGTCAGTTGGAGTAGGTTGACTGAAAAGTAGGTCACCATGACCTGCTTTAAGTATGTCATTTGAAAAGTAGGTCACTGTGACCTACTTTTGAAATTTTATGGTTATAATTTTAAAAATATTTTAGGTATTAATTGGCTTTGAATCATCAAACTTAGTTGATGCATCTTGGGTCCTTAGAGAATGACAAGTGATAAGTAGTCACCATGACCAACTCTCAGGTGCTAATTGGCTTAGAATCATCTTGAGTTCTCAGAGTGTTTCATCTAAAATGTAGGTCATGATGACCTACCTTTGAAATTTCAAGGCTTTATCTAAATATTCAGGATACTTAGAGGCTTCAAATAGAAGTGATAGGTTGTACAGTTTATCAGAAGAGTGATTCAAGGCCCTTGGGCCTCTTGTTTAATTAGTTAAATGAAATTTCTTGAACTAGAAATAAGGCTCTGAGACTCTTTTTCAGAGTGCATCCTATGAGTCTTGTAAGCAGTTAGGATCCTGGACACATGACCTATTGATGAGAGTGGAATTCTTTGCCACTTGGGCTGGTCTGATTTGTGAAAATGTGGAAAAAATCATCAAAGCTAATTTACTGACCACCAAACAACAGACATCGGCTCCACCACCAGATTTAGAACCAGAGGATCTCACCAGGAACCAGCCCAGAGCCTTCTGGTTATCTGGTTTCTTTTTCCCACAAGGTATAAGTATTTACTTGGCCCAAAAGTGATTCTATTAGAACTGCTAGTAAAATATATCAAAGGACAAATATATTACACTGTCACCTTCTTGTGGCTGCAAACCCATAAATTTAACCAATTAAATTTTTTGAAATAGGATTCTTAACGGGGGTTCAGCAGAATCATGCGAGAAAGCTGGGCATCTCTGTGGATTCTCTTGTGTTCAACTTCCACGTGAAAACCAAAGCCACCGACACTGAAGAATCTCTGAGTGATCTCAAACACAAACACTCCATTAAAATAACTGCATTTAAGGTGAAGGAACTTGAAATGTTTTGAACAATTTGCTGTTTGATATACATGTATTCATTTATATTGGTCATACATGTACATGTGTTATAAGAACATTCACTTTTTTAATCTTTAATTCCATTGTCTTCTCTAGCATATAATGTATTTGTAATGTTTTGCTCTTCTTTTTAGGGTAACAATGCGCCTGAGAATGGGGTTATGGTGTTTGGTCTTTTTCTTGATGGTGCAAGCTGGGATCCCAATCATGAATGTCTGAATGACTCTAGGCCTGGAGAGAGGTTTTCCAAGCTTCCAGAAATTCATTTTGAACCAGTACAGGTACATGTACATCAATAAAATCCATTGCTTCCTTAAGAAGATTATTGTTCAAAGATTTACTAATCAAATGTACTGGGATATGTATGAATCACTCCTTTTCAGTGATTGTCTTTTTTCATATGTTAAAGTTGAATTCAGTGTTTCCACTGTGAGAGGTTTATGATTGTATCTGTTTTAGTATCCATAAACCTGTGAAATTGTGATGTCTCAATGATTTGAATCAGCCACACACAACCATCTTTTCTTTCAGATTTCTACATTGTCCACTCCATCAGAAACTAATGATGCTACTTCTAGCAGTACTAGTGAACCGACAAAACAGACTTATAAATGTCCACTATACCGGACATCAGAGAGGGCGGGAACACTGTCCTCCACTGGACATTCCACTAACTTTGTCACTGCTGTAGATTTGCCGTCCAAACATCCGTCCGATTTCTGGGTGATGAGAGGAATTGCCATGTTGTGTCAGTTAGATGACTGAAGAGCTGACTTGTTAATTTTCTACAAACTACATTATACATGTATGTAACTTGTCAAGTGTATTAATTTTGAATGCTGTTTTGAAAAAAAATTGACAGATTTGTTGGGATATATATATAGTTACATAGATCTTTTGCAAGTTTCATCACTGCTGACCAAAACTGTGATTTATTTATACAGACTGCTGAGTCCACTTTTTATCTGTCTGTGGTACCAAAATGTTTAAGGGTAACACTATTTCTAAGAACTTCTTTTATTCAAAATGTGATATTTATAAATAACTGTGCCTTATATATCAATACTCTTTTGTCAAACTGCTGAACCAAACTAGTATATTATGTTACTATTTATAATACAGCTTGCTGTATGTACATGTATGTCTACACAGAAATTTATTTTTAAAAATAATTTTTAGACTAAGAATCCTGTATTTTGATTTAAACGATGTTTACTTGGTATTGTACTTCCCTATCTTTCCTGAATACCAAACTCTGACTTCTGTGATACACTTATGATGTCATATACTGATAACATGTTTGAGGACTACAAATAAAAATTAAACTTTTTGTGATTTTTATATTCTCTGGAAAAATTGGTAATTTCGATTGAAAATTTCTTTATATATGTGTTCATATGCATTGTATTCCAAAAGGTGAAAAATTTGTATAAAACAGATATGTATAAAGGGTGGTGGTGGGAAAATAAGTACAAGTAGATATCTTGTGCTTCTTTGATAAAAAGATATCAATTGCAAATGCAACTTCAATTGATCCGTCTTGTATTGCACTGTAATGTGTCACAATGTTCTTACACGTAAATTCTCTTCAATAAGTAGAAGAATTCAAATTTCTAACAATCAGTTATTCACTATACAATGATAAAGACAAGGGAATATGCTGTCTTAATTTTCATCAAACGTCTGCGAATGAGTTTTACGATAAAAACGACAACTGCAAAGCAGTGCAAAGAAATAATTTGACCTCAAGTTTAATGTTCATTCAGCATTGTTTTACAACTCAATCAAAATCACTTACATGTATATATAAGCAACAGGCATTATACTGAAAGTATGAATAATGCTGGTTGATTCCTGCTTTGCAAATGACTTTTCTAACTCAAATGCAAAATGCGATGAAGAGATGAACCCAAATTCTTGGGCTGATAATAATACAGCGACCTTGCTGCTATTCATTTTGCATTGAATTCACTTGAATTACTAGTAATTTAGTGAAATGGTTAGTTACACAAATGGATAAGGGTATTTGCAAATCCTAAGTCATTCTTGTCAATGATTACCAAGAGTGCATCATCTAACAGTAAATCAAGGTTATTTGAATACACTTATCATTTTGATGGTTATAGTCCCACCCCTCAGGCCCCAGGAGGGCAGGGACCATGAAATTCAAAAATTTTGTCCCCCTTCACCCATAGATGCTATATGCTAAAACTGGATGAAATTGGGTCAGCGGTTTCAGAGAAGCTGAAAATGTTCAAATGTTAACACACGATGACAGACAAAAACAGATAGCAATAGGTCTCCTGAGTGACCTAAAAATGTCTAAATAAACTTTCTGCAACAAGGAAAAAAATTTGTGCTCATTGTTTTTTAAGTTTATATTTTACGATGTTGAGGTATCTTATACCCTGTAATTAGCTCACCTGAGCTGAAGGGTCAAGTGAGCTTTTCTAATCACATTTTGTCCATCGTCTGTCCATCTGTCTGTAAACTTTTCACATTTTCGACTTCTTCTCAAGAACCACGGGGCCAATTTCAACCAAACTTGCCACAAAGTATCCATGGGTGAAGGAAATTCAAATTTGTTCAAATGAAGGGCCAGGCCCTCTTTCAAGGGGAGATAATTAGGAATTAGTAAAAAAATAATGGCATCATTTAACAAGAGGCCCAAGGGCCTTGAATCGCTCTTCTGATAAACTGTACAACCTATCACTTCTATTTGAAGCCTCTAAGTATCCTGTATATTTAGATAAACCCTTGAAATTCCAATTCACATTCTGAGAACCCAAGATGATTCTAAGCCAGCTAGTGACTGAGAGTTGGTCAGGTGACCTACTTATCACTTGTCATTCTCTTAGGACCCATCAACTAAGTTTGATGATTCTAAGCCAATTAATACCTAAAATATTTTTTAAAATTAAAACAATAAAATTTTATAAGTAGGTCACAGTGACCTACTTTTCAGTTGTTGTACTCAGAGGACCCAAGATGCATCAACTGACAAAGTTTGATGATTCTAAGCCAATTAGTACCTGAAATATTTAATTAAAGCCATAAATTTTCAAAAGTAGGTCACAGTGACCTACTTTTCAGTCGACCTACTCCGAAGACCCAGGATGCATCAACTGACAAAGTTTGATGATTCTAAGCCAATTAGTACCTGAAATATTTAATTAAAGCCATAAATTTTCAAAAGTAGGTCACAGTGACCTACTTTTCAGTCGACCTACTCCGAAGACCCAAGATGCATCAACTGACAAAGTTTGATGATTCTAAGCCAATTAGTACCTGAAATATTTAATTAAAGCCATAAATTTTCAAAAGTAGGTCACGGTGACCTACTTTTCAGTTGACGTTTTTTGAGGACCCAAGATGCATCAACTTACAAAGTTTTATGATCATAGGCTTCAAAATGTCCAAATTACGCCTCTAAAACACTTTGAAATCGAATGCCTGCAAAGTTCAAAAAGTAGGTCACTGTGACCTACTTTTTCATAAATATGTTTTATGGCCCCAAAATGCATCATCTTACAAGATTTAATGATTCTAAACCTCTCAGTATTCGAATTAATGACCTTAATTGTCGTGAAAAAGATTAGCCATAAAATTCAAAAAGTAGGTCAAGGTGACCTACTCTTTAGTTGACATACTTTGAGGACCCAAGATGCATCAACTGACAAAGTTTGATGATCATAGGCCTTAAATTGTTCAAAATATGCCTCTAAATCATTTTGAAAAAGAATGGCTGCAAAATTTAAAAAGTAGGTCACTGTGACCTACTTTTGAGTCAACATGATATGAGGTCCTTAGGTGCATCAACTGACAAGATTTGATGATCCTAGTCCTTATAGTAAGCAAAATATCAACATTTTAATAAAATGTAATTTTTGGTCAACTTTGAAGTGACCTTGAGACCACGCCCTTTGCCCCAGGGTAAATCCCCGTGCAAATTTTAATTTACAACATATCCTCATCCTTTTGTGTAAGTTTGGTGATAATCTGCCCAGTGGTTCTTGAGAAGAAGATTTTTTAGCAACCAGTACTTTTGTTTCTATTTTCCTAATCATCTCCCCTTGTTTAAGGGTCACAACCCTAGTTTTAGTATAAAAGGGAACCCTTGGGCCAAGGATACCCTGTGACAAATTTGACAATAATTGGCCAAGGGGTTCTTGAGTTATGGCCCATATTCTAAAAAGTTTACGCACACTGCACAAATGGCCACAGCATTAGCTCTTTGAGCCTTTGGCTCAGAAGAGCTAAAAATCTTCTTCTCAAGAACCACTGGGCCAGGAAAGATGAAACTTATGTGGAAACATCCTCAGGTAGTGTAGATTCAAGTTTGTTCAAATCATGACCACCGGGGGTAGGGTGGGGCTACAATGGGGGAACAAAATTTTACATAGAAATATATAGGAAAAAACTTTAAAAATCTTCTCAAGGACAGCAAAGCCATGATTGCCATTGATTGGTCATATTTATATGGAAGTATCCTCAGGTAGTGTCGATTCAAGTTTGACCTCCGGGGTAAGGGTGGAGCCAGAACAGGTGATCAAAGTTTAGCATAAGAATACACAGGAAAATTCTTTAAAACTCTTCTTCTCAAGAACAGCAAAGTCATGATTGGTCATATTTTAATGGAAGCATCCTCAGGTAGTGTAGATTCAAGTTTGTTCAAATCATGACCTCCGGGGGTAGGGTGGGGCCACAATGGGTGATCAAAATTTTTCATAGGAGTATATAGGAAAAAACTTTAAAAATCATCTTCTCAAAAACAGCAAAGCCATGATTGGTCATATTTATATGGAAGCATCCTCAGGTTGTGTAGATTCAAGCTTGTTCAAATCATGACCCCCGGGGGTAGGGTGGGGCCACAATTGGGGATCAAACACAGGAATATATGGGAAAAAATCTTTTTCTCATAAACAGAAAAGCCATGATTAGTCATATTGATATGGAGGCATCCGCGGGTAGTGTAGAATCAAATTTGTTCAAGTGAGGGCCCCCGGGGATAGGGTGGGGCCACAATAGGGGATCAAATTTTTATATAAATGATTATATTGGAAAACTCTTCTGCTCAAGAACAGCAAAGCCATTCGTTATACTGATATGGAAGCATCATCAGGTGTTTAAATTAAAGTCCCCACCTGTAAACTTTTCAATACTGAACTGATTTTTGCTTTTTTTCCTAGCCAATGTGCTCAGGTGAGCGATGTGGCCCATTGGCCTCTTGTTATTTATTTCAGAATTTTGATTGCTACAAAATTCCATTTGGAAGTTTGGGTTTAATTTACATGGATAGGACAAAATAGTTCATCAAAATCAAATGAATCAAAATAAAATCAGAATTGATTTTCTTAGAACGATTCCATCTTTGTGAAAAAATGCACTGCACTTCACCTAACATGAACAAGAATTTTAGAAATCAAACCCAGAGCCAACTCAAGAAAGATTACATGTTCCAAATCATTACTATTTGAGAAGCGGTAAGTAGCAGATTCGGAACATACAATTTTAATGAAATCAACTCAGAGCTGGGCCACAATACAAATTTATCTGGATAAACTCATTGTATGTTTACTTATAAAAACAACAATGTTGTGAGTTAAGTTTGTGATGTCATTAATTCATAGTAACTTTATCCAGTTTAGAGTATGGTGAATAATAATTATAGTATGGACATAAATCATGCATTAAATATTGCAGATTAACTTACCCAATGTGGAGTGGATATTAATAAACTGTCTGAAAAGATACCTATTTTTGCTCGAAAGTTCACATTTTGCTGAATTCAATTATTGTTAGTTTAGTACCCCTTAGACTGAATAAATTGGATTAAATCCAAAGTTGATCCTAGCTGAAGTAGGTGCCTTTTCACAAGCCTTGTGGTAGAGAATTAAACCGACACAGCTTTCTCCACATACAATACAAAGTGTCAGTGATGACCAGAGAAACTTGATATTTCTAACACATACATGAATTTGGATTTGTAACAAGTCAAACATCCCCTCTTGAAAAAAAAAATGTTCAACAAGTAAAATTATATCAAAATAAACAAATTTTTATTAAATAATCAACAATATAGGCATAAATAAACATTAAGAAAGACTTGAGATATCACACCAGTTTTCTAAAGCTGAAGATATCACATTTGAATACTCAATAGCACAAACAATGTCTTCGTCAGTCCTTCACCGAGATGGTGGTGCTTGATTCTGTGTTATTCCGAGTCATGGCACCACCAGGTGGTACACTGAGAATACTGTGGGATTTCCGCCTCTTTTTGAGTTGATCTAAGGTCTTCTGACTGGTTCCCCCTCGTGTGGTACCTGTATCGGACCTATCCAGGGGACTGCCTAGTATACTGGCAGCGTCATCTGAGGATACTTCCTAAAATAAAACATTTACCTTAAATTAACCAGTCTGATAACTACTGATACCTGATCACTGCTATCCTAATACAATGATGCATCACTGTATATATATAACTACTGTGTACTTTACAAATTTGATAAAATTATGATACTATCTAGTTTCTAAATGAAAATACTTCTTGTACAAGTTACATAAATGGATGAAAAATGAGTATTTAATGTAAATGAAAACGGTGCGATTGTGAATCCTCTATCAAACAGGAAGGAACATGACTGTGCGAGGTGGACTACCATCAAAGTAGTACCACACAAAGTACAACATGAGTGAAAACTTCAATACATGTACAAAGCTAAACATTTAACCCTACAAATGAATGCTATGTATATCCTCACCCTCCCTTTCAAACATGCAATTGTGTTTATAAAAAAAATTCTGATACAGAAACAGTATCATTTGCTAAACACAATCACTTGTGATTTCCATATCCAGTAAAATACCAAAAATTTATCAGTGTGCAATTCATTCCATGTCTGTTGTGCAGTTCATTCCATATTTCCACATTGACCACCAAACTTCTGACCCAAGAACCTTTACCTTCTCTAGACTGAACTCGAGACAGTCCCAATTTCATGCTGTACATGCTCAAAGCAGACTGAGCTACTCGTTTAGCTTGTAATCTTTCCTGTTTTTCTCTATATTTCTGTAGAATTTTTGTCAAAAATATGAAAACTTCAGCATGGATGATGAGTTAATTGCAGAAAGTGAAAGATTAGTCATGGAATGCAATAAATGAATCATTGATTCTACAACAATGTTATATCTAATATTGGCACTTTTAAGGAACAATAAATAAAGTATCTATAATGTAAGAAATGTATTTATAGATAAATAACTAAAGCTAAAGTTCTACTGACATTAATGATGAAGACAAATTATATGTGCTAGTCTACATATGTAACTAAAAAGAGAAGAAATGCTGCAAAGTTTGATTGAAAAATCAAACACGTAAATTATATATAATATAACACTGTGCTACCAAGTGCACAAAGTCCTTTTCATCAAATCGGGTGCATTTCAATTTTTGAAGAATCCCAAGTAGTGTTTTGATCAGGAACCTTTTTTAAAGATATGCATTTTGAATGGTGATAAAATGTTTCGAAAAATAAGTGTAATACATTTTTAAGGAGACAAATTTTCTTTAGGTCAGCTATGGTTCTCTAATTTTATTACCCAGGGTTGTGATTCACTGTTCTCAAGACCCCCCCTCCCTTTTCAAATTGAGCTGCAATATCTGACAAGGATATTAAGTGAATTGAAGTGTCAACAAAGTTTATTTCATTTTTTTGGTACTACCTCTGTAAAGAATAACCTAAATTCTTGAGGGAGTTCAATTTAAAAAAAAAAGAAAGATTTTCTTCTAAGAGAGACAGAGAGTTAATTAACTCTAAAATTGATAACACTAAGTTTCCTTCATATAAAATTTTCATAAGGGATGATTTGTTTCAAATTTTGTTGACTATTTTTTTTTCCTTATGGCTGCTCTCTCACTTAATATATATATATATATATATATATATATATATATATATATATATATATATATATATATATATATATATATATATATATATATATATATATATATGGCCTGTGAGCCTATTTCTTTTTTTTTCCATATATATACAAAGTACATATGAATGTAACAAATACACACATATGTTAGCTATTTAAAAAAAAGTCCACATTTGATACCACAGGAACACCTAAACCATGCAGATTAGAAAACCTCACAAGTATAGAGACTTTTTCTACATGTGAGCTCAATTAAACCAAAGTGCAATTTCATTTTTCGTTCTGACCAATAATATGCAACCAACTCGTCCAATGTATAAAATTCGGACACCATGAATTTTCTTACCTGCTCATCCTATATAAAGAAAGGACAGAAATAAAAAAGTTAAATGAAAAGCAATTAAAAATGTTAATTAAACAATGAATGGTCAGATATGATTGACCAAGCAATTAAACATAAACTAACAGTATCTACTGCTAAGTTTAAATGCTTGACTAAACATTGACCCAAAGGAAGTTAAGCCAACACCATGAACATCTACACATACCAAATCCCTCACTCCTTCTCTCTGTAAAAGGATTGCATTCTGGGTAAGTTAAATCATTAGATTTTTAAATCATAATGGTGTAAAGTGGACATCCTTTATTATATTCATCATTGCAATAAACTAAGACATTCACAATCAAGATGGAAGAAAACTTTATCGGATATTGTGAACCTTCTCATATACTTCTATAACTTCCCAGTGGCAATGTGCTTCACAATATAGAGGGGAAAAAAATATGGGGGCAACTATCAGATTAACATGTAATTGATTATTTACAGTGCCTATTGTCATGTCCTTAGGTGTTCATCAAAAAGTAATTTACTTTTTGACCAAATGTCCACTTTACACACACTATACTGTTACTGCATGTACCATGCCAACGTTTCAATCAGTTCTAATAAGCTGTTCATTTGACGCCACATCAAACCAGTGTACCCAGTTTATACCTGACTTCCCTGGTAAATTGAAGCATATACATATATTAAACATATCCTATGCTATAATTGCTATGTTGACTGGTATTACAGCAAACATTTCAACCAAAGTGTTAGTATTTTTTTTTGCCCCATAAACCTAATATATGTCTGTAATAACTATTATTGTCTATATTAGAATGCTCTTATTGTTTAAGTGATAATTTTCATACATTTTAAATGTAGCCCTCACATTAATGAAGCATTGTATTTATTATTTGTTGTCTAGTTCAAGCATTTTATATTTTCCCATTCCTTTAAATGGCACCATTTCCACCCACACCAATATTAAGAATTTAGCAGCTTATTATAACTTCCACCTATTCTCCAAATTCAGTCGTACACTATTACTCATTATAATTTACCTGTTAACTTTAATACATGTGAAAAACTTTTGTAATGTAGATAATGCTACATCTGATTCAATAATCATTTCAGCCAATGAGGGGAAAACAAACACACTGCATGTACATTTGAAAAGCAGAATTCGGATAGCCTACAAAAAGGGGAAGTATCAAGTTCTCATAAAGGAATCAACGTAGCTCTACACATTCGCAATATGGCATAAAAAGCAGATAATTCAGAGATATGACATCATCTGTAGCCTACAAAAATTCATTTCACGGCAGTTTCAAGCATGTGACTATATGGTCACATGACCAATACCCACACAAGGATGCCTTTTCATCATCGTCAATGTCATCGATATCTTTATCGTAATTTTGATCAATTTCCTGACTCATTTGTGTACTTTGTCTTTCTTCATCATCAATTTCTGAAGTTGGAGTTTTTAGCTACAAAACGACTTCATTTATATTTTGATGTCCTCTTGTGTGTGGTGTGTGAAATTAATATCTGAATCAATTAAATTTAGTAAGTTACTGAGTATTTTGTTATCTATCAAAAAATACTGTTATATATATAAGATATAGTAATTTATTTAGTGAATTATGCTCTCAATTAATTCATTCAATCTGACTGGTGAAAAAGGACAGCACATCAGTGTATACGTTTGGGTGTAATATATATATTATCTGGGTAGTATATCAAAATCCAAATAAATGAAATCCACATAAATAATATGTACTAAAATACTGGAATATACTGTGAAAAAATGCTTTTAATGACTTACCCTCCAACGAACCCCATCAGAAAGGGAGAATGTGTAAGCAGCAATGGAGCCATCCGGTATTGGAGGAAATGAGAAATCCTCCTTAGGAATTTCATAATTTTCTATACCATCCAACCTTTTCTTCAACATCTTTTGGTATTTTGTCACTAAAAATTGAAAATATCAAGTATAATGAAAGTTTTATAAGCTATCTTGCTATACGATTGTATAATTATCAACCAAAATGTGTGTCCAAGTTTCGTATGTATGTGGCCCCTAGAACATCTGAACTTTAAAGGCACTCATTCAGGTGTAGGCTAGCATTCTCTCATACTCTTAATGAAAATTAACTAAAATGTGATTTTGTAAAAAAAAAAAAAAAAAAAAAAAAAAAAAGCTATGACCAAAACAGGTGATCTTGCAAAAAAGCTTTGACCAATCAGGTGATCTTGTAAAAAGCTATGACCAATCAGGTGATCTTGGAAAAAAGCTATGACCAATCAGTGATGAGGAATACAGTTTCCTGCCAAAGAAACAGACAGAAAGATCATGTGATCCCTACAAGTCTGACCTACAGGCAACAAAGAGTTGGATGGTCAAGCCTCCATCCAACTCTTCTTTGCCATACACAGTTTGTGCTTCATAATTATATACTTGTTCTATGACTTTTAGAGAAGCATTAACTATAACCTGCTGTGTGGATACATATCCAGTCTTACCTGGTCTCTTGGCTGGATCATCCGGAGGCTGGAAGCCTCTTTTAAATCCAGCCCAGTAAGGAAGAAGTTCTTTGAACACTGCAAACTGTGCTTCGTCAAACAAACTGGGCACCACATCTTTGCCTGCCAGGTATCTCTGGGCTGCTTTTATGGTTTTCTCTTGAAGTTGTGGTGAGATGTCAATCTATTTACCACATTTAAAACAGTTCACAGAAATTTGAAAACTCAGTTTAGATATTTTTTAGTCCTTCAGTTAAATACTGGTACATGTACATACATTTTATACAGATACCTGAAAATATTTTTCTGTACACTATTAGAAAATTAAATATCACATAATCAGAGGAGAAAATTTAGAGATAATCAAAATTAACACATGTACATGGCTTAAAATTGAGATTTACATTTTCCTTAAATACTTATACATCCACTTGGAAATTAGTATAATCATTTCAAAATTTACCTGCAATGTGGGACTAGTCACAGAATCAAGGAAACACTCCATAATGGATTGCACTTTCTTTCTTAAAAGCTCCTCATCTGAGTGGGCATGATTAGAATCCTGATAAAGAAAATACTTATTCTTTTATTCATTCTTTGCACTGGAAATGCATTTTTCAAGCACTGAGAGCAACAACAATTTCAATGAACCTTTTTTCTTGAACTACATTTATTCCCACATAAATCTGAAGCCTTTATTAAAGTAGAACTGAATCTTGGCAAAGACAGATAACTCTACAATTGTTTAATCATTATTTTTGAAATTTTCAAGGTCAACAATAATCTGTCTCAAATTTGCCCTGTATATAAATTTTTTTTTTCATTTTGTTTCTTCATTTCAGTTAGAAATATTTTTTATATTACAGAAGAAATCAGAGAGTCATTTTCCCTAAGCACCGAATGTGTACCTTGAACTTCTGTACTTCAATGTAGAAGAAAAGATCCTTGTCGATCAGCGGACAGCCATCCTCTTCTCCGTGCTTCAGTAAATATTTGTAGAAGAACAACATGGGCAGTGTCAGGTGACCAGCAGCGGACTGCTTCAGGGCCTTAAAGAATTCATCCTTATCCTCCTTGTTAGGCTGAGCTCGACCAGTCTGTACAGATACAATAATGTTCTCATCATATCAAACTGTCACCAAATTATGCTTCAGAGTATTTCCATTGTTTAGGATATTAATCATACATCTAATTTATTTTAAAAAATAAACACTTTGTACAATTTTAATTTATAACATAACTTTGTCTGCAAAATTCTAAATAAATCATCTGTTTACTGTACTATAAACATCACACTTAAAAAAAAAATTATTATAAATTTTTATGTTAGCTGACCATTAACTTCTACAACTTTGACAGTGATTGCTATACAAAAATCAATTCTAGATGATACATATTGGCAAAATATAAATGATTCAAAAATCTTGTTATAAATATCAATATTTTAAAGTAAAACAAATTTTTAGTCATGGATACTTACAATGTATATCAATATCTGATAAATATCCAACTTGTATACAGAATTAGAACTAGAGTAATTCACCTTATATGTATGCTATTCATTTGATGTTACACATTGTGACTATAGCTACTATCCACTGACAAATCCCTAACCATAATGGTACTCAGTCAAGGATACACAATGTGACTATAGCTACTGTCCACTGACAAATCACTAACCATAATGGTACTCAGTCAAGGATACACAATGTGACTATAGCTACTGTCCACTGACAAATCACTAACCATAATGGTACTCAGTCAAGGATACACATTATGACTATAGCTATCGTCCACTGATAAATCACTAACCATAATGGTACTCTGTCAAGGATACACATTATGACTTAGCTACTGTCCACTGACAAATCACTAACTGTAATGGTACTCTGTCAAGGATACACAATGTGACTATATATATAGCTATTGTCCACTGATAAATCACTAACCATAATGGTACTCTGTCAAGGATACACATTATGACTATAGCTACTGTCCACTGACAAATCACTAACCATAATGGTACTCTGTTAAGGATACACAATGTGACTATATATATAGCTATTGTCCACTGATAAATCACTAACCATAATGGTACTCTGTCAAGGATACACATTATGACTATAGCTACTGTCCACTGACAAATCACTAACAGTAATGGTACTATGTCAAGGATACACAATGTGACTATATATATAGCTACTGTCCACTGACAAATCACTAACCATAATGGTACTCTGTCAAGGATACACATTATGACTATAGCTACTGTCCACTGACAAATCACTAACCATAATGGTACTCTGTTAAGGATACACAATGTGACTATATATATAGCTATTGTCCACTGATTAATCACTAACCATAATGGTACTCTGTCAAGGATACACATTATGACTTAGCTACTGTCCACTGACAAATCACTAACCATAATGGTACTCTGTCAAGGATACACAATGTGACTATATATATAGCTACTGTCCACTGACAAATCACTAACCATAATGGTACTCTGTCAAGGATACACATTATGACTATAGCTACTGTCCACTGACAAATCACTAACCATAATGGTACTCTGTTAAGGATACACAATGTGACTATATATATAGCTATTGTCCACTGATAAATCACTAACCATAATGGTACTCTGTCAAGGATACACATTATGACTATAGCTACTGTCCACTGACAAATCACTAACCGTAATGGTACTATGTCAAGGATACACAATGTGACTATATATATAGCTACTGTCCACAGACAAATCACTATAACCATAATGGTACTCTGTCAAGGATACACAATGTGACTATAGCTACTGTCCACTGATAAATCACTAACCATAATGGTACTCTGTTAAGGATACACATTATGACTTAGCTACTGTCCACTGACAAATCACTAACTGTAATGGTACTCTTTGTCAAGGATACACATTTTGACTATAGCTACTGTCTACTGACAAATCACTAACAGTAATGGTACTATGTCAAGGATACACATTAGGACTATAGCTACTGTCCACTGACAAATCACTAACCATAATGGTACTATGTCAAGGATACACAATGTGACTATATATATAGCTACTGTCCACAGACAAATCACTATAACCATAATGGTACTCTGTCAAGGATACACAATGTGACTATAGCTACTGTCCACTGACAAATCATTAACCATAATGGTACTCTGTTAAGGATACACATTATGACTATAGCTACTGTCCACTGACAAATCACTAACTGTAATGGTACTCTTTGTCAAGGATACACAATGTGACTATAGCTACTGTCTACTGACAAATCACTAACAGTAATGGTACTCTTTGTCAAGGATACACATTGGTGACTATAAGCTTCCTCATTTATCCTAGTCAATGCTTTATAAAATTACAGGTTCTCATTAAGAAATAACTAATAACAAAAGCAAGATTCCTTTGTGAAACACAATTTGGTACTTGTTTGTAAATTTCTTTAACCTTTGACCTGTATATAATGACCTTGACCAAATATGAAATTTAAACTTCATTTCTTTTTATCCATGGTTATAACAAAGGTTGGAGTAGAGGACAAGCAATTACATAATAACAAACCAAAAAATGATACAATTCTCATGATCATTTATGAAAAAAAAGAATGAAATTCAAGAGCTAATACATACGCTGAGTACAGCCATTATAGAATACTAGTGTATCACAAACAAAAGCAGAGATCAGTGATTTGTCTTTGAATCTGCTAGAAGCTTAGAAGAACTACAGAGTACAATGAAAAACATGCATCTGTACATCATCCTACAGAAAAAAATGTGGTCTAAATGTTTATGCTGTGATCGCATGCATTTTTTTGTAATGGGAGGGGGTGTCTTCTGTAAAGACCAGTGTCTGTATTCACACTTCAAACTCATGATCAGTATCTATAGACTCTGCACTCTTTAATATCATGCCTTCCTTCTTGAAGGAAGATGGTTAAGATAACATGCACCTATTACAGGTTAAGCTCTTGTCGCAAGTAAATAAGCAGTTAGATTTGCATGCATTAGAGCAGCTCCATTTAGTTAAAGCCGAGCTACCTTTGACCTTCGCCCGCGCCTTTGTGACATTTTAGAAGATGGCATCTCATCAAATTGTGAAGAAGAATGGTCTCGGCTTGTACCTGTGTATGTTGTGTCGTCCTATGTACATTATGTTTCATATTATAAGCTTTTATTGAAATGTTATCGATATAAAAAAGAAAGCAAAACATGTATAAAACATATCTACTCTACATTAAGAAGGATTCAAATAAAAAATGCTACATCTATTGAATCAAAGCATTCAACAAATTTTGAAAATTATGAAATTTTATTATTTCATTTAATTTTTTCTTCCAAGTATAAAAATTTCATGTTTATTTTTCCTTTCCTTATAAATGTCAAAACTGTAAAATAAACAGTCACACTTAGTCTGTTAGATTGAAATTAAAACATAACCAGGGCAATTCTTTGTTTATCACACAAGAAAATATACCATATTTATTTTGATAACACATGCAATATGAAATATATTTTATAAGAGATACAGACAGCAATTCAGTTCTTGAATATATTTTTTGATTTTTTTTGGAAAGTTTCATTTAACATGATGCCCATTGGCCACAATGCTCACCTGAGTCTTCTTGGTCTTGCTGTTCTTTAGATGATTAAATGGTTATTTTGACCCCTAGGGGTCATGACTTTAACAAACTAGTTCCAGACTGAATGGGGATGCTGAATATCTCTGACTAATATGGACTTTCTATTCTAATATACACAATCTGGAAAAGTTTGCATATCAAAGTCACTGCCTAATTATTTCCCTTAAAAGAGGGCACATCTCTTCACTTCAACAAATTTTAACCCCTTGATATCCAAGGATGCTTTGTGGGAAGTTTGGTTGAATCTGGTATAGTGGTTCTTGAGAAAAAGTTGAGATTGTGAAAAGTTAACAGATGACAGATAACAAAAAATGTTGATCAGAAATGCTCACTAGAGCCTTTTTACTCACGTTTGATAAAAATGGTGATAAAATTCATAAACCAGAATATCAAATTTTAAAGATATTGATGAAATAGATAGGACTACTTAGTGCCTCCAAGTTGGAAAAATAATATCTGAATAAATTTTATGTTCACCCTTAATTTATTAAATTACAGATGTACCTATTCAATTTATGAATTATGAATATTTCTGAGTGATAAAAATTCATAATAGTATATGAAAATAATATATGTCATATATATAGTGTAAATGTAAATATCAAATAATATAAATACATGTATCTGAATAAGATATCATATCCATAATGAGAGATTTCAAGTAGTTAATGCACTTAGAATAAATGTATATGCTCTCTAAAAAAAATTAAAAAAAAAAACATTTGTAAAATAGAAAAAAATAGAGATATAAAGAGTACTAATGAATTATGAAACAGATGGGATTACAGTCTAGAAACTAGAAGGATGTTGAAACAGGAGAGAGTCTTAAATACTCATAACTTACTGGCTTCTCTGGACCCTTTGAGAATTTAAGTAATAAAGAGTAATGCTTCAGTGACATTATAAAAGTTTCATTTATGATAAAATATTAAGTTAGAAATTCATTTAAAGAAATGTTATACCACAAACACTCATAAAAAAAATGCACCTACTAAATTATTTCACTTTGAGAATACCCATAAGATAACTGAATTCTATATCAACAAATCAACGAAGCATTAGTTAATTATAGTCACCATGCAAAAAAACATAATCGCAACAAATTATAGCTATGTATCATTGTTGCAAATTGGTTAATCAAATTTAATAACATGATCACTTTGATAAGTATTATGGAAGTCAGTCATCAAATATATATAATTTCAGGCAAAAATTCTTACAGGCTTCCATGCAGTGTTAGGATTTATAAAGAAAGTTCTGCATTCCATATGATTAGAATCATTCCATTCAATACCTGCATTCCACTTGAGTCATGGTCAAAGTAGCCATCAATTTTAGCGAAGCGAACTCGCCTCTGTCCGCTTTGCCGTTTCATATCATGTTCTAGAAAATTTACTGTAACCCCTGGGCCAAATTCCATTTCCCTAAATTTTTTACCATTGTCAAACCCTTTCAGAGCATCAGTTTCAAAGTCCATATCTTCTTCGTCATCCTAACAGTGGATTTCATAAATGAGAGTGGGATGTGGTAAAACAGTTGTAGTGCATGTTTTATACAGACTAACTACCAGTATATACCAGTGCAAAAGACTCCAGAACAGAATATTGGTAACTGTACCTATATACTCTTACAACTTGAGCATTTAAGCTTGATATGTAAACTAACAGTGTTTCAAAAATATCTACCATTTTTATTTCTAGCTGCAAACACCATTATTATCTGTTCAGTTGTTTGAGTGATGTGGTAAAGTTTCAGTTCACTACATATATAGGCATTATCTCCTTTTTACCCAGGTGTTAAATAACATAGCCCAAAACCAGTATTGTTTTTTATTTTAAAGGATGCTTAGAGAGAACCGGAAACCATTATGCTTTATATGGTAACATATCTAATTTTAACTATAATGATCTTTGAGATTATGGCAGACTTAGTTATGCTGCCTTATGCTGTCATTACCTTGCCCTTGCGTCCTTTCTTCCATGCTCCACCCATTAAGGAGGCGTCCGTTCCCATGCGTAATGATAATTCTGCCTGTGACAAACTGGCAAACTCCCTGGGCTCCATTCCATGCTCATTGGCCTTTTCCTGTGCAGAGAATGAGATTCTTTTTGAAGTATAATATGTATAGTTACAAAATTACTCCTATCCTTTTAAATACTAAGGTTATATCAGAGTGAGTTGGTGGCTCTGTTCACATTATAATTCAAATTTCAACTTTAAAATCTCATTTTATTTGTCTGTTCCATCAGTGCTAGAGAATATTAAAACTCAATTATTATTTCCAACCTTTTTCTTTATTTCTGCCAAGTCTGATCAATTTTGACATTCAATACACTACTTACTATGATGTAGGCTTTAAATGACTCCTCTATTTTTGGTAAAATAAAATGCTGCATTTCCTTGATGATAGGAGATTTGGGTCTTTCGGTCATTTTAGAGTTTAATTTTTCACTAAAGTTGACTTTTTTCTTCCCTTGAGCATCAACATAAGTTCTGTAATGATTACACAGTTTCTTTTCAGGAATATACTAAAATATATCAACAGCAAGTCCATGCAAAGGTTCACTCACACATTAGGCTGAACATTTTGCATAAAATTAATGAAAGGAACTTTTTATTATTATTCAATATATAGCAAAACCCTAGCTGACAATAATTATCTACTTTTCAATATTTGAAATACTCTCATACAATTACCTCTGTACGTTTTCCATTCCATTGATTACTTACTTGTACAACATTTGTATGTTCTCCTTTTATTACTTACTTGTACAACATTTGTACATGGCTGTCTTTATTACTTACTTGTACAACATTTGTACATGGCTGTCTTTATTACTTACTTGTACAACATTTGTACATGGCTGTCTTTATTACTTACTTGTACAACATTTGAGCATGGCTGTCTTTATTACTTACTTGTACAACATTTGAGCATGGCTGTCTTTATTACTTACTTGTACAACATTTGTACATGGCTGTCTTTATTACTTACTTGTACAACATTTGTACATGGCTGTCTTTATTACTTACTTGTACAACATTTGTACATGGCTGTCTTTATTACTTACTTGTACAACATTTGTACATGGCTTTCTTTATTACTTACTTGTACAACATTTGTACATGGCTGTCTTTATTACTTACTTGTACAACATTTGTACATGGCTGTCTTTATTACTTACTTGTACAACATTTGTACATGGCTGTCTTTATTACTTACTTGTACAACATTTGTACATGGCTGTCTTTATTACTTACTTGTACAACATTTGTACATGGCTGTCTTTATTACTTACTTGTACAACATTTGTACATGGCTGTCTTTATTACTTACATGTACAACATTTGTACATGGCTGTCTTTATTACTTACTTGTACAACATTTGTACATGGCTGTCTTTATTACTTACATGTACAACATTTGTACATGGCTGTCTTTATTACTTACTTGTACAACATTTGTACATGGCTGTCTTTATTACTTACTTGTACAACATTTGTACATGGCTGTCTTTATTACTTATTTGTACAACATTTGTACATGGCTGTCTTTATTACTTACTTGTACAACATTTGAGCATGGCTGTCTTTATTACTTATTTGTACAACATTTGAGCATGGCTGTCTTTATTACTTACTTGTACAACATTTGAGCATGGCTTTCTTTATTACTTACTTATACAACATTTGAGCATGGCTGTCTTTCTTCTTGGCCTCACTCTTACTGTTGCCAAAATTCAGGTAGTTCTCAATGTCAAAATACATATACACCATGTTGGCCCTCTCTTTGTCCTCAAACTCAGCAAGGCTCTTCTTGAAATTGAGCATGATTCTGGAGGAAAAGAAATATGGAATTTACAGTTATATTTTACTTTGCATCAATCACCCAATTCTCCTGGTCTTCTGTGAGAATTCAGACTTTGAATTCCTGATATGGATATGAGTACTTTAATACTCACTGTTTATTGTGGAGCATGTCAACAAATGGAGGGGGAGGTTTGGAGGGTTTCTTTTCCCCATCAATGTCAAAATCCATATCCTCCTCATCCTCCTTCTGTAAGCACATTATAAATCAAATTCAGTATTTTTTTTTTTTTTAAAAACGAGGGAAAATTTTTTGGACTTACTTCAGCTAAACAAAATTTTCCTTGAAAAAGTAAACAATTTTGAAGCCAGTATTTGTTACCTCGGGTTCTTTCTTCCTTTTGGCCTCTCTCACTCTCCGATAAGCTGCACGTATTGCCTTCTTTCTCTCCCTTTCCATTTCTTTCCTCTTGGCCCTGGCCTTTGCCCTCCTTTCTGCCCTCTCCTCAGGTCCAAGTAGATCAGCAGATCTCAGTGCAGCTCGTAGTCTAGCTTGTCTCTCAGAGTCAGTTGTTGGAATTCTGAACACAAGATTTTATCAATTATCACTGTTTCAGGCAGTCATTGCATTCCAGGGAAATGTAGTACATATTTTCATATTGAAATGCTACTCAAATGCATCTCACAAACAAAATGTGACAATCCTATCAGGATCCAACATTTCAATGTCTACACTTACATCTACAGAACAAATCCATGGGAAAAAGAAATTCAATCTGCCCTCACATGCATTGACATACATTTCAAAACATCAAAATAGTATCATTCTTAGCAAAGAAAAACAAAGCGACCAATTTAAATTGACTGTAAGAATTAAATAGCTGTAAACTCTTGTGATGTATTACTATTTAATCCAGGACAGATCTCCGACACATAGCAGATTAAATTGAAAGATGGGTCAATTAAATAATCAATCTAGATAAATTGGAATTAGTTAAGATTGCAAAATTAATCTGACCTGGTTCTTCTGACCTATATAACTCTGAAAATGGAAATTCTCATATTGATAATTATTACAATTAATAATTTATTGACAAATGATCCAGTGCTTGCCTGAGCACCTGAGGTAGCTATTGAAGTAAATAAAAGTTTACAAATCAACTAAATGTTAACTCATACTAATTATATAGTAATTAACTCATAGCAATTATAAACATATAATGAGAAGGGAACTTAGCAGTAGTAATGTTAGAGGCATAAGGGTAGGGGTAATTGATTAAAAAACCTAATGCACACAGAATTCATAATTGTTAGTTCAAAACATTCAAATTTATTTTGACAAACTTCCTAAATACAATAAAGGGAATTCAATTTGTTACTGTAAAAATAACTGGGAGTCACTGTTAAATGAAACAAAGAACTTAAACAATACAGGGGTATTTAACTTCTTGTTATACCCACTTCTGTCTCTTTACAAAAGAAATTTGGGTACAGCGCCCTGACGTGGTCGATCTGAAATCCCAATATGTCCAAAATAATTCTGTGCAGCAAACCAAAGCATTTTGTGACCAGCAAGTGATATCAAGCAACAGCATTATATATATCTCTCCCATAAACTTCATGAAAAAGCAAATTGACAATCAAAATGAGTTTTAAGACTTTAAACCCCCTTATAAATTTATGTGACAATTAAACTATCAATGCTTTTTTGTGCATTAATCCTGCAGTCATCACACATTTGTTGAGTAATTCTGTGAAGTCAGTTTGGATATATAATATACACTGTTTATACAATGCAGCCATTCATATCAGCTGTGTTGCGTGAATTATCAGTTGATATATATTACTGTATACCTCTCTTCTTCCACAACAACTGGAACCTCCTCCTCCTCCCTTCTATATATAGCATAAAGTACCAATCAAGTTTACATAAACACAATCTAGACAGTCAAAATCACAAAGTACTTGTATAGCAGTTTTTGAAATAACTGTGCCACCTCCCCCCACCCAAAAAACAGAGGTACTGTGAGCACTGAGCTCACAAAATGATATCCCCCATCCCATATGTTTATAATGACATGTTTTGCTATGGGAGACCTGAAATAAGTGTCTGATCAAAAAGTAAAATAGGAGTTGCACAATGGCACTATGTAACAAAGATTCTGTGAAAGATTCAGTGGTTTAAGAAGAGTTGCAGATAAGAGATGTATACCAATCAATATTATAGAAAGAATGGCAGTGTCTATGTTATGCTGATTGGAAACCCAAAGTTTGTGTCTGATCAAAAAATAAAATAGGAGGTGCACAATGGCACTTTGTAACAAAGATTCTGTGAAAGTCTAGAACAGCTACAATGTAGATGGACCCCCATCACTATACATCCCCCTCTTTTCAAGCGGGGTAGAATAAAATACATGAATTGGCATGTATATCTTGACATTTGTTTACCAGTATATTTTTATTTAAATGACAACCTCTTTTTTGTTTTCTGATACTGACCTTTTGACCCATGGGTCAGGTCGAGTGATGATCAACTCATCATTAGTCACCACAATGTCTATGACATCAGCAGATTCTGGGGGACTCAAGGCACCATCTCTAACATGAGCACTACAAACATACACAAAACTCAAGAGACTGTGTTCAGCATGTACACATCTTTTTCATCAAATAATTATACAAAATGTTTTAGATTTCTATCATATATCAACATGATTGTGAAAATATAGACATATGGTCCATATACTGAGAAATCTCGGGTCATCAAATTTTTAGTAAACTTACAAAAAAATTCTGATTGAAATTGATAATAAATTGACTGAGTCTGAAAATTTAAAAATTCATTATAATTTTACCATCGAAAGAATAAATTAGATGTAGTTTTAACATGGCATCTGATAAATTTATGTATAAGCCTAACTATTCACACTATTCAACAATGACAAAATAGGCAATACTTACTCCAAAAACGTTTTTAAATCTTCCTTAAGATAATTAATCCAGTTTTGTTCCAATAACTTTACAATCCGAGCTTTAGCTGGTATAAAAATGTTGGCCTCCACAAAATCTTTGGCACTGATCAATGTCTGATGTAGCCTGGCTCTTTCTAAATCAGAGGCACCTAGAAAAATAAGCATAGAGGTCCCACTGATGAAAATACAACACAGGACTTATAGGCAACATTTAATATTAATTCAAATTCTCAAGGACTGAAATCCTTGCAAATTCTGTCAGCTTAACTTTTCAATCTTGAGCATGAAAGTAAAATTTAATCTACTTTCATTGTGTAATACCCTTAAAACAACTAAACATTATATTCCATGGATTAGTATTAACTTGAATAAACCACTTTGAAAACCTAAATTTTAACTTAACTAATCTGATCAGTTTATTCTTGCACTTTTCCATATTAAATACCCAATGTTATGAACAATCCATTGACCTAATAAAACATTAATGTTAAACCTAATTCCATGGAAGGAAGAAATACTTATGCATCAACATCTAAACATCTAATGAATAAAAAACTTTCAAATGAAACTTCCATAATACATAATTCTGCAAAATACACTCAAAATGGTCATTATGAAAGATTTGAATTCCCTATTTTAAAATGACCTTTGCTTAGAAGTGCTAAAAATAAACTACAGACTGTATGCCCTGATATGGCTTTATATAAAACAGGAATTTTTAATTCCAATCCCTGCAAGGTGACCTTAGGTTTCTGAAATGACCTCAGTCTGGGGTCATAACACACTTATATGCAATCTTTCTTCATGTGTCTGTCTAACACAGTTACCAGGTATGTCTGAACACATAGTGGAAGAGAACTGAACATGCACGGTGATCCAAGAACATGTATATCTGCCATAAATTACAATAAAAGATGTTCTTTAAAACACATCTTTAAATCATAATATCAATAACCATAATAAATCCTTACAATTTATAATCAATCTGAAAATAGATTATTTTTGTAATCTTTAAAATCTAACAAACTTTAAGACTCAAAATTTCAATGTTACTTATTTTTCCTAAACATAATTGTTTTCAGGATTCTTTCTTAACTCAAATTGGAAAAGCAAAAAAAACCTTGCTTTATACCACACATGAGAATGTTCACCAAAGTGTACACAGTCTCACCTATTGGGTAGTTTGAACCATTAGGAAAGTAGGAGTTGTAGATATTCCAGGCATGACAGAGTCTGAGGAGGCGATCAGCTGATCTGTCTTCTTCCTTCCCGTAATCCGTCACGTCCAGCCAGAACAGCAAGCAGGATAACAGCCTCTTATCCTCCTGTCTAATGATGAAATAAAACAATACAGTGATTATACAGAAAACCAAGAAAGGCAAATAGCTTCCATTGAACAATGCAATCAAAAATGTTTAATTAGAAGTATATTATCATAGTCTCATGACCAGGCATTCAAAATAACAATTCATATTCACCAAAGTTTATATAATTATAGGAATGCATGTATTATACAAATATAATTCTTAAATAGAAATCAAGATATTCAAACTCAACATTAGATTTATGTCTAATCTCAGTTAATGGTCTTGATGGCATTCAAATCTATTTTCAAATACAAATAGTTGCAATTAATATCATCATTACTGATTGCCACACACTGGCAGTTTCATTCACAAACATTGTACTGTCCTATAATAACAAGCTACACTTACTTTTCTAGATATCTCTGAAATGGGCCACCTGCAAGCTTATCCGATGTCAAGGCAACTAAAAATCTGTCTTTAGTCAATCTACAAGGATGATAAAAACATTCATTAATTAATACTTATAATATTTATATATTTTTGCTGGAACTTTAATTCATCATCTATGACTAAAAATCCTATCACATGTTGATAACTTACTGGAATTACAAAATAATGTGGATAAAAGTATGGTAAATTTGTGCTGCTAAAGGCAGATGAAGGAAACTTGAAAATGGATGAAAGTAATTTGCTGTAAAGGTGAAGGAAGATGAAAATAAGTAAATGGACTGCTGGGGTTGGATGAAGTAACATCTTCGACAAGTAAGGGTAGACGAGGTAACTTAAAGGACTGATTGGGTATATGAAATAACTTAATTACTGGACAGGTGAGGATGGATTGAATAATTTACTGGACTGATAAGGGTGGATGAAATGACTTACTGGACTGGTAAAAGTGATTGGAAGAACTTCCTAGAATGGTGAGATTGAACAGAATAACTTACTGGACAGGTGAGAGTGGATAGAATAATGTACCAGACTGGATAGGGTGTAGGGAATAAACTAACTAGACAGATGAGAGTTGGTGGAATAACTTACTGGTCTATTGAAAGTGGACAGAATAACTTCCTGGACTTGTGGATGAAATAACTTACTGGACTGGTAAAGTGGATGAGAACTTAATTCACTGGTCAGAATGGATGGAATAGATAGAAAGATGAGAGTAGATGAGATAACTTACTGGACTGGTGAGGGTGGATGAAGAGCTGGTTTTAATTTGGCAGAAGATATCCTTGAGTCCAGCTTCCTTCCGCCACGGCTGAGGAAGTCCCAGCTTTTGGTTTTGGAGTATGTTAACACATCATCGGGGCGCACTGGCATTGAATTGACTAGAGAGATTGATGGCAGGAAGGGCGTTATTTTCCTCATAGAGTTTTCTACTTTGATACCTTTGATTCCCATAATATTTCCAATATCCCTGTAAAAATAAATCACAAAGCAAAAATTACAGATGTTTCACACATAATAAAAACCTTTATATTTCAAGCAAAATTAATATCTTTTCAGCCTAAAAATCAGAAAATGTTAATAAATTAATCACCTGATTATTACATGGACATAGGAAATAAAAGAGACTTTCAATACCATTATTAAAATGATATAACATCATAAAATTTATCACAATCACTTTACATTTTAGAAAGAAAACCAAATTGCATAACATTTTGTTTTTAAAATAACTTTCTTTTACCTACCTGAGTTCTCGTAACCTTTCCATATGGATGAGGTACCGAGGGACCCAGTAGGCACGTAATCTCCGGAGGACATCATACTGGGTGCGGATAAACACTGTATGACTGAGAGAGGAATTACGGGAGGCTTTGGTTATCTGATCTCGTGCTTCCTCTGTTAAGTTCATCTTGTATTTGTCTTGAATATCCCTAAATTTGAATAAAATCATATTTAAATCAAAGCTATTTCACGAGATATTATTCAATATTTTTAATAACTCAGAAAAATGAAGTCCTCATTGAAATCACAACATGTGATTATTTATCCATAACCAACCTATACAGTCTACTCCTGATATCCATATTGACAACTTCATCAAAGTTTTCCATGGCATCTTTGAAGTACTCACAGTCTAACCAAAAGTTAAGGAGATGAATACCTGCTGTATCTGATAAGAACTCTTTAAAGCCCTCCATACTGTTTTGCTATAAAACAAAAATCTAGTAATTTTGCACTCATTTGGTGAATCTGAGTTAGAGTTATTTCCCTTGGAGATTTTTTTCCCTGTACAAATCATTTAACATTTTGAGTACTTAAGCAGGGTTTTCACTAAGAATTGAATTAGAAAAGGACATTAAAAAAGTAGAAGGGGGTCTGGGGTTTCTCCCCTAATTGGGAGTTTAGGGGGAATACCAAAAATAACACAGGGATAACGTCATTATAGGTGGGGAAATTTTCCCGTCCCCAGGTCTTAAGGACAACCCTGCTTAAGCATTTTAGAACATTTTTCCTTTCTCTCTTACTTTGCTTACAAAATGCCTTTTGATTATACATGTACCATTTTTCCTCACCTTTCCTAGCACTTGTTCCTTTAGCTGTTGAAGAGACATTTTCAGCCTCCCTTCCATATTTTTGACATCATTTTCTGTCTGTTCCTCACTTGCATGCTCCTCTTGAAAGGACACATACACTCTTCCATCAGGGTCAGGTTCATCCTCCCCAAACAGGAAATCAAAGTCCCCAAACATCGGGTGTCGCATGTAATCGGCATAATTCAGAGGCGCTGACAGGACTCTACAAGAGAAAAAAACCTAGGTAGTTTATTCCCATTATGACTCCCCAGTTTCTTAAACCAGTAATCATATGGATACATTCATACCTAGCATGCCTCAGAAATGCTTCCTCTGCCTCTGATTTTTGTCGTTTCTCCTTGTGAGCTGAATGTTTACTTTTGACATCACCTGTTAAGGGGGATACAATGCAGACTTGTAACAATGATCTTCAACTCTTAATAGTTATTTACAATTATGAGTCTCTTATAAAAACATATACTGTCTTCTTTTTCTTTAACTTAATATTCTTGTTCACATCCATGCAATTATGGACATGCATACTTTTTCGTGGCAAAATCAGACAACTTTTAACTTCATGATTAAAATAGAAATCAATCATGCATTTTGAATCCTTAGTAACTTACTGGTCACCGGATCAAATTTCACCACAGAGGGTTTCCTGACAGGACTTTCATCTTTATCATTGACTTCCCTTCAAAAATAGAGTTTACTGTACAATTAACCTTTCTTTTTTATTATTTTCAAAAGTCAATATTAAGTTGTTTTTTTTCAATTTATAGATGACTGAACTTAAGAATCAGTTTATGATATATGTGAAATTTTGTTTACTTGAACTTCTTCTTGAGGGAGGCACTTTTGGGCTGAACTTCTGAGGGTGGGGGTTCCTGAGTAGTGGGGGTGGCTGTACTCCCTTGTACATAAAACTCTACAACACAAAGGATTTCATTTTCAATTCAATAATACAACATGTTTATTCATCTGAAACAAATTGGTTGGGATAATATACAAGAGAATTTTGCGGGATAATATGTAAAATTTGTGCTGGGAGATGTTCGAAACATTCATTTACAAATTAATAAGTTGTCATTCCATTTTAGAACCCTAATCCCTCTTAAGAACAGACCTGTTTACCCAAATTGTTGTCTCTCAGTATGTTTTATTAGATTTGTCAGTGAGATTTTGCATTTCCCGTAAGATTTCACTTTTCATCGACTGTACATATATTACTAGAAAACAACTACATTTCTGATTACCAAAACATGGTTTAATAACAAAGCAAAACATCATACCCTGCTTTCTTTTGAGTGATTTCTGTCGTTTTTTAAACCACCGCATTTTGGCAACTTAAATGTTTGAAATTTTTATCTTTTTTAGCAATTAAAAAGCGTCAAACTGAGACAGATAAGGAAAACTAATTGCTAAAATCCATATGAACGGATTTCTGTATTTTCATTATAGCAAAACGTGAGACGTATTTTGGACTGAAAATCCGTACAAAATACGGTGAAATCGTAAGAGTAAACAGGTCTGTAAGAAGTATTCATAACTGCTTTATTCTTCATAATAATGACCTGCTTCTGAATCCAGCTTTATTGGCATGCTGACGGCTCTGCTTCCTGGCCGCTGATATTTGAACAAAGTAGAATTCTGGAACTGGTTCTGAATAGAGGCCATCTCCTCATCATCAATCTCATCATGTCCACTGTTGTCAGCGCTGTTACTCAGACTAGAGACATAACTCTCGGACTGGCGACTGTAACCACGTAACTGGTTACTGGAGTTACGACTAGCTGAGTACCTGTCATCAAGAGGACGTAAGAGGAGCTTGCAGAGTTTAAATTCCCTGAATAGCTGTGTGCTGTAATAAAATGTCAAAAAATTTATATGAAGGTCATAAATACATAAAAATGAAGTTTTTATTGTAACCAATTTTTTAAAAACAAATTCTATAAAGCTTAATTTATTTTAGTCATGAAAACTACATTATTTATATCCCTAATTCTAAAACATTTAGTGGAGAAGTCGGCAAACTCTGAATCAAAGTGGATTAGAACACCAGTGAATCAATGTTGAACCCCAATTTCTCAGCTTTGTTCAATAATGTAGACCAAAAGAAAATGCAATGATGTATTGTGCATATATAAATTTTAGACTTCTAATTTTCATCCAAAATGCAGCAAAAAACAAGCTTGTTCCATTTTAGTTTACTCAATAATTTTGTATTCCATTATGTCTTATTTGTTGAATTTGCTGTGCACTTCCTTAAGTTGATAACAAACTGGTTAAAAATAAATGAGGATTAAATTTTCAAGATTACACAAAACATGTAACAGAAAATGTCAACTTAGTGGCCACCATGGTATTCAAACTATCATAAAACCTTGGGTTGGCAGTTTATTAAAATACTAAATTATGTATTATTATTAATTCAAAACATCTTACAGAGTAATTATTGAACACTAGACTACCTGAAAAGTTCACTTGGATTTGAAAATTATAGATACATAAGTATGTACATGTTCTAATGATTGAATAAAAATAAGCCATTATTAAAATGTGTATTGATAAAATTTTGTTAATAGCTGCCGCAGTACCTATAATCATTAGGTCTGTGATAAATGCATTCAAGTCTTGGAAACCTTAAATTTACAGCATACATTCTAATACTCTACTCTGTTCATGACAGTTTAACAATTTAATACCTTTCAAAATACCTTTATCATCAGGTACATAAAAGCCTAAGCTTAAGTACACCTGATAAATATTCTTGTCTACCTGAACAGGTAAGTGTTAAATATCTACCTGAGAAATAGAGGTAGTCGCTCTTCCCTGGCCCACTCCAGTAGTTTATCTCTCTCACTGTCTGTGGTGCCATAAGGTAGATTATCCTCCTCACTGGATTCTGAGCTGACACTTGAGGAGTCTCTATGCAGATGTTTGGAGGCATCCTCAAAGTCCCCTGTAAGACGATTGTACCTCAAAGGCTGGGGAAACACCTACAAAAAAACAAATCAATTTACACAATAATCTATCAGACAAACTCATTGAAACACAAAACCTATATAGATATTGAAAGTCTGGCAGTGCAGACTAAAAGGGAAATTTTCAATGACAATTTGAAAATAATAAACTGATAAAGAGGTGCTACTGAATTGAAGATATATGTATATACAGTAAAACAACCTTATAAGGAAGTGCTTGTGATAGACAATTTTGCTTCGTTACGAACGAAATTCACTATATCCGATAAATTCACAATATATTGTAAAGTTAAGGGGACTGAAATTCACTTGCTATAAGTGTCAATTCATTATAAACGTGTTCACTATATGCATGTATTACTGTATGCATATAGAAACTCAAATTCGTGAATTTTCAAAGATTATCAGGGTTGTCCCTAAGACCCTGGGGCCAGTGAATTTCCCCGCCTTTAAATGCTTTAATGACGTAATACCTCGGTTATGCTGGTATTATTCCTTGGGTTTAGGCATATATATACAATATAATATATTTAGTTGATTTATATGCAAATTAAGATTATTAGTTAATTTGTTTCAAATTCATCTCTTAAATCATGTCTATTTAATTAAGTTTTATATGTGTATTATACTCACACCTCAATCTTCATGTACATTGCATAATGCCTATTCCTGAATAAAGATTATTATTATTATTACCCATCAAACCCCTGTTAGGGAGAAACCACAGTTCCCCTTCTACTTTTTTAATGTCCCCTGCTATTTCAATTCTTAGGGGCAACCCTGGACTATGTGCCTGAAATGACTTTAGTCTGAAAAACTATCAGGAAGTTCATCTAGTGGTGTTCTAATCATTGATTATAACAGAAAATCAGTTGATTGCTAGCATATTTCAAGTGCCTGATTACAAAAAATTTATTTGGATTAATTGGTTTATCTTTTTTTTTTTTTTTTTTTTTTTTTTACAAAAGTAATAGTTTTTAAGCTGAATATTCAAGTTGCCACTTATATATTAACTTATATTTGTATGGTAATGGCACAGACAAATTGGTCAACATAGGGCTTATATAACTTGGAAATAAGATCTGCTCCAAAAACACTCATCCGGAAAATGTAGGTCAGATCCAACCCTTAGACGTATCATCCATGCAAGTCTGGTCAATATAGGGCTTATATAATTACTTGGAAATGAGATCTGCTCCAAAATTTTTAACCTGCTCCAAAAGCATTAGTATAGTCATTCTTTAGTTGAAATTGCAGCATCTGAAACCTTGACTAGTACAATAAAACATACTAGAAGGGTATTACATGTACATAAGCTGGCCCCAAATTTGTTGAGGTGAGCTAAAAAAAAAAAAAAGAGTACTTATGGTTCTTAATTTTATCAATACATTAGCATCTGTTTCTACAAGTAGCACAAGCCCTCCCAAGAGAGAAATAAATAATACAGTTTATCATATGATTGAATAATTTCCCTCTTTCTGATTGGCTGAGATCCAACAATGTTAGAAAAATACTACATTATATTGACCTACACGTGACCTTCCAGGTCAATATAAGGAATTATTGCAGGTCAATATAATGAATCACGTGACCTTCCAGGTCAATATAAGGAATTATTGCAGGTCAATATAATGAATTATTCCTGTTCCATTTTTTCATGTTACAATGTGTTCTTGTTGAAATTTCTCGTTAAAACTTTCAATTAAAGCAAAAAAAAAAAAAAAACAGTCTTGTAGGAGTTTGCTATCATTTAATCATATAATAAAACAGTTATTGCTGTTTTTTGAGGTCAATACGATGATTTAGACACCTTCGAATTACAATATTCACCTCGCCCTTCAGGCTTGGTGAATATTGTACTCCTCAGGTGTCTAAATCATCGTATTGACCTCAAAAACCAGCAATAATTGTATAATAATTTGTCCAAACTGGATACCATATGCAGGGGAAAATTGAGATAATTATATTTCCCTTTGTATTAATCACAAGTATGTTGGCAGAATATTATTAAATGATTAAATCATTCCATATTCTTGGATTCCAGAAATTAATTAAGGGTTAAAACATGACTTGCAGTTAATTGTTTTTTTTTTGTTCACCAAGATTGAGACTTAATTCAAACTCACCTATGTAAACAGAGTCAAATTCTACAGACAGGTTTATAACAAAGTGCGTGTTTTGTCAAGTCAAATAGCACATTTAGCATAAATACATTAACGATTTGACAATTAATTATTAGAATAACATTGAACTTTTTTCTATAAACATTCATGTCACACCTTTAATATTAGGGTGTTATTTTAAATTAGAAAATTGAGGTTGATCCCGATTTATACTTTGATTTGTAAACAATGTATTGTTACATGTAGGAGTTAAAAGCAAGCATTTTTTAATTAAGCAGGGCTCTAATTGGCAAACTAATTTAGTCGCCATGGCACCTAAAAATTTTGATTGGCACCTAAGATTTCTCTGCAAGTCACCAAATTGGCTAACATCTTAAATTGACTTGGCGAGCATTAAATTTCGAAAATGTAAATTTTTTAACATTTTTTTTCTACAGAGGAGAAAGCATTTTAAAAGTTAGCAATGAAAATGTCTTGTGTTTTCTTTGTCCTCTTCTTTTTTTTTTTATCATGCATGTGCGAATGAAATTTCACATCACGTCAGTCAGTGCACGCAGATCTCAGACCATATAAAACAACAGAAGTCCCAAGTAATGGTTGGCTTCAGAAAATTGACAGTTGTGAAACGCAGTGTGGACAGGTGATGTGGTCAATTGTTTGTCAATTAAATTCTCACTCATTAGAAATAATATAGTCTAGACATTTATGTTAGGTTGTAACTGTGCAAAAGAGTATAAAATGTAAATCTTGTAAGCAATACTTGATATTATTACATGTACAGCTTGAAAGAATTTGTCACAAGATTCTCAAACTTTTCAAAATGATAAATTAGCATTTGCTTATCAAAATATTAAAAATATTAAAAATATATGGTATGTTTCCATGCTATTAAATGTAGTGCAGCCTGTGCAACTTGGAATGATAATTTTACACTGTGACTACATATTTTCAGCCATTTTTAGGGGTACGTACTGGTCATAAAGAGAATATAAAAAATCACAACAATACTTCTTCTAACATCGTCATTTATAGACTTTATTAACTGAACCGTATTAAGCAATATTATTCAAGAATAAATTCTGTTTTATTCAATTGACATGAAAGATTGAGTCCACATTTCAACAAATAAATAGGCAAATGTGCACAATATTTTTTGAGTCAATTCGCCACCTATATTTGTAAATATTTTTCAAAACTCTTTGTCAGAATGTTTTCAATCTTTAACATGATGAAGAACATACCCAAATAATTACAAAAAGTGATTAAAATATATACTTTTCCCCGCAAACGAATGAGAGACACTCTGTTTATCAAACTTCTTTTGTTGACCTTTTTGCACTTACACAGGATTTAATTATTAAATGACTGTTTTGGGGTCACATTCAGATTTACAATGTAAATATTTATCAAAAAATGTAATTTTTTTTAATTAAAAAGATAATATTTTAGGGAAACATTATTATTATACATGTACACCAACCATTATGAATAACAAATAATTAAGAAAGGGAATGCAAGCCATGATAGACATTACAAAATTTACACACAATTTTTAACAGATCTTTGACTGAGATACATTTCATCATGATATTGTACTATTTAGATTTCTTGGGATTTTTGATTGCCTTCAAAATAGTTGCATGCCATTCACATTATCACAGTTGTGTAACTTCATTACATGAGACAGTCATAATGGATCTAGCACCAAAAAGATGGTCTAAACTCATTTACTTGATATGACGTCATACGACATAAGTTCTACGTTAAAAAGAAAGGATCCAATAAAACTTTTTTGAATATGAGTTTTTATATCATATCAAACAAAGGCAATGATTGTACGATCCTTTTCCATGTTGGCCAGTAGGAGAGAAAGCTATACTTGCTATATGAAGACTATGAACATTGGCTTGAGACGATGGAGTTTAACATGCATGTTTAAGTTAAAAACTTTCGGCATTTAGCTGGCTTATATTAATTGCTGATTTTTTCTTCACAATCGCAATAGACACCCCCCCTCTTCCTGGGACTAACCAAATGGGTCTGTATATTGGCTAATATCAGTTTTTAAATTGGCCTATAAGAAAATTTTGCCTGGCGACTAAAAATTTGCATTGGCAACTAAATTTTTTTTTATTATGAGCCAGCTGGCGCCTAAATTTTATAGGTCACTTAGAGGCCTGTTAAGTAGTAAATATGCAACTGAACCTCATGTTTAGTTAAGTGGGTTGTTTTACCATCAGGCTTCAAATGTATTCTGTCATTCAGTAATATTCAGTAATACACAAAACGATCTAGTTGGAGCAGACCAAAGATGTAGTTGGAGCGGATCAAAGAGCTAATTTTAATTAGATTGGTCATTCAGCTAGCACATCAGGTGTTAATTACAATAAAGTAGCTAAAGTAATTGTGTCTTGCCAGATTAAAGGTATATAAATAATTACCATTAATTATGAGCAGCTGCGACTGTTCAGATTAGAGAATCCAGAATCAGAGCTCCAGATAATTTTTTACTTCAAATTGTATTTACTCCCTGATTTTCAAATCAATGCAGATTTTGTTTTTCAGCAAAATAATCAAAAAGTATTTTGTTAATCTATTGCTCTTTTGACATCTTATGTGAATTTTAGCTTATTATCAAAATAAGTGTGTTTTAAAAGAGGAATGTAAAAAAAGAACAGTTTCTGCATTTATCAATTAGGTTAATGAAATTTGAAAAATTTTGTCAGCTTTTAGCTACAACTGAGAAACATTTCATTTTTTTTCACCAGGAAGACCATACAGTAGGCAAAGTTGACACGGGCACACAGAAATCCATTTAAGATTAAAGCCTATATCGACGGCAGCAAGAGTTACCTAGAAAAATATCCTTCCTTTGGCCAGATAAAATTAATCTTTAGATTCTCATCATATCCATACATGCCCCTCTCAAAATATCCAGCCCCGTTGTTTTCCATTTTGTTTGTTTGTTTTTTTAAATCAAAATTATATACTACGTTTTGCTATATAAATTGTTGGCATCGATCGAAGTACATGTAAAAGTTTTAGAGTTACTCCCCGTTTGCATTAAAAGTCTTATAGCACAGGATCATGTGGAAAGCAAAGAAGTATTTAATTATTTTATACAATTAATAAAGGTTGTCATCGGACTTTAGATGATATTATTGCTACAGAAAATGGTAAATATACAAGAAATGTTTAATAAACAGTGATAAAGGATAAATTAGACACCATGCATGTTTTGTGCAATTTTGACAATATCGACGTGTACGCGTCAAGAACGAAATTTGGATGCTATATGAACATTGGAAATCTGTGATAATTTCAGACAAAGAATGAGACAGTATTTAACATTGAATTTCAAATCTTTCTCACGAACTGGAATTCGGCCTCGGTTATTCCGAATACGCCTATAAATCAAAAAATTCAAACACTGAGCTGACCTTAGTTAAATCGTACTTGTATCATTGAATCCATCATATGCAGTATTTTGGTAGTGTAATGCTTATTTATGATTGCTAATGCATAAGTATACACCCTGTTTTAATTTTTAATGCGTATTTTGAAAAATTCAAAGCATATTTCTGCAAATACGCACCTTATCTGGAGCTCTGAGAATATACAGATTTTTTTTAATACTACAAATGATAAAGAAATGCATGAGACCAAAATTTAAGGCCAGAATGTATGAAATTCTAGAGTACTGACTACTCCGAATTCAGGTTAGAAAAATTAAACTAACTTTTGCTCTGCTCCCAGTAAGGTTGGCAGAGGCAAAAGATAGAACCAGGGATCTTTATACTAATAGGTCCTTGCCTATATAATTATCTTAACGTACGTCCCCGACAGAACTGATCTCTCTGCAAGATGTACACATTAAATATCTGCTTATCCATTTGATTGTTTGATTCTCTGAGAACAACCCAAATAAGATTTAAATATGCTATTAAGATCCAATTACCAGGTATGTAAATTGTGGCACCTCTTGAGTAGTTTAACAAATTAATTATATATATATTGATCTCGACCCCAAAGAAAGCTGGTAAACGACGAATAAAGAGCCCTACTAAATGTCCCCACGTTGCCGTTAATGATGAGCAGTTGGTATATCGTATATGTACATAAATGTCCTTACTAAATGTTTACATTCTCAAAGAAGCTAGAGAACATAACTCTTTGCATTTAACTTACAGCATGATTCAATAAAATACATTTAATGCACTTCTTTTTAGAAAACCAAACTTGACAACTTCACCGACTTCCTCAATCTGCACATGTTTCCAACCTCCTTTCACTGGAGAGTATCAATGACGTAATTTTAATAGTTACACAGTGCGCATTTTTTGATTATCTGCTTGATAACCGAGAAAATTTAGTTAGGGAAAATATAAAAGAATTGTTTCCGTTTAAAACGATATAAATCATTTATTATAAAGTAAATATTTTGATCGGAATTACATGTATAGTGCCGAAAATTTCTTAAAGTGATAAGAAAGCCTGAAACACCTACCGGTAATGACAAAAAGGCATTGAAATAATCCAGGAACAAATCGTCATAAGCCAGTAAATCCTCAAGGTTTTCTCCCGTGATCTCTAGTGCTGAAATAAAGATATACAAGTCAGTTCGATGTCATAAATGTTTGGTGAATTTGTGATGCCGAAGAGTTAAAAGTTAGAAAACTGAGCAGAAAATTGTTTTCTCCTTAATTGAAGACACTGATGATGCAGATGACAATGATAAAGTGAAAACAATGATGACGCGGATGCTGCTGATGATAAACTTTACATTAATGGCATTTTGGATGTACAATAAAAATGAAAGTGAAGAAAAAAATGTGTCACCCTGCTCGTAATTCCGACACGACCATGCCGTCCAGGGTATGAATGTTAAAGATGTTGATTGCCTTCTATCTTGGCTCAAGAAAGATCCATCGATATCCGTCATTAGTGACAGATATCATTAATCACAACACATTAAATATGTAAGTCTTAATCTCATAACATATTAGAAAATAATTGTTTCAAAAAACACCTTGTCTGGTCATTTAAAACTAGAATTTCACTTATATTCCCCCAAACTGACAAAAACACAATAGGAGTATATCCTTCACTTCCACGCAAAACCAATTTTGGCAGAGACTCCCTCTACTCATTTTGTTCAAATACAGAAGATAATATATTCCCAGGTGTAAAATTTGGGGAGAAAGTTACGGGTGCACAGTGTCACAGCGACCAAACAGTGAGGGTATTTGAGGCAGTCATGTTAGAACTTTATTTCGGAAACTAATTTATTATTCGGTAATCAATCGTTTTTAAAAGCTACCACACCAGATAAGTGCCAGAAATGACGAACTCTTGTTGATTTTGCTCTCGACGAACAAATAAACCCAAATTCATGAAAACGTGTGTCTAGCCTGTGTCAATTTTCCCCTTTTATTGTACCAGGCGAAACTATGCAACCAAAGAGGCATTTTTTCTTTTGTCTCCACCTGCCAATTAAGATTTTTATAGACACACTAAGGAAATCTCAAACGTTCCAATGTTATATCAGATAAAGAAATGCCAATGTATTTTCTTTAAAATGAAACATCATTTTGCCACTGGTACAAACCACTTCTAAGGTTTGCTTATAACTTAATTGAATAGTTTCACGACATTCTAAAAATACTTGTACAAGGGAGACTAGGAACAGTTTTTTCCTTTTTTCTCTCTCTCTCTCATTTTAATGCATATAAGGAGAGGACGTTCTAAGTTTTAAGAACTTGTGTCCGATCCTTTTGTTGTAATATCTAAACAATAAAATATGTTCAAACCAATGCATATAATAGGGTTTTGTGAGGTGTTTTCTTGGACTATAATGTACAATGCATCAGGACACGTGATTAACCAAAAAAAAAAAAAAAAAAAAAAAAAAAAAAAAAATACTGAGCACATACGTAGTCATAACCGTATTTTTCTAATGATTATCAGTGATTCAATCTTCATTCTTTGAAAAAGATCTTGTTCCAATTTCTTAATTGAAAACAAAGGATAAAAATCAGATCTTTTCCAACTTATTGAAGGTCCGCTGCATTAAGGGTAACCAGATAGGTAAATAATTATATAGTACTCCATGTTAATATACTCCATGCTGTGGTCTACTGTGATTATTAGGTATTGCCCAAAAAAAAAATTACTTTGAAATTAACAACACAGAAATTTTAACAAAAGAATATGAAAATAACTTTGAAAATTGTTTGAAAAAAAAATGATGAGCAAAGCTGATTCTTAATATTAAAAGAATATATTGTTTTTCGTAGGGTTGCAAATACTGGGGACAACTGAAGTTTTGATGCTTTAAAAAAAATCCTGAGAGAGAATTTTTGGTGCTATCAGTCACATACTTACACGTCTGAAAATCCTTGTAGTCGGAAACGCTGGTGTATGTCATTATCCCAAAGAACGAAATATAAAAGAATCTCCAGAAATCAAATGATTTCTAAGAAAATAATCCCCGGTTAGTTGTTTTTTCTTGCGTCACTTCATTTATTCTGTTAAGCACTATCCCTTCCGTATAAACCAGAAGCGCTCTTTGAGCAAGTCATATTATTTTAACTCATTAAGGCCCTCGGATTTTAAATAGTTTATCTTAATAAAACATTCTTTGAATGGAAGTTGGCCAACGGGACAGGAATTGCTTATCCGACACTTCATTTAATCTAGCAAGGATACAAAGACAAGACCAATGACAAAATTGTTAAATTTCCCTTCACTGTTTATTAGACTGTTGTGTGGGGGAAATGCTTAATGATAAATACCAACACATTGAGTTCCTTTTATACATTAATGAATGGCAGATTTCTTACATTTAAATAACTTCAAAGACCGATAAATAAGTTAATATTTAACTGTAACTGTATTTAGATGTTTGTGATTATGTGAAAATTTCTCATTATTCTGTATTATGGATTTTTCATAAAACAGATAATTAAATTTTGCTCTAGCTCGACAAAAAAAAAACTTATTCCAATATATATGCTATTGAGTATTATGTGTAAAAGTCAAAACATATGAGTATCTTCACATCCCGATCTCTCATAGTTTGTATTACTTTATACAGACACATATTGCACACATATTTTTATTAAAACTTAATCTTTATTTTCTTTTTCTTTTTTATTTATTTATTTTTTTTTTTTTTGAAAATTAAAGATAGTTTCAAAATCTAAATTAAACAAAAACAAAAACTTCTTTACAAACATGCAGTCGATATCGTATCGTTTACACGGAAAACAATTTCCATCAGTATAAAGTCTGAATAATCTATTCAGCGATGGGGACAATCAATGAGCTACATTGAAAACATTCACTCGACTTTTCATTTGCATGTAACGTGGGGACTTCTGAAACCCCAAGAAGTTATAAATTCTAATTACTATCGATGCAAACATTTTTTTGAGCAAAATAAAGCCCCCTCCCTTCTCCAGGGTTTCAAGAAATCGCTGACAAATGCTGAAACAAAGCTTCATTATAGATCTTTCAACGCAAGGTTTAAGGCTGTTGGACCTTGTCAAAAACACAATAATCTTAGGACCCTTATCGAGGTTAATATCGAATATTCTTGCCATAATTGATTCAGTATAACCTTGATTAAACAAAAATGTTTTCATAGGATTTATAATGTCAGGTCGATGCATAAACACAATAGACTAAAATACTTTTTTGTCGAAGCAGAAAACACAATGGTAATATTGTAATAATTTATTGAATATAACTTTTTTTGGTAATCCACATCACTTCTGTAATAGAAATTACGCATCCCATCGATTCTAGCATTTCCAAATCAGGGGATGCATGTATTTTCTTTATGGTAACAATATCTATTCATTTTGGGTCCTCGATGAATGTTTTTCGCTGTTGCTTATCGATCATTGGTTGAAATCCCATAAAAATGTCTTATTTACAAGTATGATCACTTAGATATTGGGGTTACTGAGTGTAAATATCTTTTTTATAGAGTTATACAATCAATAAATTTAAAGCATGTGTATCATCACCATAATCATCATCATCATCATCATATAGTTTTTTGCTTGTTTTTGTAAAGCTGAAATTAACAGGATAAAAAATTAACGTATAAAACTACTTTTCTAGCAGTGCACTAGTAAAAATACCTGTGTACAGAACAGTAAGCCAGACCATTCTCCCGGGAGGATATGGGGCAAAGGGTGTGAGTATTAAAGTTTCAATGAAGATTTGGCATTGTTTTGTTTTGTTTTGTATTTTTTTTTTGTCTTACACCTGTAACAAAGCCTAAATGATACAATCTGATTATAATAGGATTTTTTGATCCGCGCACGTAGATCGATTTTTAGGTGAGCCAATGGACACCGTTAAATCTCTCGGCAGTACATTGTAACTAGCATAAGTTCGTTCGACTTGCATCCCTTTAATTCATTTACAATAACACATTGTACGTTCCTGATACATGTACATGTACCCTGGTTCTTTGAAAGAAGAGAAACATTCCTTTCAGTTTTCACCATGTTGATTTTTTTTTAATTTTTAACTCAGATTTACGATATGTGTATAACACGTGTAAACAAATGGGTATAGAGCTTTCTACTAGTGAATGGGGCGATTTTTTTTTCAAGAAATATATTTGGTAGTGTTTGGATTAATTTCTCTGCCTCAATATTATACAGTTATGGACTTCAGTGTAGGTCGGTGTGTGGTTAGAAGGACACCTGTCAAGTGATATTGACTGAAGACAAAGAGAGTGATAGCGACCAAGCGAGTCTCTATTTATTAGATATTTGAAATATGATATAGGGTTTTTGCATTCCTGTTATGAACACAGGGACCTGTCTTGTGTTGCACACGATGTATCATGACCCTTTATCACCAATTGCACCTTTCCGGAACAACTCTGGACTTATCATTCGGAGTAACTCAGATATTTTCTTATTGTTTACAATTTATTTCATTAAATATCCTATATCATTGTAAAAAGTTATAATTATTTTATCTTTTATGGAACATTAAAATGAATTGCCTTTGGATAAATTGATCAGAAACCCAACAAAAATTAAGAGGATGCTACATGCTTAATTAACAAAAGTACATATATTTTGAATTGTGGAAACTATATGTTTTCAAATATATAATAAAAACAACAATACATGTCAAAATCTGCATCACACCCCATATCAACCCTCGACCTATATCAGTCCTCTGGTTTTGGCCCTAGGGCTGATATTGGGTTCTTGGGTTGATATGGTGTGTGATACAGATTTTGCCAAGTGTCTATTACAATGTACAGCAATAGTTTCTTTGGAGTAATATTATGAACTTCAGTATAGAGCAATATGTGGATATAAAGACTCGTGTCAAATGAAATTGACCTCATACATATCGACCTCAAAAGCGCGGTTGATATCACTTTCTGCATCTTCGGTTAATACCACTTGATATGGGTCCAAATTAACCACATATCGATCTCCGCTGAAGTCCATACATGTGATATGATCACGTGACCAACTGCACGTCACAGTCTAAAGGTGCAGTTTGTAGTTCCAATCACGTGACCAACTTCATATCTATCACTCTCTACCATCATCCTCTCAAGCCACGGTTCGGAGTCAGCATATATAGCTCTCTCCAGAATGGGAGAGGATCATACATTTTGGCCTTGGTTTGCAACAATGTTCTACCATCGGCTCATACATCATCTCTCCGTTATACTACATTCAACCGGGTTGAATGTAGAGTGACGGAGAGAAAACCCGTGGGTTCCGACGATGCTCATACATGTACATTCGTGAGAGGGGAACGAACGGCAACTCTGCACAGGAGACTGAACTACTCTATAAATCCCTTCAGTATCCTGATATGATTACGTGACCAACTAGTGATACAATGTGTGATATGTCATATCCCAATAAAACTCTGAAAATGATATGTTATTTCTT